CGCGGCTCGACAAGTCCCTCGGTCTTGAGGACCTCTAGGAGGCGGTAGTAGCGGGCAGCATACGCTTCGGAAGTTGGGTCGAGGTGCGGCATGTTCGTGTAAGCCAGGCAAACTCCTGCGGCTGTCTCATATCTTCGAGGACTGTCACCGGCTCCGGTTATGACCTTCACCGTTCGGGGACGGTCGCCCGTTATTCGGAACTTGCGGAAGGCCGAGTTGGATTCTCTCATGTGTTAGTAGGTCCGGGTCGAGCGTTGTGACAGTCTCCGATTGGCTATTTTCCTTATCACTCTCATTCATCATTTCTTGGATTTCTCTTGGCTCTCTTGGTCTTCGGACCGTATTTTCCTGTATATACTCTGGGACTTGTTCCCTTCGAATCTCAGAGACCCCCCCTACCCTCTCAATCTCACCTCGCGCCGGCAAGGTTCGTCAGCCAGTCAGTACGTTCGAAAGTCAGCAAGTTCGCCAGTCAGTCAGTACGTTCGAAGTCAGTCAGTCAGTACGTTAGTACGTTCGCCAGCTCGTAGTTGCCCCGAGAGGCTCTACACTTCTTCTCCTGCCGTCGCTCGCCTCTCTTGTCACCGTTCGTTCGACACGTCTGTCGAAACCCTCTCTCCTACTTCCGAGGCTTAGCCCTCGTCTTCGAACAGTCTTCGACATCTTCGAAGCTCTCCCACGTCGTTCGGAGTCTTGTCCGTCCTCCTCCTTCTTACCTAGACCACTGTACAGTCCCCCGTACATCTCATAGACGCAGAGGCCTCGCATACCACTGCTCGACCTCACGGTTGGGTTTTTGTGTGGCTTTTGTGTTCTTTTCGGTCGCGTCACCGTGTCCGAGTCCATCTGAGCAAAATGCTCGAAAATGTCTTCGGCACCGAGGAGAATTCTGGTGAGTCAATTGGTGAGTCTCTCGTGCAAGACAGCTGAACAATCTAACATGCTCACCTCCAGCAATCGAGCATCCGTGTGTCGAGCACAATATACAACAGGTGTGACGCAGCATAATAATCGACCTTCTTTAGATTTGATGGTGTCTTCTGCCCGATCTTATGAGCGCTGTGCCCAAGCTTCGAGGGGTCTTTCGTGAGTTCATTGCCCCAGTGAGTCTCAAATACTGAACTGAGATGGGTCCAGATAGTATGCCAGATTTCCAGGAATGGCATGATGATATCGAAACGGCGGTAGGCAGTTGTCTGGTCGTCTAGATATTGCTTGATCTGCTGTAACCTCTCGAAGGTGAGTCCATCGCCTCCGATGAACAATAGCCGCTGCTGATAATTTTCTTCGTCCTGTCCCACCTGCTCCATGAAGTCGACAAGTGCATCACGCAACTCCGTCATGATGTTCTCGTTTTTGCGTGTTGTGGCGAGGGGATGCAGGGCCGTTTTTTGTTTAGGAACGCGCAGCTTTGCCCCTTCCGTCTTGTTGAGTTTCTCGAGGGCTGACTTGTGGCAGTCGAGCTGTGGAATGGAGTACACGAGGGTCTGCAGCCATTGTAACGCGCTGACAGTATCGTAGTGATCGAGATCAATCATGTTCAACAGCTTGGGAACAGTGAGTGTCGAACGTTCGTTCTCGGCGATGCGACGGAGTTTATCGCCCAGGTCTAGAGCATCCGCCGTGAAGTCCCTGGCTTCCGCAACTGTGGCTGCGAGACCGACATCCATCTCGTTCCTCCGACCGATCCTCTGCTCGCGTTGCTTACGATACTTCTGGACATTATCCATCCGCATCACCAGGGCCTGTGTCTCGCTCTTTCCCATCTCCCGCAGCTCCTCCCGTGCACTGTCGGCAAGACGCTTCAACGTCGCGATCACGGTACTCCAACTCGGTGTGTGACCTGTCCCGGGCCCGACTGTTGTAGTTGAACAGTGACAGCTGCGCACCACATGCGAAGTACAGAATTCCTCGCGCGACTGGCAGCAAGCGGGCACTGTATGTCCTGCAGTATGCAACATCGCTCAGAACCTCGGTAACTGTCTAATGCCCACATCGATTTGTAAGTGCTACTGATACCAACACAGTGGACATGGTGCACACACCAATTTGGCCCGGGTGGACGGATTCTGCGAGTTGCAGTGACAACACCTTCGGGAGACTGTGTGTTTGTGGTGGTCCGTGCTGGAGGGGTTGCAAGCCGAAGCAGAAAATGAAAGGCGAGGGGGCTGTGTGTACTGAGTATGGTCTTTGTTGTCTCCACTGTCGAAGTGCTGATGTCTTGCCACCTGAGATGCATCCTGCCTCCTCGCCTCGACGGCACTGCAGATCCGTGCAGCCCATTCGCACTCTTTACAGTCGCATTCATCTCCCGCACCATCTCCTTGATCACAAGCTCGACGGCCATCGTCGTAAGCGCAGGTCGTGCATGTTTGATCTCGAGGGATGGATGGTTCCGTGAGTACATGTATGCACTCTCGTCATCGGATGGCTTCGGGAGTCCTGCGGTGTCTTCCATGACTGCGTGGACAATCTTCGCAAATGTATGTTTCGTGTTTCCGCTGAGGAAGCGGGCGATCATTGTTCGCTGTGGTTCATCGCGTTGGATCTTCTCGCCATTGTCATCCTTTGACCTGAACAAGTTGTACAAGAAATCCCCGAGTGTCCAGCTCAGCTGGCCAAGCACCCTCAACATGATATTGAGCTTGTCCTTGTCTGTCCGTCGTGGCTGACGAGCTGCTTGGAATGATTGTCCACAAAGACAGCAGCCTGAGGGTTCGGCCACCGAGCCAGACTGAGTACCAGATGTGCGATGTCCATCTCTGAACACGAAGTTGATGGGAGTACTGTTGGTAGACATCTCTCAAAATGCATCATTCATTCTGTATACTATATGTACACTCGAACGGATGATAAATCGTGCTAGTTCGCCTCATGTTTGGCCACGAACATGAGTTGACGCCCGTCTGATCTGCGCGAGGTGAAGTCACTAGTTGCCTTATAAGTCTAAACCGCAGGCCCTATATGGACGGCGCGTCTCGCTGCAGACCAAAAACGAGAGTATCTCTTTTTGGTCAGCTACGGAGACTAATAGTGCACAGTCAAAAACGTCGGTGGCTGCTATAATTCAACCATGGTCTGGCTTGTAACCGCTCTGCGGGAGCAGTCTCGCCTGTTTTGGCGCGAAGTCGGCGGACTCGTGACCAGGAGGAAGGCGCGGCAGGGCGGCATGGGCTTCGGGAAGCAGGCGCAGTGCGGGGTCAAGGGGCCATTCTGGTCGCGCTCGCTCGAGCTCTCCTCAAGTCTCAGCCGTCGCATTCTCGCCTGGACTGGACCGCGTCGTATGTCGTACCGTGCGACCATGGGCGCGCGGCGAACTGCGAGACTCTGGGAGTGGACGGGTGGCTGTGGCAGCAGCGGCAGATTCGGCCAGAATGACTGTAGCTTGCTGGAGATTGCCGGTGGTGAGGGCGGTGTGAAACGGCGAGGGTGGAAGGGGCGGAGTAGGTAGGAGCAGGGCCGGATTAGGTTGGGGAATTGGAGAGGGTGGAGACTGCGCGCGGGCAACATCCGTCCTCGTCTATTTGGTCGGAGCTTGTACAGGAGTCCTCATAAGGGCGAACCGAGCATAGTCATGAGACTCACTTCCACCATCTCCCCCTCATCCGCTCGTGCTCCTCTCGCTGTCTCTCGCTCTTCCCCCAGTCACAACAATGTCTTTCACCAACGGCAACGGTTCCCCCACCAAGCCCATCCCCATCGACGCACACCGCCGGCGGTCTGCCTCAGACTCGGAGTCGTCTGAGAGTTCCTGCTCGCCTACCACCCCGTACTCCTCTGGCGCGTCATTCCCGACACCGGCGACGGGCAACCCTCGCGTCGCACCCGTCTCGCCCTCGACATCTCCTATCTTGTCCTACTTCTTCGGCCAGACCTCGCCTAAGGCTCCTGCCAACTCTCTCCCTTTCCGTCGCAACTTCGGTCCTCCCGCAATCGACGAAGGTACGTGCATGACTTCTGTAGTCAGAAATAAGCTCTAAACGTGATTCTAGATGATGAGGCGCCCGCCTCTCCCCAGTCGCCGACCAAGCATGCCCGCCGCGCAAGCACAGCGTGGGCGGGCAGTGAGCGGTTCGCACAACCCCCTGCAGCGACCCCGGAGCAGCACGACAGAGCGACGGGTGTGCTCAGGAGGCTTTCCCTCGGGGGCGCTATGGCGAGAGTGAGTACCCTCACAGCCATGTCCATACCTACTCGCGTCCTCATCGGCACCGCCACTTAGCCACAGATCCCGCAGTTCAAGAATGCGACGTCGGGCGAGGGTATGCAGCGGAGCGCCACCCCGCCCACGCTCTCGTCCACCCCTACGCCGATGAACGGCACGCCGCGTAAGACGCGGCGGTCAAACACGATCAACCCGGGCACCCAGAGGCCCAAGCGCGCCCCGTCGCCGATGGGCGAGCGCATCCTCACGGGGCACTTCGACAGCTTCCATTGAGCGGCTGTTGTCTGCGGTTCCGTGCGCGGTTGATCCCTTGTGAGCTCCTCATCATCTCTTCGCCTTCTCTCCGCATGGTCGTTCTCGCTAGGCGCACCCACGGAAACCCGCCAAGTTCGGCAGGAACTTGACGGCGTCTTGTACCATCATCACCTGTTCTGCTCCTGTGCCATCTTGTCTCAATGCCCTTACATCCCGCATCCGCATCCGCCGTCCCGCATCTTACCTCCGCTCTGCCAATCCCGCGAAGCGGCCCCCTCATCGATGTCGTCGCGCCTCCGCAAAAGTCTTGACGAGCTGGACACTCATTACCTCCGCACTCGTCCCTCCCTCCCTAGCTTCTATTGCCGCGCCGCCCCCTATGTGTGCAAGAGGGCGGTGCCGGCGACAGCATTCGCTCGCTACCACCGCACCGCAAACAAGTTGTACGCCTACGGCAAGTAACAAGTGTAATTCCACCGCGTTAATCTCCCCGGGCGCGCCACCATCCTCCACCGAACCCCGCGCGCGGGCGGGCTCTGCGTCGTCTGAGCCTCGTCATCTGTCGTGATCACCTGTGCGTCTCCGCCCGGTCCTTCGTATTCGTCGCGCCGAAGCCGACCTCCTCCCTGGTCGGTCAGATTCATATTTAATGTCTGTGTCAGACAGAAGTCAAGACTGGATTTGGTGTATTTGTATGGTAGCATCTCTGTCGGTTTGCGTGTATATGGATTTGGATGGAAATACGAACGAAAGCTCTCAACTTGGATCATGCGTCGAGAGGGATCTGCGTCGGGCTAAGCTTATGACAGTGGACGCGACCTTCTACTGACTGACGACCGTCAATACGTGAGCGCTCCAAAGTCTGTTCTAGTAGGTATGCGTACGGCCAGCTGCGGTGCGTGCAAGCGTAAGCTTCTCGATGAGAAATTGGTGTTCGTAAGTATCTTGGAGATGGGCAAGGGGGTGGACAGCTGGGTGGGCGGACGTGCGAGTAGGCGGACAAGCGAATAGTAGTTGGTAGCTGAGCAGAGGGGCTGATGGGCAGAGGGGCGAGGATGCAGACGAGCGGGTGGGTGAACGGGCAGATAAGCGAGCACGCGCATGCGCATGCGAGTACGATTGAAGCTTGGAGAGCGAGGGAACATACGAGCGGCGGGATATGCATGAAGCGTCGGGCACGGACTGTACACGGAGGACAAATCTTTCGAAAGAAGAAGCCTAGCCAGCGCCGTCGTGTAAAGCGCAACACACTGTGGCTATATCCCACAGCGGTCAGCGTATGGCGGACTTGACACCGAATCACAAACCTTTGTGGTGCCCGTTGTATTGACGAACAGTCTCGCCAGAGGCCATTTCCCACAGACGCGCTGTGTGATCTGAGGACGCTGCAGAGGGAGGCGGAATTAGCGGCCGCGAATTCTGGACGTGGTGGCCTATAGATCACCTGTAACGAGGTACGCTGAGTCCGCGCTGAACACACAATCCCAGACCCATCGTTGGTGTCCCTGAAGAACCTTCTCGAGCCTGAATTCATATGACGGTGTCAGGGACCATATCTTCACTGTCGTATCCGCTGAACACGTGGCTAAATATCTGCGTAGTGAAATGATCAAGAGAGGATGTGAAGGAGCTGATCTATTTGCTTACTTCGCGTCAGGGCTCAGAAGACACTTGGTCAAGTATTTGTTGTGCGCCTGGAATCTTGTGACAGGTTGGAATCGAGGCAGTTCTGAACGTTCCTCATTGATCTTCCAAACGTAACACTCGCCCTGCCTGGGTGTTCAGTCCCTTCCATTACACCGCGAATTATCCATAGAGTCAACACGCCTTGTAATTTCCCGCAACGAGGCAGGATCCATCCGACGCAAGGCTAATGGAATGCATTGGGGTGTCACCAGCTGGGGTCTAGACGAATATCGAACGTGAGCATTGACACGAAGGAATACTCTCGAGGAACTGTACCAGTTCGTGGGTACAGATGTTCTCTGAAAGGTCCCATTGTCTGATTCTTCCGGCCTGGTCACACGAGATGAGTTCTCCCTGGTTTGGATGGACCACTACGTCGTTGACTGCGAGGCATGAGCATTGCAAAGAAATCGGCACACTGGAACTAAGGATTACCGGGCACCTCGTTGTCGTAGTCCCTGTGAAGATGGGCACTCCTGAGGCCCGGTCAGTCAAGAGGACAACGTGGCAAGGACCTCCAAATGTACCGAACACCCCAAATCTTGATCATTCCGTCTTCACTTCCAGTAACCAGCCACTTGCCTTCGCCGTGGAAAGACAGTGAAGTGATATTCATAGTGTGCCCTTCAAAGGTGGCAAGCTGGATAGGTTTAGCTCTACCAACCTGATTCCTAATTGCCGATGATTAACCTACGGGGGTGGAAGACGTGCTGGCTACCTCGTAGATATTGATCTTCTTATGTATCGCTGCGGCCAGCAAACGCTTACTGAGAGCCCGCTCACTCGTAAGTTCAGGTAGCGAGGGACGGAACGGACTCACTCCGGAGATATCGCTAAACGATTCACTTGCTGTTGGAGTTCAAGAGGTTCATCAACTCACTTCATGGGAACACACAAGCGTCGTCCTCACTCCTGACTCCTCTTTCCGCGCGATCGTTCTGGCGCAAATACCACTCCAAGCTTCCCAAAATCGTATATCATGATCGTACGAGCCGGTCGCTAGGATCACAGACATATCATGAGGAGGTGCTGTTGTTCTGGATGTTGTTGAAGGCATGGTGGTTGTGTGCAACCTGCTTTCCAGGCCACACTCCGGGACGCGCAGTACGGCAGGGCGACTTCCATACTCAGCGTGCCTGGGAGATTATTGACTGTATCAACCTCTCGGAGATGCTCGCGACCTATGCAATTGTTCTTGTTCGCTATGTGTCGCCTCGGCTAGCCTGCATCCTCTTGCCAATCATTCAAACGACCCATCTGGCCACATCAGGCTACGGTTATGTGCCCACTAAAATAGTAGCAGGTCGGGCCTTCCGCACCACGCGCCTTCAATTGCCACATCGCATTTCGGCGTCTGTCTCCTCGTTCTCCTCTACTTGCTCGCCGTATAGGTTCGGAAAGCTTATATCTGCACTCTACGCACCAAAATCAGCGGTATGAAGGCGTCAGCAAGGCCATATCAATGACCCGAGTGCACCGGCAGCAAGTCGTCTGAGGGCCTCACTGACCACTGACCACTGAGTTCTAGGCCTTCCTTGAATTTACGTACAATACGCAGCTCGTAGGGACGCGCCCTCCCCTCTGTGGAAAGGGCCTCGAGGTGGTCCTCTCTCGTGTCTGCCTAGGGGAGACTAAGAGGAGAGACAGACACAGATGGCTTTCTCAGCCTCATCCGGACGAACCGTACCAGGTAATAAGAATCGTGATTGGTGGTGAGTACATGTGCCCTGTCTTGCTATAACTCAATCGTTGAGAAATCCCAGAAGGTGCTTCAAGATCTATGTACCTCTTAGTGAGACGGGGCCGGGCTGACGGGCGCACGCCCTCCCGCTCCTCAACAAGGTCGCGCTTAGAGCCTGCACTGTACAAGAGCGGGAGACTGGGGGCCTTCGCTTGATACCAGTACCCAGGCTGAGGGTTGCTTGGACAAGCGCTGTCAGATTTCCCAGTGAGTTGAAATCACCACCCTGTTTGATCGAACTCTGTCCGACTTGGTCTTGCATGTACACAGTCCCAACACCTTCCTGATAATCGACAAATGCTATCTCTATGGTGTCTCAACCATTTGACATACTCGGCCATCTCACTCCCCGGATCAATTGGTCATTATTGCCTCGTTCAGGCGTACTATTCGTGCGACAGAATAGCTCGCATACTGAGCTTTCTGCGAGCTCCTCCCCATCGTCGGATGAATCTCGCCGAGATAGAGAGGCAGATACAGTTGGCGTCGAAACGTCATCGTATCCCACGCACCGGTGCAGTACACTGTGTGAGTACCGCGGTGCTTCTTAAAAGCTTCCATTGATTCACTAGGATTCACCGGGAGCCGACAGACTACTTTCCCGCAAGCTTGTAATGCATGTCAATCTTCGCGGCGGCCTTGGGTGGACTTCCCGTTGGGTTCAGCGCCTGGCAGTTGATTCCACAGCGCCGGATTGATTGCGCCGGGTGTCGTTAACCCGCTGCTTTCGAGGTGAGGGAATTCGTTTTGCAAACGTACAAACCGCCTGGGACGCACGCTGATCCGCCTGTCTCGCAGCGACCAATGACGCCGTCAGAGAAGGTTTTTGGACGCCACGATGGTATTTCGACTTCTTAAGATCTGCAGTCCCTCCGCTCAATCGGCCCTACCTGGGCGCTGGCACTTAAGGGGTACGACCTTCACAGTGACATGAATTGTTTCGTTCCAGGAGCGGCCCTGCCGTGCTGCCTACGTCAAAGTGAAGGAACGCCGTGTGGCGTATACGACTCTGTCGCGACCAAGATATACTCAAAATAGACATGGGAATGAACCATGGTCCCTGCCTTATCTGATACTGGCATATCGACGCGCGGCACCGCCCATGCAAGATGGACCTTCGAAGACGAAGTAGGGAAGCGCATAATGGCGCAGGGCACGGCTCATGATTGACTGAGGTGGGCTTTCGGATGGGAGCTTTTTGCATTGGCTGGGCTGCCCGAGAGAGACCGTGAGTGCAAAGCAAATTCTCTGTGAATCTTCTCTTCATGAGCGGTCCCCTGCACGACGCTCATCAATTGTGTGATAGTTCTGGTGCCGAACGCGGTTCAAGGCCTACCAGTAGTTTGCACAACATTGCAGCGTGCGACTTGTTTGATACCGGAAGTTCCACGATACCCACGGTTCCATCTGCCTCCGATCCCAGTGGAGGCGCAGGAAGCGCGACAATATTGCTTGATTCCCCACACTCAGCCAAATCTCCAAGACGAATATGCAAGATCGGCATGAATGTGTCTCACCGTGGGGACAGCTCTGGCCTGCCTCTACGCGGCTCCAATCTGACGGGAGGCGTGCACGTAAAACCGTATATCTCCTTACGATCGTAGCTAACTGCCCCGACCCCAACTCACCTCCCTCTCACAACCTCCCTTTCCTTGATGGCTCTCCTCTCTCTCAACTACGATGTGCTCTCCGCGATCGTGGAACAGACCGACTCGGGCTCGGCGCTCAAGCTGTCGATGGCTTCTCGCGGAGCGTACGCCCTTGGAATCGCCCAAGCCCTCGCTAGCGTCACCCTGTCTCGTTCCCAACTGCAACTTTCCGCTTTCTGCAATTACATACTGGCGGAGCCTAGCCGGATAACCCATCTTCGAGAGCTCACCATCGAGAGCCCCGCATTCGGTGTTGCACGCCACATCGAGTTCCAGCGCACCGCCGACTTCTCTGCCGCTGCAGAGCTGGCCGACGTGTTGGAGAGAGCCCACCGCCTGCAGCACCTCTCCATCGCGTGTTTCGAGGGTCTCATCGCGAGCGAGCCACGCATAGGCGATGCCATCTGCGCGTTACCGGACCTTGTGGAGATCAGTCTTCACAACTGCGGCCGATTGGCGATGGGCGTTCTGTCTCGCCTGCGGAGTCCCCTGCGCAAGGTCAAATTCACCGCTCTATTCAATAGGAAGCTCCCTACCTTCTTCCACCGACTGCAATCTCTGGATCGCCTCGAGACGCTAGAACTCGCCCATCTGGACCTGTCAGATGGGAGCCAGCCACACGGCGAGGTCCACGAACTTCCCCACATGCCTTCCTTGCGTTCTCTATCCTTGCGAGGGAGCACAGCGCGTATGTCGCTGTTCGTACGCGCGATGCCGAACCTCCAGCGCTTGCGTCTCGCCGACGTGTTCAGCAAAGCACAGGGAGGGCCGGGAGGTCAAAAGAAAGAATGCTGGGCACGTTTGGCTTACCTCAAAGGAAACGTTCCCGACCTGCAGCAATGGGACGTAGCATGTCCAGTACGGTGGCTCCAGCTCGGTCTCACCGCCTACCATTATGACAACGCAGTCGACATCATTCGCCGCACAGCGCCCACCGTTTGTCTTTGCCGGTGGAGACAAAGGTAGACGCAACATTCTGGACCCGCTTCGTCGACGCAGCCTCGGGGGTGCGACACCTTGAGCTGTGCTTAGACGAGGGTAAGATCCGCAAGCTGTCGTGGTGGTTGGTGAATCTGTTTCTCCTTCGACGCACCTCACACGGTCATCTGACATGGTCACCATCTACAGGACCATATCCCTTATTTGCTTCGAACGCTATCAATTGCGTCAATCTTCATCTCTGTAAGATATACGCAAAGGCCAGGTGAAGAAGACTCCGAGCCTGCCGATGTCAGGAGTGATAGTACTTGCCGGACGATACGGGAACGCGTAGCAGTGGCGATTCCCGCTCTCAAGTACGTCGCTGTCGCCATCGCGACGAGAGGGGAGGATCCCTTCGACGAGCAGCAGAAGGCCCTGGCATGGTGGCAGATCACTAGGGTGTCTGGGATGACAAGCCTCAATGTCGTCCCGTACGAGAAAAGCGCCTCTCTGCGAGATCATCTGGTGAACATGAACTATTGAGCTTCGATGTTATGCTCAACGCGTACGTGCATATATCGATGTCACTTCTGCACCTCTTGACTTAGCCACGAATAGCAGCTTGACATGCAGTACTGCCGAAGCGATCGTTGATCGAGACGCTAGCCCAGTAGGACACATGTTCTACCATTGAAATGTGGTGGACACTGATGTACAGAACAATGGTTAGTAGCAAAGCATGCGAAGACGTCCATTATCACTATGGCGTGGATGATCTGCATATTGACGCAGACAAGCACTAGACTTTACGATACCATACCATGGGCGGATGAACGTGAGTAACAATAGACATGCTGATAGACATGCCGGGCAATACTACGGGGTATACTATTCCGGAAGACCAAAGGACTGGAAGGATAGCGACAGAAAGCGCGAGTCAATCTAAACCAAGGTGTATCATAGGTCGAAAAGTGCTAGATATCTTACACTACCCGCAGAAACTGAAGGTTCTTCGTGTTCAATTCATATATGTACAAGCACGCTGAAACGACAACAAGAAATGAGAGCATTGTTGACATCGTTACTTGACGGGAGAGGACCAGTGTACCTACCAAGCTCGGCGTGATTATGATCGTGATTTCATCCCAATTGCCTTAACCCTTGCTTAATACCCCGCCCAAGAAAGCTTCAACCCTCACTCCGCTATATCGAACTCGTCCGGGATCGTAGCGATGCTCATGGGCCGTGGCTTCGCCTCGAGCATGTTGATGATATCCTCGAGCTCAGGACCACCGCCGGGAGTGGGCGTCGTCTTCCCGTTGACGTGGGCATCCGCATCATGCCCTTCCGGCGTAACAGAGCCCGCACGGTCCGTCTCCTCGTGAGCAGACTCAATCAAGTGAGCATCAATGTGGTCCTCGGCCTGGATAGTCTCCTCGTGGTGCACTGCATCCGCTGCAGCGAGAAGTTCATGCACGCCCTCCTCGTGAGCTATCGTTTCTTCCGGCTTCGGTACCACCTCCTCCAACGCCTCCTCTGCACTGATATCCGGGACTCCGTGCTCCGCCAACTCTTCCTCCTTCGAGTTCAGGATGGCTTCGGCGGTCTCGACGGCGGCCGCGTGCACGTCAGGGTCATCAGTGAGTCCAGCTGACGCGTGCTGCGGCTCGTCAATGAGTGTGCTTTCCGAGCTATCGTGCTCATGCGCCTGGACAGGGCTTGAGAACGCATCGGATTCCTGATAATATTCATGCTCGGGTTGGTAGGCATCTTCATGAGGCTCATCTGGGATCTCTGCAGGTACAAGCTCTAGCTGAATCGGCGGTTCCGTGTCGCTGCGGCGTTGCGGCGCTTGCTGCCGCCTTCGCTTTCGTGGGCGTCGCAGCGGCCCCCTGGTCTTCACCCCGGTCCCTCTTGCAGCAGTAGCTGCGCCCCTCGCCGTACCCCTGCAGCCGGTGAACCCCTAGCAGCAGGACCGCCCCTTGTCGCAGTTGCCGCGGGAACCGGAGTCCTCGCTTTGCTCAAGCTCGCCGCGGTAGGCTTGCTCAACCGCTCCAAGACTCCTGGTGTTGTCGCCTTCCTAACTGGGGTGGGACAGGGGACTGCGCGTTGCGCGACCTCGCAGAGACGCGGCTGTGGGAGCGAAGAGTCCCGACGACGGCGTCTTCGGTCTCATCGTCGCCGGTGTGGTGGCAGTGGTCTGCGAAGGGGTCTTTGGGCGCATAGACGGGGTCTTCGGTCGCGCGACGGAGTTTTCGGTCGCGCAGACGGGGTCTTCGGTCGCGCGGGGGCGTCTTCACGGGCGTATGAGACGCGCGAGACGACGGACGCGGTCTAGCGGGTGTCGATTTAGGCGTGACAGCCTTGGCAGGAGTCGAGGCAGACGTCGATGGAGAAGGATGGTAAGCAGTTGGAGGAGATTTCGTGGACGAACGCGCTGGTGTCCGGGTAGTACCACCAGCGGTGCTCGGCCTGCTAGCAGTTTTCGACGGTGTGCTCGGCACGCGGGGCTGGTTAACCGTCCCAGTGCTCGACAGTCGCGATGCTACGGGTTTGGGCACAGGCACCGCAATCTCTGGTGGAGAGGAGGGGGGGTCGACTGCAGCAACCGCTGGATCGGAAGCTGGCTCCGGGATTGGCACAGAATCGGCAGGCGGTGACTTGGCCAGACTGCTATCAACGAACCTCGCAAGCTGGTCTGCTATACTTGGGCTAGCAGTCGACGAAGGTCTCGGTCTTGGAGGCCATTCCCGCTTGTCCCTCTGCTCTATCCTCTCCGCATCTCCATTACGCTAGTTTGCGAGGTGACGCTCGACGTGCGTGAAGGTCCATTTGGCACAATCGATTGGCGTTTAGTCTGCTGCTCGAAGCGACCGATGAGGTTGGCGACCTCTGCCTGGGACGTTCGTCGGGCAATGGCCTGCATTACACGCGAACAGTGAAGGATCAGCAGTGGTGTGCTGGACGAGCACTGGGTGAGCGTACATGGTGTTATACCCGATGGGTGACGTGTAAGGAATGGTTCTGATCTGTGCTGGTGAAACTGGCGATAGTCAAGAGCAAGGGCCCTCGCCGGCGAGAGCGGTGTAGACGTGCTTCAGGATGGCAAACGCGATGATGACTGTGAAGGTTCAAGTTGTGTAGAGAAGCCGGTACAAACACTCAGTACACTACGCTTACTGGCAGTATTGACTCATTGATCATTCGTAATCGGAGTGTCAACATTTGTAATCCTGCGTAAGTAGCAACTCGTTTGATCGGACTGCGTTGTACGTGTCACTCTCACCAAACTCTCACTGCCAGTGGGTGTACCGTAACCCGGCAGCATCAATGCGTGGTGTTTAGGACGTGCTATTGATGCTGTGCCAGGCGAACGAAGTCGTGCCGCCGGGCGTATACAGACCAGTGACGGTGTGAGTGAAGACAGGAGACTGCCAGTGCTTGAGCAGGACCATCATGACTAGAACCAAGCGGGTAACAGCATGCTATGTAACACTACGTGGTGCCCGTGAGACATGCGCTGAAACGCGTCGGTAACTCACCTATCGTTCAATTCCTAGATGTCGGACAGAGCACTGCACTACAACCAGTGACGATCATGCGTACATAATGTCATATGTATTGATGAGTGTCAGTTGCGTTTCCAACCCATGCATGTTCGGCGGTCGCTCATGATTCACCGCCTTCCTCATAGGAACTGTGCTTGCGCGTGCACAGTGATTTAGGTTCATGGCACCCTGGCATAGCACAGGCTTACCCTGTCTGCTACTCTCCTGGTTAATCAGCTCGTATGACACAATTGCCCTCTATCCCGACGGTCACCATCACAGGTCATACATGGATACTCGTCTGCAAACGGGGTTAGGTATCGGAGACGGGTGGAGCTGGACGCCTCATGTGAAATGCTAGCCAGACCTGAAACACAACCTCTTTGACGGGAGGCAGGATGGTCGGCCTCCGCACGGATCTACTGTGGTAAGTCAGAATAGGATATATATCTGAGGATCTTCGTTGCCACGTCTTCGTGACAGTTGGTCGGTGTGGGATTCACTCTACATATCTTTCGAGCTAGCGGTATCATTCGAGCATATCAGTGGCCTGACCAAGTACCATCAGGAGAGCCTCCGACTATTGCCACAGCAATTCCTCGCTTTGTGATTCCTACACTAGCCCCTCGTCGTGGTAGTGGTCCAGTGAGTGTTACGCTGAGTTGCGTGGATCACGAGTTTCTCATGGTACTGCTTCGCTTACACCCGTACGTTGAGATTTGGGCCAGTGCCAGCCGGTATCACGTTCGGGATCTTCGAACATGCAAGGTACTGACCACAACTACTGCATTGACGAAGACCGGAAAGACAAGGATATCGTCATTGCGTCGTGGGATCTTCCCGGGGATCAAACGCCATCCTGGACGCCTATGGTCCCGGCCTCATGAAACGGCGGATCGGCTGTGAGTGATCGTGCTGGCAGTTGATGCTCTGGAGGTCAAATGGAGGTTCGGTCAGTCCGAAGGTCGAGAAGGATCCAGTCGAGCATGCTCTACGGTGCCTGCCATGAGTTCTATATAATGCTGCGATTGCCCAGTCTTTCCTGGGACGCTCCGAAACCCTACCTGCGGCCTGTACTGATATTGAGCAATGTTCATTCGTGATGCCGCTATGGGCATGGCCACCAAGGCAGCCGTTGTACTGACTTTGCTGGGAGCCGTGCAGACGAGCGCGAACGAATTGGTGAAGGTCCCCATCAAGTCAACATTGATGTACGCATCCCGCCTCTCTACTTCAGTTGATGATCATGACCTCCAACTTTCTGCAGATCGGACGCGACAGGTTTCGGTAGGCCTCAGCTTCATCTGCACTGAGCAGTGTAGGCTAACGCCGCTGTCTGAACAAACTCAGATTCGTCCGCGCCCATGACGAATGCTCAAGTGAAGGTGGTCACCGCTGGTGTGTGACTCCGATGGCTCGCACACCGAATGTTCTACTTATCTCCATAACGTATAGTCCAGGCAGGGGATGGACAGACGTTCCCCAATGTTCTAGTCGACACAGGCAGTGCTATCCTGTGGGTAGGCGCAGAGCAGAAGTACGTTCCTGGACAGTATACCCAGGTGTAAGTCCACTGCACCAGGTTGATAATCCCACTCCACGTTGCTGACTGTCGGGTGTCTGTTCAGCATGAACCAGACGTTCTCGGTAGGGTAGGTGTATCACTAAGCTCCTGCAGTTTGTAATTTCGAACGCCCTTGTCAGCTATGGATCTGGTGGCGTCAATGGAACCGCGTACATGGACCGCGTAACGATCGGCTCTGCGACCGTAGACAACCAGATCATTGGCAGCGAGGGTTACATTACGGGGTTCACTCTCGTAGAGCCCATCGACGGACTGCGTGAGTCCTTCACTGGCATTGGCGACTACAGCGCAGCAACATTGATGTGTCACATTCAGTTGGTCTTGGTCCTCCGAATTCGAATCAGGGTGAAGTGTCGGGCTACAACACGACACCGACGTTCATGGACAACCTGTACGCTCAAGGGAGCATATCGGAGCCGGTCTTTGGGTTGTACATCGCACCCTATGTGGATGGCGAGGAGAACACCGGAGAAATAACCTTTGGCGGCGTCGATTCGAGCAAGTTTACCGGTGCGTCTGCGGATAATTGGAGCTCGAATACACGAGACGTTATTGATCTGCATCTATACGGCGCATTGTGTTGCAGGAGACATCGAATGGATTGCACAGACGACGCCCACCAATGAACATTGGAATTTCATGGTGTGGATGCAGATGGAGTTGACTCACGAATTAGTGCAACTCACGACAGTGCATCAATCTAGGCCTCCAGCCTTGGATGGGGAAACATTACTGTCTCTCCGCCCATCTATGCCCGGACGGACTGCGGCGTTCTCTATATTCTAATCCCTACGTAAGTGTTCCAACCCTGCCATGGATCGTCCAACGACTGTGATAAGCTAATTCGATTGCGGACGATCAGCGAGACTGCGCTCGACATCGTGCACGCCGTTCCAGGCGCGAGCCTTGACGAATCCGATTCCCAGTTGTCTGCTTGCCTCGTCTTTCCGAGCAATATGACCGTCGCCGAACTGCCCGCCCTCGACATCGGATTGGGCAACCTGTCCGTATCCATCCCCGCCACGGAGTGCGTAGCCTACACATCCTCTTTCGTATGCGTGACTGACACGTAGAGTTGGCGCCATGATCATACAGCTACGTTGTTCCAGAGAGCATGTACCCGCTGCTGAACGTGACCGACGACGGACAAATACACACATGGTTGTGTCCTGGAGGGCCAGCATTCGTCGGTCTCGGACAGAAGGCATTGGAACGTATCTACTCCGCCTATGACAGTGCGTTTCGGGATTTCGATTGAGTGACGCCTTGTAATTGACACCTCACCTTGAACGTAGTTGTAAACAATCGTGAGTCTGATATGGGCCTCCAAGATTCTAGTGCTGACATGTTGTTATTTTACCAGTGGTCGGATTCGCCATCGCGGCAGATGCGTAAGAAACCGAGCGCATCACCGCCGCTCACGAATTATGCATTGGACCGAGAATGTGGTCAACCTTGACAGTGGACTCAATCGGATTTTGGACAGAGTTTTGTTGCACGGACGCTGATATCCATCTGGTGTTATCCTTGTCGCTTGTCAATGCCCGTGTGACTAGAATGTGAAGCTTTGGAGTGACGCAGTGATTGGACGACTCGGAGCAAATCGTGAGATCTGACATTTCCTGTCAATACTACTATGCAAAAGCATCGAAATCACGACGGTTTTTGTCATATCTCCTTAATGGCATCATGATTGGAGTGCTGGTGTCAAGCAATTGCGAAACCACTGGCAATGACCCGAACCAAACCTTTGAGAGCAAAAAAAGCGAGGACAGCATAGACAACAAAACAAGTGATGATACAACTTCACTTCCTGCATCCTGCCCCCTATTTGGATTTCGTTCCTCCTTTCGATTCAGGTGCACCCATCGACACCTTTCCCACCATTGGCATTGGTCGCCTAGAGAAGACCATCTTGCGCTTCACCACAGCTATCACGTCCCAACTGGTAGGTTGGGCGAGCCTCGGAGATACATCCCCGTCTGGAATGGTATCCAACGCATCCGCAACGACTTTGTTGCTGGAACTAGGTGGATTGTGTCGGTGGAGGACGCGAGTGGTTTTGGCAAGTTCACCAGCTTGCCCTCCAAAAGATGGTGTCCGATCAGCAGAGTCGGCTTCTTCTACGAGTCGACAAAGAGCAGGTCAAGCGCTGTATAAACACATAGTATAGATACCAGTGATAACTCACTGTAGCCTCATCGATTCGCAGTGTCCCGATTGTTTGACCCTCGTTGTCTCCAGCCACGTCCAGCTTGCCTTGCAACTCGATGAGGACGAGGCCTTCGCTTCCAAATTGTGCAAGCGGCGGCGGAAAGGTGTTGTCGTTGTTTGATGTGGACGAGAGCGAGATGTTGATGGGAACAATCATGATAGCAGCAGGCCCGGCGAGGTGTAGGAGCGACTCCGAGCGAGCGGGAGAGACGCGTCGCGACGCGTAGTAGCCGTAGGACAAACGCGTCAGTGGCGAAACACGTGAGCCCTGTGAGACTTTCTGGTCAACCCACACAGCTACGGGTCGTCGGTCGTGCATCTTGACTGGTGCTTCCTCACCCTGTTACCATGAGCTCTGATCAGGCTACAGCTACTCTCCAAAATATTCCAAGTGGACACCAGCTTGTTAAACTGCCCTCAGGAACAATTATTGAGTGCGACATGGCTCCTCCACCAATTCGAGCCTATACGACCGACGAGCGCGAGTCAAAGGCGAAGCTAGCCCTCTGTCTTCATCCATGGTCATGGCTTGGCGGATGTATGGACGACCCGTGCGTTCTGCGCTACTACCATCATTTACCTGCATTTCACCTGAACTATCCTCCGGACGTGCTGTCATGAACGACCGATGTACGGTGTTACCATGTCGAGCCAGTGTCTTGCGTCTGCTGGTTGGGCCTCTGAACAGTCTCGGCTACCACGTCATACGCTACAACTCTCGCAGCGTTGGAAGTCTTCTGGTTGGCCTTCGCTCACGGGCAGCCGAGAAGCGCAAGACTTGCGCGAACTCGTACAGTGGGCAATCGATCGCCTCCATTCTGTCGAATCCGTCGTCCTCGTCGTACGTATGCATCAATATTGCGGAAGTACTGCCATACATATCTAGCTGCACTGCAGGGCTATTCATATGGCTCCCTCATAGCCTCTCTCCACCCACCGCTTCCGCACCCTAAAGTCTCTCACATCATGATCTCCTACCCACTCAGTGTTCGCCATTGGCTCACACATTCCGCGGGAGTACCTATACTGCAGCACTTACTGCGCTCGTCCGGGACGACCGCGCGCGGGTGCTCATTGTCCATGGGGATCACGATGACTTCACTGATGCCGAGATATACGAGGCGTGGACACGCAGCCTTGCCGAGGCAGCCGCGGAAAGTGTCTTGGAGGTTGTAAAGGTCGAGGGGGCAACTCACTTCTGGCGAGAAGGGGAAGCGAGGGTGAAGCTGGTGGAGACGATTGAAACGTGGTTAACATGAATGTCACTGAGTTGCAACTGAGACGTGTATAATATCGGTCAACGCGTCATGATCTCCACGAGCACAGTTGAAGCTCGACAATAAGTTCAAGGATGCTTCTTCGCGCATAGAGATCATCCATATCCTGACGCTAATGTTCAAATCCTGCGGACTAACGCCTGCTACGAACCTGCCTGTTGACCGTCGAACAAACACTGTAGCCGTCATCATCACAGCGTTGACATGGGAGAGCTTGGGGCGGTAACGGCAGGTAAGGTGAGAGCCAACTATGGAAGGATAGTGTAGTACGGCAGCGAGCCAAGACTACTTATCCCCCGCCGATCCCAGCCGTGCCCAGCTGTGTGAGGCTGCCTCCCAGAGCGTATAGACCGTGAGCGTGAGCTCGCAAAGTAAGACCAAGAGCTGACGCTCTGCGAGTGAGAGTTTAAGTACATCCATCTAGGTAGAATCTCCGATCTCATGATGATGAAGATGATTGACGTAAGCTCGCAGGGAAGCTGTGAGACGCAGTGCAAGCGCGAAGCTTCTTTGCTGGCGTGTTGAAACGGCAGTGGATGACTCATACGAGCTTCAAGGATTGACGGTGATGCGCAAGCACCACCGAGACGTATCGGATACTGATACACAGATGGTGCTAAGCTTAAGGGCACCTCTAATTGTCATAGATAACTGCTTACCGCGTGTGAGCAGAATATTGGATGAGGCTCGTCATGAACATGTCCAGGGTTGCCCAGATAGCATGGATTTGGATGAAACGAGAACCAAACAGCTGCGAACGAAACAAACAGCTGCGCAACACAAGACTCCTGACATACAAATTGCGCTCATGTCAGTACGACGAAGCAGCTAGGTTATGAATCGGCACGATCGGACACTCACAACACATTGAGCCGTGCACTATGCTTCTATCAAACGGAATAATCCTCGTCGTACACATTCTACAACTCTCCTCCAGACTGGCCTCCAAGATCCTTTGGGACCTCGACCATATATGTTGAACACCCGTAGATCCTTGGAAAACAGACGTTCGAGCGTGCGATTAATGTTTGGCCAATCCAACGCTCGAAGGGTATCAAACCGCCTGGACGGGACATCCAGATCCAAGAGTGGGGCATCTATCGTCAAAGTGATCGTTTCGAGGAAAGGAGAGTGGAGTTGGGATATGAGTACGCTGGACCATAGCAGATCCGAGTCCGTTTGCCCAGTATCTTGCGACGCGTAACAGCTGGCTGGATCGACAGAGTGCGCAAATTTACGCAGGGTGCCAATGTGAATGCAGTGTCCCTAACAATCTCTGTGTAGGAGTCAGGAATGACAGGTATATGTACCGCGAAGTAAAGCCACACATACCCTCAGGACAGTACAGATCAAGGCTCAGATGTTTCAAACCACGCGAACCAAAAGCGTCGACTAGGCATTGGACAAACCGCGGGTGGGAAACACGAATGAGATCGAGCGTTTGGAGCTGATGGTGTTGAACGTCCCGACGAGCCAAGGCATAATGTTCCCCGGTCCTGCCAGCGCTCGGGTGCTAGATCACTGCCATGCAACTGCAGAGTGTGCAGAGTGTCTAAACGCCCGACGACGGGAGAGGAGCTCAACACGGGTCCCACACCATTGATCTGGAGTATTGAAAGGGTTTCGAGACCAGTGAAAGAAGATAGTAGCCCTGCCAGCGCATCCCAAGGCAGACTGCTGAGTGCGATGGCCAGCCGGCGCAAGGCAGGGAGCTTAGCGCCGACAGTTGCAACATCGCTCATGGCCAGCTGGTCGAAGTCGATATCATGAAGGGCGAGCAGGCTGACGGCCGGAAGCGAGGGCAAAGCAGAGAGTCGTTTGTAGGTGGAGAACGATATCCGTAGCGTTTCCACGATGAGGCCTATGGCCGGCGAAGAAGCTAGGAGCTTTTCAAATGTTGTGAACTTGCCTCCACCGGAGTTCTCGACTGTAATCACACGAAAGCGATGGTAGCGAGCCGCGGGCAACCAGGTGCGACAAGCAAGAGCACATGCACGAAGAGAATGGGTGTCCTTGTGCAGATAGTCGATGATACGGTCGGTGAGCTCGGGTGGTAGAGGAAGGACCATGGTTGGTCCTGCGGCAGAGGAGACGCCCAAGTCACAGCTGGAATCGGCGTAGATCGGCGCCTCCTCTAACTAGGTTCGATGAAACCCTTGCGATGAGAGTACAGACATCAATGTACGTCAGGCTGTCCTTCAACGACCCGATGCTGAATTTCCAGAGAGCGGGCAAAGTAACATTACTTGCAAAACATCTGGACTGTATATGTACACACAGAGATGGGGATGAGAGCTCAAAGCGAGTGACGACGAGCAGCAAGGCACAAACGAACGGAAGGGTATATGGATCGACAGACAAAGAGCCTTGATGCATTCTACTATACAGATGCGGTGAGATCAGACCAACAACAGATGAACCTCCAAAAGCCAAAGAAATAACCGGCGCGCGCAAAGTGCAAGAGCGGCGTTCGAGCTCAGTAGTCGAGGAAAGCCATCTCGCTGAGCCGCCGACTCTCCTCGTCCTCGATACGGCCGGCCTCGACCAGGATGGTGCCCCGATCGTGGATCGTCGGGCTCAGCGCCTGGCGCGGGCGCGGCCGAGCCCACAGAGGACCGCGTAGGACTGAAGCTCTGGTCCCGGGTGACGGAGTGTTCCTCCGCTTCGGCGCGGCCATCGCCTGGGGGAAGGACGTCGGGGGAGCGTACACCGACGGAGGCGACGCGGGTGCTGTCGCGCTATGCGGCGCCTCTCCGAGCGTGCTGTCCTCCACAATCGTCTTCGGCCTCGGCTTCAGCGACGCCAGAGTGCCCGTGACGGTGCGCTTCATGTTCTGCATCGAGCTCGTCGCTCGCGGGTTCTTGAATTTCGGCGGCGCCTAGCGTCACACCCGTCTCAGCATCCCATCCCGCGATCACAGCAAAGCAAAGTACTTACATCGACCTCCTTCTTCGCGAACAGCCCGATCATCGACCGCCTCCGCTCGGGGTCGTCCGCGCTCTCACGCCTCGGCCGCGCACGCCCACCCGCCGTCGCCGCGCGGCCATCAAGTCCCGCATCTTCTGCGCCTCGCTCTGCATGCGCACGCCAAACTCCATGTCCACCTCCACCTCTACATACGACGAGCCGAAGTCCGACTCCGTGCTGGCATCGTCCCTCGCCGCGCCCCCGTGCGCCGCTGGCGGCGGCCCGGGAGGCGGGTGTGCGGGCCTGCCATGGTCTTCGAGCGGGAGAGCGAGGCCTGCGAGGCTTGCTTGGCGGGCGGGTGCTGGTGGGTAAGCTGACTCTGGCTGCGGCCGGAGCTGGACCCGGGGCGGTGGTGCTCTCTCGGCGGGGCGGGGGCGGCTCGCACCCGTGCGTGTCCGTCGTCGGCGTCGCGGGGAGGCCCATCTCGGACGAGGACGCGCTCCGCGTGGGCGAGAGCGCGGGCATCGTGCGCGAGTGGCTGCGCAGAGCGAGCGAGCTGCTGCTCGCGAAGTTGTTCGTCCCCGGCGTCGCCGACTGCTGCTGGGGATCCGAGATGGTGGTCGAGCGGCCGCGCCGGTGGCTCATCTGCACGCGGCGCACGCGGAGGTTCTGCGAGTCGTCTGTGTGCTCCAAGGACGTGCGCGACGTGTTCGACTGGCTGATGGACACAGCCGGGGCAGGCGAGGTCGGACTCGCGTCCGTCGGGGAAGTAGTGATGATGACGGCGGCATCGTGCTTCGTCTTGATGGGGGTGAATGCAGACGGCGGGGCTGGCGGGAGCTTCCGCGCAGGGGTCCGACGCCCCATCGACTGCGTCCCATGCGCCACATCATCCATGGACGCCCTCGCACTGGGTACCCACCCCGAGACATCCGCACTGCGCCTTGCGTCGCTCTCCTTGCGATACGGAGTGGGCACGATCGACGCATCGATCGAGCGCCGGCGAGAAACACCCAAACCGCGCGCCCTCGCCCGCAGACGCGGGCCGAGACGCAGACGCGGATCGCGGGCGAAGGGACGTCTGAAACCACCGCGACACGCGCTCCGAGACGTCGCTAGACCGGCGATCCCTTGCTCGAGGCAATCGGTGGGCGGCCGTTTCTTCGAAGGGCATCTCCGGCAACGAGGGATCGACAGCCGGCATGAGGTCGGGCCTGAAGTTATCGGCAGACGCAGACGCAGCGAATGCGCGACCACGCAGAGCGCCGTCCCCGCTAGGCCGTCGCGCGTGCCTGTTCGGCTCAGCGGGCGCTGCAGATGGGTGCGCCAGATTCACCGTGGAGGGAAGCGCCGACCTGGACCCATTCTCATACACAGCGCTCGCGCTGAGGTGCGCATCCAACGACGGCGACGCTCCCGCCGCGTCGTCTTCGTGGCGGAGGTCCAGCTCGGACTCTGCGCGATGCTTCGCGAGCCACGCGTCCCTGAATTTCTTCGCCTCCGTGTCCTCGTTCTCCGGGCTCCGCTTCTCCTCGACCACGACTGCGAACATCCGATCGAGCTCCTTCTCCTGCTCACTCAGCGGGATCCAGAACCCGTTTGCGTCTCGATAGCGCGGGACCTTCGCCGATGTCGGAACGAGTCCGCGGGCACGCAACGCTGCACGGCGGTTCTCAGCGGAGGTAAACGAGTTGGGAAGGGGCGCAGGCGCGGGGCTCGGGGGACGACAGGGATCCGTACGTGAGGCCTGCGCTGCTTGCCTATCTGAGGCTGGGGGGCGTCGGCACCGCTTGACGAGTCGCGGGCACGACTGCGACTGCGACTGCGGCTCCTGGTCGGTAGCGAGATTTGGAATGAGGTCGGGGGTGCATCGGAGTGTTCTACAGGTGAGACGACTGGGAGCAACCTCTTGGTTATTCGCCTGAAGAGGCTGGGGTTGGACAAGGACACCTCGGATTCGATGTAGGAAGTGGGGGGAGATCGTCATCTTTGATACGCCTTGGATGACCTGCCTGAGGCGGAAGGGTTGGCTCGAGATAGCGCGATTCGTCTAGAGGGCCTGGGGTGTGTCTAACGGGGGACGCAAGCATCAGTACTAACGTTTGGTCAGGCGAGCAGCTGAAGTGGGACAGGACAGGAGGGCGAGACGGCGAGCTGCAGCCTCTCGTGCGGGCATGTGTTCAGGTGATATTTCGGCAGAAGCATGCGCCTGGGAAAGGCTGCAGTTGCAAAATACGTTGATAGACGGAGAGGGGATTTGTATTTGGGGGCTACACGCGGTTGAGGGTTACTAGGAGCTAGGGGCATTGTGCAAACGGGGACTGTCGAGGAAGCATATCTCAAGAAGACTGATGTGCCAAGACGGGGATGCTAACTAAAACAGATCACTCACCCTCCCGCGGAATGTCCGACACTAGCAGCGGGGCTGGCTGCAGACCGAGGTGGGGAGGGCGCACCCGAGCCAGGCGCCGGAGGGGACTCGATCGGTTGTTTGCTTCCGCTGCCTGCTCCTCCGCCCACTGGCGCGTCCGCATCGCTTTGCCGGGGAAAAGGCACGGGCCTAGGTGCTTGCGGGTCTGGTTCCATGTTGGCATGGGATGGGCTGTCGTGCAAGGCGGGCTCTGTGGTGAGGGCCTTGTCTGGCGGCGGAGGACGGGCTACGGCGGCCATTGGCGGAGTGAGGATGTGAGAAGGACGGAGGACCGGGAGGAGGAACGGTCACGGTAAAAGGCACGCTGCAAGACCTGACGTAGGGGGTCGCTGGCCCGCGTGGAGAGCTATGATATGAACAACCGCAAGGCGGCTGCTTCGCGCGGTAACTAGGGCGGATGTTGAATAGCCTATGGACCGATGGCCCCGCTCTCATATACGCCCACGCACTCTCCAATCCTGGTGAATATTGCCTGACGGCGAGTGCACTCGAGCTCACCAGGCTTGCGGTGGCAGATGCGGAGCTAGGCTTGGCCTGCAGGCGGCGGGGTCAGTTGGAGCGAGGAAGCGTGAACGTGCCGTCAATGGTACTGATAGATGCAGCGCGACGGAGGCTGCTGGGTATCCGGGGAGGGTATCGCCGCGCGATGGTATCTGCAGCACAGAGGAGGAGAAGAGGTTCTGCACGCTGTGCATGGCCATGTTTTATGCGGGTACGCCTGGACGACAAGCGAGCGAAGACACGGAATCCGCTGACCCTCGACGCGACTCCCCATGCGCACCCATCACTATTCTGACCCACGTGCTCCAGCGCCAGGGCCTACGCCCCGGGGTCTCTCTGTCACGCTCTCCCTTCCTCCCCGCTGCGTGTCGCGAACCGTCACGCGTTGTCACGGTTGCGCGTCAGGACCCCGAGAAACGCGCCGCCCGACTGGTACCTTCGTTCCCAGGTGTTGCACAACACGACAACTGAATTGCATGTGGAAGAGCACAGGGTGCGCTGAACGCGCTGAAACTTTTCAGGGATCCTGATGCAGCGCTATTTTCGTGAATTTCGCAGGACTTGGCGACGCCGACCAGTCCGCCTCGCTCCTTTTGGCACCCTCCTCCGCCCTCCGTGGTGGCGCATGTCGATCGTCCGTCAATGCACACACGCATTACATTCACAATGTTGGCCATGCTGCGAGGTGCCCCTCCATACGGTGTGGCTGGCTCGCGAACGCAATGAACGAAGCCGAAGCACCTCCGGATTCATTGCTGCATGGAAGTGATCCAGAGGTTCCGCGCCGTTCAATCTCCATCAGTCCGTTGCAAGATGGATGTTCTGCCCTCCATTGGGTTAGCATGCGGAGTTCCGTGAGAATGGGGGTCGTCTGGGTGGACTGGGGTGTCGTGGTACATAAGTACGTGCGCCGCCAGTGCTTCACCGCGAGACCGCGTACTAATCCGGTACCACCGACGGCACAGGCGCGCACTCTATCGCGACGCACTTGGATGTCCGACTCCGAGGAACGGCGCTCATACATCAGGGTGCGCGCGACGGGCGGGAATTACGTGACTGTACATATATGGAACCCTCTGCGGTTGTTTCTTTCTCCAGGTGAGTCCGTCCATCATGAACCTGAAGTCACGGTGCGTTGTCAATTGTGTCATTTTCTCCACAGGAAAACTCGCCATTCAGCGAGACATGGACTTGACAGACCTGTCTTTTACACGTCCATCATGGGTTCAGTCCTGTACCGGAGGTACGGTAGTCTCCGGAGGTACGGCGAAGCCATGGCCCCGAGGTGTGAACGGATGCGGGTAGCCCGACACATGGTCGGCGCGCTGTACGGCATCCTCGCTTGTGGACATATGTACGCGACGTGCGTAAGTCGATTCCAGCAAGCGTACTACTACGCTGCTACCTCGCCGAGCGCGTGTCATGGGGTCAGTACGGCTGGGCAATCGGAAGCCGGTCTTGTCAATGCATACAGTAAGTACACCACCGGGGTTCATCGGACAGTTTCAGGTATACGTGAGCGGACTTTGCGTGCTGTCGCACTCACACAGGTCCCTGGGGCGCGATTGGTGCAGTTGAAGGCGACCACCGGACGGTCGCCTCGTACATCGCGGAGCCGACTACGGAGGTTCACGAATGATCCCTTCACTTTTGGGTTTGCTACATATCATTCACAGTATCACGAAGCTAAACAGGAGTGCTTGATAGAGCACACTCCATTGCCTCATCATCTGATAGCACACCTGGTCAAATGGAAGAACTGTTCGCTGAATGCGCACCACCCTTCTCGTGTTCAGACACTCCACTTCGTGCAGTATGGATGCATCGAGAAGCGAGACACCCGTGAGTCGTGCATCCAGCGCCCATTGTACTTCTCCATCGCAAGTACTTCCCAGTTATCATGGCTCTAGATACCGATGATAGGCCGGAGCGCATCCGGACCAAGTGCCCTCATGCAGTTCATTAGGGAACGTCATGCGAGATAGAAGTGCTGCGGCACCGAACGTTAGGAAAACCGACAGTCATAAAGGAGGATGACGCCCGCAGACGGCCCTCATGAAGTCTCAAATCGTGTTGAGTGCTACATGCCCGTTCATTTCAAGCGTAGATATGGAGAACGGCCGGTGAGACGCAAGCTATAGGTCTGACGTGCCTAGATACGTCAGCGTCATCCCGGAATACAGTCTGCGGGCCTGGTCGCGGCGAGTGCTCGGAATGAAGGTGGCCTGTGGGGAGAAGAACATACCGTACAAGGGCAGGACCGTCGCACTAAATCCGTAGTATCTATGATGCAGAAGGACGCGACCAACATCTGCAATTGCTGTCGGAATGAACCGCGACACAGGATTAGCTCGTAACATGCCATACGGAGGAGGCAGCATCCCACTATGCCCGGGTCCTTGAGCGTGGGGGCGACAAGGCGAAATATACATATGTAAGCTCGGATTTTCGTTGGGAAGTGCCTGAGACGGGCAGACAGAGATGTCAGCTGGAGCGGAAATAAGACTCGCTGACAGGTACGAACATACTATGTAAGATGCTATTCATGGATGCTCAGAGCATCCTCGGAGACAAGGTGTATTCAATCTCCTGTGCCTCGATCATGTCGTGCTTACACGCCAGGGTCTGTGAGAGCTGCCACACCCGCCTTCCAGCAATCTTCGAGCCAGCACAAGAGGGCACGCGAGCAATCGACAAGCTATGGATCCTGCCCAAGCATGGTCAGAGTCAAGGTCAAGGTCAAGATCGAGGATGCGGGCGCGGACGTCAACGCGACGACTGGCTCGCAGAACCACGTGCCAGCGATCGTGTGCCAATCTCAGATCCGCGCTTATTTCTGCTGCCACCGGCGGGGACGGACACTCGTCAGCTCGCCTTCACTGCGTAAAGTCGTTGCCTGAACGTCCGGTTCTCAATGTCGCCCAGCCCAGTTTTATAGTGTTCGCCACTCAAAATCTTGACTTACTCTGCTTGTATTGTCCGCTGAGCTCCACGACTCTTCACGAGGCACGATTCTCCGGGAATAGACGGCCCTCGAAAACTTGGTCGCAATTGACGACTCTGGGAAGGTCCCTTGGTGCATCTAAAATACCTGACAGTTGACCGGTGCGTGGCATTTGTGTCCGATATTCTCAAATTCGTATCAGTTGACCTACGGAGTTCTCAGACGGGAAGGTCACCGGTGACATCTGCGCATGTATTCTCGAGCCCTCAGACTTCGCCCGCGCGTATGCGTGCTTCCGCCGGCACATGCACCGCAGACTGCGATTCTGCGAATCTCGTCTCTTCGCGGATACCACTCGTCGAAGTCGCAGAAACAGTGTGCCGCGGAAGCATCGCAGCTGGACGTCACGACAACAGAGAAACTCAGGCCGTTTGCGATCGAGCGCGTTGGCGGTCGAGAATGCCATGTCTCCTGGACGGACCGCGGCATCTCGAAGGAGTGGAGGGAGTTATCGAACAGTACAGGCGAGGATGAACAGGCCGTGTCTACCTCGGCGTCGTCCACAGGGAGGTTCACATCGTGGCTCCGGCAGATGTTCCTGCCCACCAACTACCCGCAGTCTGTCCACCGGTCGTGAGTCTTTCGCAGTAATCTCCGCTTCGTTTCTTCACAGACTTGATGAATTGTGACCAATCCGTGCCTCACGCTTGGACCGCCATAGGTACTTGCCGTTCCACGTCCTCCAATTCTTCGAGACGACCTTCGGCACAATAGTCTCCGTACTGTGCAACCAGGCGCTGCTCACGTCCGTGGGTGTCAGCGCTGAGGGCAGCATCTTCGGTGCGGTCGCCGTGCAGTGGATCATCAAGGACGGCGCCGGGGAAGTCGCGAAGCTCTTCTTCATCCGCCGCTTCTCGCCGTACTTTGACAGTCACCCCAAGACGTTTACGCTGTTTGGCGAGAGCATCGTCGCGCTCGGAAGCTGCATGCAGATCGCGACTGTTCTCATGAAGCCGTCGCCTACCAACTTTTTGTTGTGTGCAGGTGGGTAGGCGTTGTATCTCCTCGTTGGTTCCACTGCTGATTGGGCATCAGCCGGTGGGAACGCCATGAAGCTTATTGGATACGCGGTACGTCTCGCTTCGTGCTTCCAAACGATCTACGCCCACAACTGCCTCCGCAGGTCTGGTTCACAACGCACATGAAATGGATCCGCTACTTCTCGCTGCAAGGCAACATGGGCGACGTCGCAGCCAAAGACGAGTCCCAGACTTCCCTGGCCCAGCTCGTCGGGTACGCCGCCGGAATAGGCCTCCTGACGTTCTCGCACTCGCCCGCGTACCTATACATGCTCTTTGCCCTGTGCACGCCCGCGCATCTGACGGCCACCGTGGCGATGATGCGTCTGGCGACGTTCGAGACGCTGACGCTGCCCAGGCTTACCCTGCTCGCGCGCGACTACGCGGAGGCTGATGGTAAGCAGGACATGCCGTCGTTCAAGGAATTCGAGGCGGCGGGCGAGACGGGCGTCTTTGGGGAATACTTCAAGACTAAGAAGGACCGATATGTGACTCTTGCTCCACGTGTGGGAGATGTCGTGGCCACGAATCGAGCGCGAGTCCAGTCAGTGGGACGTGTGTTCCAATATCTTCCAGGTACGTTGGGCCGTTTAGACCCCTTCTGCATCGCTCGTTGACTGACTCTGCTTAGAATGAGAAGTATATGCTTTACCCGACGGCGGCGTCATCATCACGGCCCATATCCATATTCTACCACCCCGATGCCGCCTCAGACGACACGCTCCGATCGGTTCTGCATGCCGCCCGGCTCAGACACCTGGCGGAATCGACGACTCCGGGCGCGTCAACCCTGCGGGAAGCCTTGGCAGAGTCACATGCATGGACAGCAGAACACTTCGACAGATTCAAGGCTGCGTTGGACGAGAAAGGTTGGCGGACAGACGAGGTTGGCTTTGCGGACCACGGCCATCGGCTCTTGTGGGGTGCAGAGGCCGATAGGGGTTCATGATCTCTGCTCAACTGTATGAGTTGGGTGCGAGGATTGGCGCGAATCGCCGAGTCCACCTTTCCGAAGGCTCAGCACGAGCATCGTCGCGGCTTGTGCGCGCTACGGAACATCCCAATGGCGCCTCTCATGGCGCGGGGTCATCCTCGAAGGAGTCTTGAGCATACATCCCCTGCTTTCATGGGCCTGTGGGGATCAGGCATGCACGTCCAACGTGTGCGCGTGGATGGATGTAGAGGCCACGGACATAGATCATTAGAGTAAGATCGAGTAGTATGCATGGTAGATATGTATAGAGTCGTGCTAATATTATACAACCCCGCCTCACTGCACGAGCGGCTACGAGTCAACATGAATAAACCCGGCCCAAACCATCCCTTTGATACATACGCGGACCGTCTCGATACAACCACGCGCATCTTGAAGTACCACGCAACTTACGCACCATTCAACTGCAATCAATGTGTGCTTGTGTAGGTGTTTATGACATGATTGACATTTTTGATTGACGTTTAGCCTGAGGTTAAGTCAGCCCGAACAAGTGGATGCGACGCATGACATGGTATTCAGTGATTCATGCCTAATAGTACACTGGTCGAACGAGTTCACCGCCAATCTATCGACAAGCTGAACTACAGGGTCTTCTCGATATAGTCAAGGTCCGGCATGATCATCTTTCCATCCTCGGTATTCTTGAGAAGAGTCACCTTCTCCCACAGACGATGCTCGCCGTACCTCTTTGCCCTCATCCAGCTCTCCAGAGTATACCCTGTCGGATGGACGCGACGGACCCACTCGTAGTCTCTCGGGATGATGTCGTCCCGCCAGAGGGCCCACCACGCGCTGAAGTTCTGCCGCCACGTCGTAGAGCCGTCGCCGAAAGGACGCTCGTTCGCGACGGGATGGTCGACGTTCTTCATGTTCTTGCACCAGTCGTCGTAGGACTGGTACACGACCTCCGCTCGCTGCCCGTTACCTTCTCGAAGGTGGCCTTCAGATACTCCCAGCCGACCCTGTCCGTCGCGATCTGCAGGTCCTGCGCGGAGGTGAGCTCCCGGTTGTCGAAGGTGTAGCGGGCGAAGAACCCAAAGTCCTCGAGCGCGATCATCGGGACGTGGCCGTTGCCCACCGGTGTGGCGAAGACGACCGTGCCATCCTCACGCTTCTTCAGCGGACCAAACATGTACTGCGATTACCGTTGAGTCACCCAATAATATCGCAACACTGTTACACAGAAGGGAACTCACGTTGTACAACATCTCCATGTATGGCCCCGATGTGATCACAGACCACGTCATGTCGGTCTCACTAACGATGGACGGTTGGGCTTGCATGAAGTCTGCGACGCGGCCCTTGCCGTCATAGTGCTCGCATTTGTAGGTGGTGTTGTAGTTCGACAGCTGGTTTGGCGATGGTCAGCCTAGGTATTAGCCCGTTTGTTGTGTTGCTAGGCAACCTACCTTGAAGCCGTAATCCAGGTTACTCCAGATGTAATGGCGCACCCCGGTCTGCTTCGCCAGCTCGAAGATCCTGATGCCTGCCCACGTTTCCTTCTGCTCGCCCACCGTAAAGCCGTCGGTGTTAATGAAAGCACCGTAGACACCTTGCAAGGCAGCCGCCACAGACGCGAGGTCATCGAATGCGCCTGTGGATACATGATCATTCAATGATGGCGCTCTCGTGGTGATGGTGTGCTCATCAACGTACCTCGGACTACGTCGACGCCTCTCGCCGCGAGCTCCTTGGCGCGGCGACTGTCTGGGTCCCGAGTCAGGGCGCGGATAGCGTATGGCGATGGCGAGCCGTCGTCGGAAGGCGCAAGTAGTCCGTCAATGACCGCGATGCCTTGTGCGCCAGTGGCGCCGATGACGAGAAGGAGTTTCTTAGTCTGTATGAGAGCCATGATGGGGCTTGTCGACGATCGAGTCTCCTGCTGCAGAAAGTGTTAGACACAAATCTCTATCTGACGGGCTATATATACATAGTCGCGAGCGTACCAAAGTGAATTACAATCCTCGTCCCAGTGGCGCGGGCTAGATAATCACAGCCGATGGACAGCTTATACAGCCGGACTCCTGCGGCCTCGGGCGGTTTACGTTGCGCTGAGTAGTCGGTATCCTAGATGGGGTCACGTTTCCAGACGTCATTCGCCGCATCGCGGGTGCGACGAGAAGACGATAGCTGAGGAGCGAGATTCCATGTGAGTGCTATAGACTTGACAGCAATTCCGGCTTACTGAAGCGCGTCAGACAGGTAACATTCCAGCTTATATGTAGGCAGAGCTATATCCTGACGTGGTGATAGTCCGTCGCAACTCAGTCTGAATTCTGCCAATGCATTCCCATCTAGCTTCTAACCGTCATGGCCGCTGAGCGCGTTGACGACAACCTGTCTTAGTGCATTATGATACTACATAAGTAACACTGCGAGTTTCGTACGACGCACCTGCTGATCGTCATGTATTGCGAGCAATCACCACTTGTTGTAAGTAATCGAACGACCATATCAACCGTCGAGAACTTGAAGAAGTCCCTTCCCGACTCCCTCGGCGAGCCGGGGAGTCTCCCCGAGTCTGTCATCGTCTGCTTGTTCATGGTCAGAAGTCCAATCCTCTAAGTACGGGCCATGCAACATGGATACCCATGGGATCGAGTTAGTGATCAAACAGCAGCTCTATGGCGTGTATATGCCGGAGAGAAGAAGTATAGCCGGCTCTAGATCGCCGCATCGCTCAATAACACCACGGTCATCGCGGGTATCAGGGTCGTCGCGGGTACCAGCCTGGTTGTCGTGGGCATCACGGTCATCGCGGGTACCACGGCCTCATAACCAAGGTCTTAATCCCACTGGACGATGGACTTCTCGGCGGAGCCCAACTGGCCCCCTTCAGACTCTACGCTTTGGGGAGATTTCACACTGGACATGATCGTGGTGGTGAGACCGTCGCGGACGGAGGGCAGGCTTTGAGTGCCGGATGTCAAAGAAAATAGATGAGTGTTGGCTGCGCGCGGGGTGTCATGAGGTTACTTCAATGGCAGCAGCCCGACGTAGACAGGAGGAACGGCAAGTGAAGTCAGACATGAAGAACACGCTCTGCTCTGTGTAGTAGCCAAATCAACGTGACAGAATGCGCAAGTGTATGTATGCCGGCACACCTCAATAAACCAGGACAGTTCGCTGAGCACTCATCGCGCTGAGAGCAAGGTGGGGACAGTAGTCCGCACCTAGAGAAGACACCCCAATGCAATAGGTCTTCATAGTGTCGTGGCGCTTCTGACCCGAGACTGAAACCCCGCACATATTGAACTTCGCCTCCTATTCGACGGAAGCGCGCACACATACATAGGTATGGTACACACGCCTGCTGGTGGACAGCCCAAGACAGATCGATTACCGAGTGGACTTCTGGAGATGCACACACCTATGTAGATCCAGCAATGGGTCGACAATTGAACTTGACTGGAACGTTACTCGGTAAGCCACTGCGCTTCTCCTCCTCGACACCACGAACATGCCGTCGCAGCCTCACAAAGTGAGGAGACCCGGTTCTTGCACTGCAAACGCGTAGAGGAGACCGCGTCAACTCGGGCGCGAAGCCAGCACTTCGGAGCGTCAGCTCGACACCGTGATTCGGAGACGGTGACAATGAATTATGCGATGCGTCATGCACCGGAAGGATCTCCTCTTGCATGAAAGGTTTGCGAAGCCAGAGCGATCGCGGCTACGGGGCGGGGTATACGTAAATCTGGCCGACAGGTTGCGAGCGGTGTCTGGAAAGGCGGATCCGCATAGGCTGTGGCCCGAGTATGATACGAGTGGGACTCTGTGCCTTATGTCGAGCGCGAATGAGGTCAGAGGCAGGACGACGATCGAGGGGGATGGGACGAAGATGGGAGGCATGACCGAGGAACGTGACCTCGACGCGACCTCGAGGCGTGCGCGGGCACGCGTCGCGCGCCCGGCGTTTGCTCCGGCGTGCCCGTAGAGCCCGTCCTCGCCGCCATCCTGCTCTTGTGCAATTCCTGTTATGTCCTCTCTCCCCAGATCTCTTGCCGCCGCCTTTCTCGACGATCAGCGCAATGCACGCCCCTCCTCGGCTCCCCCAGATCCTGAAAGAGTCCCCCCCCACCCCGCATCCTCTCTCGCAGACCTGGACGACTCCCGCATCACTCCTCCTCCTCACAGACCCAGCAGCGAGGCTCCTGGTCGCCTGGACATGGGAATCCCACCAATTGGAGCACCCATCGACCTAATGTCTCAGCTCCAACGCTCCGAGCCGTCTGTCGTAAAGACACGGACGGGCAGTGTGCTCTCTCGGGGATTTATTCTGAAGACAGACTATTGGCCCTCAGGTACGTACAACGCTGTCTAATACACCGCCAAAAGTATCTGATATGCCAATGGACCATAGGCCGTGCACTCGATCTCGGTCTGACCGTGCACGGTGCACCAAATTTCCGTGCACCGAGGAATAGCAACCTCAATGTGTTCGGCGTCGCACAACCTCGGACTCAAGGCCTTCGTGGCATCCTTTCGGTCCTGCGGTGCCGCCCAAACGCGACCAAGCCAACGCATGTTATATGGTTTTCCACCAGGGAAGAACCAGTAGGTGAGTCGAGTCAAGCAGAGGAGCTCTATCGTGCTGGGCAATTGTCATCGCCGAGTTTGTGTACTATTTCTATAGGCGTAAGCAGTCGAACAGCTCCGCATCCGTCTGTGACGGATGTCCGGTGCAATTGCGTCGCTCGATTGGGCCATCATGCACTACAGTACACTATATCATAATGCTTCAGGTCAGTATACACTCACCGTGACACGGTGTATCTGGTGCAATTTTTCACTTCTGACATTACCCGATTTATGTAAGACGACGTCGCGTGTGTTATGTCCTGATGCATTATGAGCTAGTGTACTGTAGTCAGAGTTCTGGCACAGAGGCATCTGTCTATACCTTTCCGACTATCAAATTACACCGATGTCAAAATCACTGGATCCAGAGTCAACGCGGAAACGTGGCTCGAACAAACGCAGGTCAAGTGTACCCGATCCATTTCTTTTCTCAGTATGTAGTTGTGGTGACCATTGACTCACAATTGACTTCGAAGTATATGTGTCTGGTCGCCCATTCGTCCTCCGAGACGCATCCGAGCCACGGCGGACGCTGAAGCTCTCTGATCGTGCCGAGAACTTAGAAGCGATCGAGGAGCGGCTGAAGCCGACATCCTTGTCGAGGCAAGCAAGTGAGCTTCTATTTATTCACCGTCGAGAGCATAGAGTCTATCCAGCGTTCCAGGTACGGAGGCCTGATTCTGACGCATAATGAGATTGGTGAGTTATACGCTTATGCACGACTGGTTCCCGGTCACTGAGGCTGTGTAGCATCCGATGCTGGCGAGGGTGCGATCGTCCCAACATGGACCGCGGTGGATGGCGCGAATGTGCGTACGATGCGCGAGCTGATGGAGAACATGCGCAAGGACGGCTGGAATGTCGAGGTGAGCCGATTTTTGCGAGGCTCAGCAGTAAGAAATAAACGTGAGATTGCGTTGGTAGTATCATAGGTATGTTCGCGAAGGATGGCGTCGTATAATCAACTCACAAGTTCCAGAATTCCTATCTCGCCGGAGCGACCCATTGAGGTATACATACTCCCTCACATCCTCACATATTCTTGTCTCACCCAGGATTCAGGACAACTATCTCGACGCCTACCTCCATGTGATCAGGCGAACAGACCCGGCCACCACCGCGCTCGTGTTCAACTGTGGCATGGGCGCCGTGCGCACCACGTTCGCGATGGTCGCGGCGTGCATAATCCGCAGGAAGCAGCTCATCATGCGCGGGTTGGACGACCCGTACGTGAACAAGGCCGTAGTGCCAAAGCCGCTGGTAGTCTCGGTGGGTTGGGTATCTCGCTCTGGTTCGGACTGGAAAGCTGATCGTGTGGGATGCCAGTCGACGGGAAGCCAGGTACTGGATGTGCCTCCTTTGGTCGAGCGGCTTGTTGACGAATCTTTGTGTGACCCAGCCGTCGAGCATGAAGCTCCAGCAAGCCCTCGAGCAAGCGAGTATGCAGCAAGACCTCAACCGCTCCCTCCTCCGGATCACATCCATCCTGCAGCAATGTCCGCTCCTGCCCTCTTCGTCTAGTCATCCGCATGACACGCTAACACGCTCGCACAGGCCTGGAAACGAAGAACTCGCAGACCGCAACCGAGCTCCTGCTCACGCAGCCGACGCTCCTCGAGAGCCTGCGCAAGGCGCACATGGGCAACTACGGCATCGTCCTGAGCCTGCTCGGCTGCCTCGACCACGGGCTCAAGTCGAAGAAGCTGGCGGACCGCGTCATCGATTCTTGTGGGTCCCCGGTTGGGTTTATTCGGCGGGCGCGGCTAACGCGGGGATGGACAGGCGACCAGGTGACGAACCTCCGCGAGGACGTCTTCACGCACCGCGTGCGATACTCGCTGACGACGACGATGGACGAGACGCAGAGGGAGATCGTCCTCACGAAGGCGGTCCGGTCGCTGGAGAAGTAGTGAGTCCCGCGTCTTGCGTTGTCGAGAGACTGGTGTTCACCCAGAGACTAGCTTCTTCATCATCGCGTTTGCGGAGTATGTGGACCAGAGCGACTCCTCTCAGAGCTTTTCGTCGTGGCTCAAGGTAAGTAGACACATTCGGGATTTGGTCGTGTTGTGAAATGGCGCTCACCTTTCTCTTAGGCGAGGACGGAAATATGGAAGTGCGTGTTGAGCTCGTTTGTTGCTGTGCAGTGAGCTGAGACTACACATAGCCAAGTCATGTTCCTGAGGAAGTCGTATGGCTCTCGCCTGAACGTGTTCGCTCCTATCAATGACCTGTCCAATCTGTCCAAGACGGGCTCTCAAGAACGGGCGTTGGTTCCCGGTCAGAAGAACGATGTCGCGATCGCAGGTGGACAGATTCTGGGAGATGAATACTCAGACCATGTCGTCAGGGTGCGTGTAGGATCTTGTATCGTTATCGTGCATGTCCTGACGCTCGAGTAGAACCGCAGTGGGATCATACTACGCGAAGGGTACGTCTCATCCGGAGGTTGTGTGATCCGGCGCGACTGACCTCACAATTTCCCGGCAGGACCCTCCTCAAGTCGGACCAGTGGCTCAGCGAATCTCACGAGATGGCGGACGGCGTCCGGGGTGCTATCAACTTCCGCAACATCCCGAACACGAACATCTATGCGCTCGGTCAGCCGACGCTCGAGGCGGTGGACGAGGTCGTGAATCGCGTGCGCGGCGCACATCCGGAGGCGAACCGGATACTGTGGATCACACTGAGGGAGGAGCCGATCGTGTACATTAACGGCGCGCCGTATTGCTTGCGGCGGGAGAGGTTCACGTTGCGGAACATGAAGGGTGCGTGGGCCACTTTGTTCTCAATACTGTGGATCGGCTGATTTGTATCGACAGACTATGGTGGCATCTCGTCCTCGCGTCTGGAGGTTCTCGAGGAGCGACTGCGAGACGACGTCATCGCTGAGCTGAACGCCTTCGGAGGTCGACTGCTTCTGCACACCGAGACACCTGACGGTTCGGTCATCCCAGTATGGGAAGAAGTCGAGAGCCAGAATGTCTCTGTGCCGAAGGACATCATGGCCACCCGGAAACATATCGACGACTGCGCGGAGCTCGCTTATGCGCGCATCCCGATCACCGCTGAACGACCACCGGACTTCACCGACCTCAGTGAACTGATCGACGTCATGGTGCGCAACAGTGCGTCGAGGGCGCCCATTGTCGTCAATTGCCAGCTGGGACGCGGTCGGAGCACTATGACAGCGGTACGCTAGTTGTTGGCCGCCCGCGCTGCGCGATCTCATCTGATCGCTCATCCTTTAGGTCATTCTGCTGCTGATCCAGCAGTGGCTAGAGAAGGCAGCAGAACAGCATGCTTCTCAGTCGCCCCGCAAGCCCACACGATCTCTCCCTTCGGCGGTGTCTGTCCCGCCGGCTGATGGTGTCTTAGATCAACACTGTGTCCGCCAGTCCTACCAAGTGATCAATAGTACGTCGATCTCCCGCATCCTGACTGACCGCGCTGACCATTGCGTAGATCTTCTCCGGGTCGTGCGCCGAGGCCCCGCTGTCAAGAACACTGTGGACGACGCCATTGATCAGTGTGCTGAAGTGATCAACTTGCGGGAGTCCATTGAAGAGGCGAGATCACGGGCAGAGCAGGCCACGGACGAGCGACAGAGGAGACTACATGCTCATAAAGGTCTGCATCCGCTGCCAGCCTCAACCTGTTGTCTGCTCACTATGTCGACGGCTTCTTATAGGGCTCCAAAACCTACGACGGTACTTCGAGCTCATGGTCTTCCAGTCCTACCTACAGTCTATTGAGCCAGACACCATGCAGAACTTCGAGACCTTCGAGACCTTCGTCGAGAATCGCCCTGGTACGCTAACTTCCGTCGTCGGCGGACATACAGGCTGAAAGTCAGTCTAGTCATCAAGACGTTTGAGAAGGAGTTAGTGTCGGACAGCATGAGCACACTGAAGCCGCTTGAGCGTGTGGACGCTGCCGAAGGTCTTGCACTCCCTGACGAAGTACAAAGGATCGTAGCCAACCGAACGGGGAGCATCCTGTCGGCTTCCACTATCCTCAAGAGCGACTTCTTCTCTAACTTGCAGAAGATGAGTCTTCCGGAGTACGTTTCACTTACTGTGTGGGGGATCATGAATAGCTGACTTGGGCTTGGGTAGACGCATCGAAGGGGCGCCTAACTTCCGAAGGGTCCCCCTTACGCTACGCCTTGTGCCATCGGGATCGACATCACCAACTGATAAGACTGACTTTGCCGTCAATACCTCAGCAGATCATAGATGGGTATGTGGATGGTGAGTCGATGTTTCCAACTGCCATGTGCTATCGACTCAGCGGCTCGTCCAGTGGAATGCCCACCTTGCAGGGGTAAGTCAAGCAGCTCGTCGTGCTCGGGACCCCGCTCATCTCGATGCAGCTTGAGGAACGCACTGATTCGCGTGAATGCGGGGCCAGGCGGCAGTAACTCGGTGTACTGGACTTCGTTGCGCGAGGTGAATATCTCAGACCGTCTTGTGTCAGCTACGCTTACCACTTGCATCTGACGTCAGGAACCGGTAATCTACGTAGCTGGCAGACCGCACGTATTACGACTAGTCGACAAACCATTAGAGAACGTCGAGTAAGACTCATGGGGAGGAGTGTCGTTCCCTAATCACAGCTGAACCTACCTTCAGGGCTACGGGCGTAACAACTGTCATGGTGGAAGCTATGGAAGAGAACCTCAAGCGGGATGTCATACGGGAGGTACGAGCGGGCGATGGTCGCATTTTACTGCACGATGAGGTCGAGGAAAGGCCGGGTGTATTCTCCATCATCCCGATCTGGGAAGATGTCACTGAAGACGATATCATGACGCCACGAGATGTTTACGACATGGTTGTGAAGGAAGGTTACAAGGTCGGTTCATAGGCTCTGCTGTGAATGTGACCATGTGCTAACTGATCTCGCAGGTCAACTACGATCGAGTCGCAGTGGTACGGCGCATTAGCCTCCATGGTGGAACTATCTGACCCTTTCTTCTGATCTGCTAGACGGACGAGCAAGCACCTCTTCCCGCTGCCTTGGCCCAACTCCTCGAGCGAGTCCGCGCCGGACTTGAGGCTGGCGAAGCGGCAGACTTCATCTTCAACTGTCAAATGGGTCGTGGTCGGACCACCACGGGCATGGTCACAGCTTCTCTCATCGCGACGACTACACGATGGGTCCATGATCTTGAAAACGTGATGCTAGAGTCTCGTGGAGATGATGAGGGTGATGATCGCGAGGTGCACTATGACTCTATTGATGGTCCTTCAGAAGAGGAGGCATGCCTACAAGGTGAGGTGTCTCCGTAGCAACTGACAGACAGAACTCACACGCACCATACTATAGGGGAGTACAAGACCATCCTTCAGCTTGTCAGCGTGCTCTCCCATGGGAAGATGGCCAAACGACTCACGGACCGCGCTATCGACTTGATGCAAGACGTGCAGAATCTACGAAAAGCAATTTACGAGTACGACGATAGCAACATCTCTAAGTATCATGTTCCCATTCGCTGATTCTCTGCTAGCTACAAACTGAAAGTCAACGCCTGTGAGAAGGGAAGCAGCAAGCAACGCAAACTAATGGACATTGGCATCAACTACTTGTATGTCCCGATCGGTCTTCCTCGCGCCTTACATTCAATTTATGCGTGACACAGGTATCGATATGGAGCCTTGATTGTATTCGCCAACTATCTCATTGAAATGAAGGAAGGAGGTGAAAGCGGACCCCAGACGACTTTCCCTGACTGGCTCAAGGAAAGACGCGAGATCACCATGCTCTTGAGTCGTAGATCACTGGACTGACGGACACTTCGACGTCCTGCACCTGTTCGTGTACAGTAACATGATAATGCTGTATCCTGGTCGTTGTGTAGAGGCATTATAATAATATACAAGGGCCTAGGTAATGGAGGGAGCCAGGCTGAGTCGCTTCGGAGCGCCAGACTGTAATTAAACTTCGAGCGCCCGTTATGGTGACGATGTCCGCCCAGAAAGGCAACTCAGACCACTAGAAATCATGGACGTCACAGTAGTCGTCCAACGTTCGACCACCAAGTCTGACTGGCACTTAGGCTGTAGTAGCATAAGCACTACACGGGGATTCTGAAGTCAGCAACGTCCTTGACCTTCACATCATGTCGATGTCACGGTGAGTCTCGCCTCTTTCAAACCTCGCAAGATGTTCACAAAATGTCCTATAATTCAGGTCTCAGCTGCTTCAGCTGGCCATTCCTCTGGTACATACGTACGGCTTCACTCGTGCAGCTCTCAGCCACTCGGTTTTTCGACTTCCGAAGCCTCATTCAGAGCAGCTATCCGATTCTGCCGTGACAGCACTGTTCGGTGAGGACCATGATGCGCGCAAGACCCTCATCACCGCATGGCTCGAGAACGCTCGTTATCAGATGAAGGGGGCACCTTCGCCGACAATCAGAGATGTGCTTGCTCAGAGGCTGAAGCTGAACGAGCCGGTTTTGCAATTTCTTCCGGAGGTATGTAGGATTGGTCTTCATGCTTCTAGCTCAGCACGACGAATGGTCCCTTGACAGGCTCTGGCATTGATGGCGTCCCCGACGAGTGGCCTGCCGCCTTTGGACCCTGTTCCTGCGTTGAAGCACACTGGAAGTGTCGCAGACGAGGCTTGTACATTGTAGGCGAGCACACCATCGGTGTATGTGCATCTCTTCTCGGACCGTGCATCACTTGACGCACTTCAAAGCTCGCTTGGTACGGTCGGCGAGCTACCCTTGCTGCTGTCTATGCCGCCGCAGGTCAGGCCGTTGCATTGTATTACTGTTTGCTCTTGCTGACGATTCACACAACGAACAGAACTACACCAGCTGAACTCGCCCAGCACAGCATACGATTTCCTGGGTAATCTGCTTAACTCGTCTGCGAAGGTTGAATCTGCCCTCACGGACGCGGGGGTATTTGCTCAATATATTGGGCGGAGCTGGGCTGGTATCATCAAAAGCAGAGGCATGATTTGATGTCTTGACACGAGCCACACTTGAGATCGCATGCAAAGGAGTAGAATCGGAAGGAACTGGCTTCAATGTGTGCGGGCGCAGCTCGTCGTGTCGCAGCTCTGTATGGCATCTTGTCCTCGATACGTTATCCTCACACTGCTCGATTTTGTATGCCACTAATCCAGCTCAAGTTGACTAATCAGGGACGTTAGAAGGCGTGGTGGTTCGAACGCCTTGGGAGAGACGGTGGTTATGCGGAGTAAGGAATCCGTGTGTCAATGAAGGGCCGATGCCCGACCTGACGATGGAAGATTGGTCATAAGGTAGCCGCAGAGACCGACACACTGTAATCTTCGCCACTCCACTACATTTTTGACAACCGCGAGCTCACGTCCGCCGCGGAGGTGAAGATTGGCTCCGACTGGGTTGACTAGGAGCACCTCAAGTCCGTGAAGGTCACAAACCAGAAGGCAGCGGTTATCTGCCAGTCGATCGAGGACTGGTGCGCGGACTTCGTGGGCGTCGACAACCCCTTCTTAGCCGATCGCATGCCCGGAAACGGAGCGACGACGTGGAGGCACAACTGGTGAACGTGGGACCCATATGCGCATGAAGTGCTTGACCTCCCATGATGAGTCTACTGTCACAGTTTGGTTGCGGGGGCATTGACGGCGAGGCGCGTTGGGTTGAGTTGGTGGATCGACATTGCACATACCTTGTATTGAATGTCGCAATAAATAAAGCTTCGCGGACGATCTGATGAGTTTGAGACGCCATCTTCAAACGCAAGCCTCAAAAACTGACTCAGTAATGTATCTATTGGGCGTGATATAAGGAGAAACGTAAGGCATACTGTCGTGGATTGGAGCGTCTAACAAGACGACGGCAGTTGTCCGTCTGGGCGCGGAAAGATGCAACGAGTACCAAAACGATGAAATGTGAATGAGCAGAAGTCGGAGCCGTCGATGTCTCTTGGCAGCCGTGATGAATAAGGCTAGGGATGCGAATGTGTTTATGTCAACGGATTGCGGGTATGGTACGTGCGCGGGGGCGGATGGGTCATGCGATGCATCAACAAGAGAGGACTAGAGAGGTGTAGGGTAGCGTTATGTCGCGAAGGCTGAGCATCGGTACAATATCGTGCATGGGCGGGTCGTGATCATGAGACGGCGGAATTAACAGGGACTAGATTCATTTCCCCATCGTTGACGGGTGGGATCGTCTGGCTTCGTGTCTGGATGTACTTGGATTCGTCCCTCCCACAGCGCAGCTGAAGACTTCGAGGGGTCAAACTGAGCGGGGTCGGCAAGCCCGTTCGGGCTCAACGGTGCCCGCCCGATGGATGACGCAATCAACGTCGGAACCATGGTCATAATAGAGGGCCTAAAACCGTGGTCAGTAACATCGCCGATAAGTATACCAAAGGAGAGAACGTACAAGCCGAGCTCAGTCTCAGGGAGCGGGCGGGCCTTGCGGCTCCTGTCCACATAAGACGACGCACGCATACGACCACCGCGAATGTGAGCAAACGTGTTCAGGTTATCCCTCACGAGTTCAATCGCGGTGTTCCAGTCGCCATCTGTACGCGTCGTCGGAAGAACGGCAGGGGTCGACATAATGTGCAGCGTCTTCAGCAGTCGTTCAACTGGCGCGTTGGGAATATAACGAATAAGGGCACCCAGAGGGATAGAGACGAGGCCTAGAGCCAGACTGATACCCCACTCAGCGCCGCCGATTCGCGTAACGCTGAATGCGGCACCGCCGACGAACACGATGAGGATTTGAACGCCGATTTCTGGTAACGAGGCAATCAGCGGCAAGTCATCAAGCGCAGATGGTGTACTGACCGATGAGCGTGATGCCAATGAAGTAGTAGTTCCGCGTAATGCCCTCGAAGATATTCAGGTGATTGTCCAATCGCCGGCAGTTCACCGAGTTCGCGATTTGCGCGAACACAAAGATATTGAAGACTGTGGTCTGCGCGACCGTCGAGCTGTATTGCGGATCAAACGCCAGAATACTGCTGCCCAAGAAATGGAACACGAGAATGATAATGATCTGGTAGACAGATTGGCCGATGATCTGCTTGTACATGTCGACAGAGAAGAGCGGCGAGGTCTTCTTGTCCGGCTTGCGATCTAGGAGTTCAGGAGAAGCGGGGTCCGTCGCCAGAGCAAGCGCAGCAAACGTGTCCATGATGATGTTGATCCAAAGCAGTTGCACCGCTGAGAGCACAGACGACTCCGACGCCGATGCCACCGCCGTAACGAACGTCACCATAACCGCCGTGATGTTCGTCGAGATCTGGAACTGCAAGAACTTGCGCACTGCGTCGTTCACGCACCGACCCCACATGATCGCCTTCACGATTGACGCGAAGTTGTCGTCCATCAGGATAATGTCGGACGCCTCTTTCGCGACTTCCGTGCCAGCAATACCCATGGAGAAGCCAACGTCCGCAGTCTTGAGGGCAGGGCCGTCGTTCGTACCGTCGCCAGTGACGCCCACAATCTCACCGAGCTCACGGAGCTTTTCCACGAGCAGCTTCTTGTCCTCGGGAGACGACCGTGCAAGTACCTGTAACCGAGGGATGGCCTCCAAGAGTTCGTGGTCGCTCAGTTTCCGGAAGACAGGGCCCTCCATAATCAGGCCGCCTTCGGTGAAGATGCCACACTGCAGCGCGATTGAGCGCGCCGTGAGAACGTTGTCACCCGTGCACATCTTGACAGTCACGCCGGCCTTGAAGCAGTCCGCGACAGCATCCCGAACACCCTCTCTGAGAGGGTCCTCGATACCCGTGATGGCGATGAGAGTCAACTCTTGCGCTAAGTCTTCGTACTCGACCTAGGGGTACATAGGTGTCAGCAACTCAGGACGAAACCAGGCGTAGTGCACGTACCTCGTCCTCCGCAGTGTACGACGCACCTGCAGGTGGCCAGGACTCAAAGTCACGATAGCACAGCGCGATCGCTCTCAACATCTGGTTCGCATAGAAGATGATCGTCCTTGACACGTTGTCCCGCGCCAAGTCGTCCATCTCCCTCGTGTCGACGCCAGTCGACTCGCTGTCCTCCTCAGCCCGCATCACGCTCACGAAGCTCGTGCACTTCCGCGCGAGGATCTCGCTCGCGCCCTTGAGGTACACGCGATACCTGCCGTCCGCCAACTTCACGACGACGCCCATCGCCTTGCGCGAGCTCGAGAACGGGAGCATCTGCACGATGTTCGCGGCCTCGCGCGTCTTCTTGTAGTCCGCCCAGCCGAGCTCCTTCGCGAACTTCAGCAGCGCAGTCTCCGTCTTGCTCCCGACGAACACGAGCTCCTCCGTCTCCGGATCCACGTCCTCAAACGCCGTCGAGTTAATCGCGATCGCATCATTAAACAGCTCACGCAGCGCCGGGTGCAGAAACTTGTTCATCTCGCTCTGATCGATCGAGAAGTCCTGGGAGTGTTTCCGCTTGCCGTTCGTCGGACGCGAGGTGCCTTGAAGGACGTCTTCCGCCTGCCTGTCCTGGGTCTGCTGATCGCCCTCGGCGTTCGTGCGAGACCTGTTGTCCGGGAGATTGCGCACGAACTTGCAATGGATCCCGATGGTGCCGGCGACGATGGTCATGCTGTTCTGGGTGAGCGTGCCAGTCTTGTCGGTGCAGACCACACTGGCGTTCGCCATCGTCTCACAAGAGCCGAGCACGCGAACGAGCAGGTTCTCCTTCGTCATCCGCTTCGTGGCGAACGCAAGCGCGAGCGTCACCGCGAGCGGCAACCCTGCACATGGCCTCACTCAACTTCCATGGCTCGGATGTCTGCGGAGAACGCACCTTCAGGGACGGCCACGACAATCACTGTCACGGAGATGATCAAGATGTTGACGAACTGGATGCCCTTCTGGTTCGCCGTGCGCACAGGGTCGTTCGTGCCCAGCTGCACGAAGAACCGGATCATGAGGGCGATGAACAGCGCGAGCCCCGCGATGCTGCCCGCCTTCGCGATCAACTCCGCGAGGTCGTTGAGCTTGAGCTGGAGGGGCGTGTCCTCCGTGTCACCGCGGAGCGCTACAGAAGGAGCACAAAAATAGGTCAGCGGTATGTCACCACGTGGGCGCGTGTTGATCGAAGCGCGCAGGATGGGGCGGGGGGATATAGGGTGCAAACGAGCGTACGAGCGGACATAGAAGACGAGACACGCACCCATCATGATACGCCCATTGAAACTCTTGGGACCAACAGCGATCACCACGTAGCTCCCATAGCCCTCCAGCACCTTGCTCCCACTGACCATGAAACAGTCCGAGTGCCCTCCGGCGTGTTCGCCGTGGCCGTCTCTCGCCCGGACCGCCTCCTCGTAGTCGATCTTCCGGATCGCGTCGCTCTCACCCGTCGCGCCACTCTCATCGCATCGGACGTTGTGGCCGCCGAGGTAAACACCGTCGCACGGAATGATCTCGCCCGGTTCAAGAAGCGCGATGTCGCCGACGACGACTTCGTGCACGTCGACGACGCGCTCGTCGCCTGCACGGATAACCTTGACCCCACGTTCTTCCTTTTTCTCATTGAGGGCTTGGAACTGACGCTCCTTTTGCCAGTCGTTGATCGAGCCGACAAGGACCTACGGGCGCCAACGCGGTCCAAGAATACAGTCGGAGGTTGCCGAGGCACAACGGGTATGGAAGGTGAGCAAGAACGAAAGCAGCACCTAGGAAATGTGTACGCACGACAATGAGGATAGCAACAATAATGGCGACACCTTCGACCCAATCTACAGGAGGCTCGCCAGCTGGCCTTGGTGTACCGAAGTCTTGGAAGAAACCGAGCGCAAGAGACACGACGGCAGCTATACTCAATAGGACCTAAGGAACCGAACCCAAAAGGTAAGAAGCTCTGATCATATCAAACTGAACAAGCGGCAGAGCGGAACGTACCAAAACCTTATCCTTCAATGCGAGCCACATGAGCTGCAAGAGCGATTTGGTCTTGCGCACCGGCAGGACATTCGTACCGAAAACGCGTCGCCGTTCCTCCATCGGAGCGTTGTATGCTTTCTCGTCCATCTCTTCCTCACTCTCATCGCCCGCAGGACGCTGCTTCCCACTGCTAACATCAATCTCGCTCCCGGGCCCTGTCACAACGATACCCGGGACGGGCTCCGTCTCCGTTTGTCCACCTGGATCTTGCGGTGGTCGGTCATGCCGCTGTCCAGCACTCTCACCTGCACCTGCACCAGACTGTGGATCCGCCGCCTTCTTGATTGCGGCGGCAGACAGACCGTGCTTCGGATGTGTACCAAGGCCCCTCAGCAGCCCCTTCACGCCGTCCATCTGCTCTAATGAAGAAAGCGACTTCGGATCTACAAGCGACGCCAGCCGGTAGGGCTTGAAGGCGAACGGCCCAGCATCGAGCGCGTCGTCCGCGGAGAGGTCAAGCGCGGGCCGCGGGGCATCTATGTCGTCGTCGTCGTGGTCCTGGCCGTCGCCGGTCTTCTTCCCTTTCTTCGACGGCGGCTTGCCGTCATTGTCTTCGGGTGGCTGTGGCGAGATGAGCTTGGCCCGGCTGTGCGCCGAGCCGCTTCGCGAGCGCATCGTCGTGCCGTCGAACTCGCTCGCCGCGCCGTTCTCGCTCGCCTGGTCGAAGTGCGTGTGCGTGGGGCTCGGCGGCACGCTCAGGGCCCTGTACTCGTCCTCGAGCCGGGGGGCGGCTATGCTTACCATGCCGTACTCCGTGAACGGGGCGACGTCCGGCTCGGTGCCGTCCGACCCGACGCTGCTCGCGACGCTGCCCTTGCGCTTGTGCTTGTAGCTGGCGTGCGGAGATAGGAGCCCGAGCGAGGAGATGCCGTCCTTCTGTTCGGGCTTGTTGTCGCGCAGCGCGAGCGAGCTGGCGAAGTGCACGCTGGAGTGCGCGGAGAGCGTCGGGCTCGGAGGGACGTGCTGGGACGAGCCCGCGATGGAACCCGCGTAGGAGGGCGAGGGGGAGCGATGCCCGAGGGTGGGCGATACGGTGGGCGAATAGGGCGCGTCAAGAGAGGAACGCCTGCCAAAGGCACTGGGTGGCGAAAGGTAGGTAGGCGACGCGCTCAAAAAAGTCTGGTCAGTAGGGGTGGGCGGCTGGACGTCGAACTCGACGTGTTCATTGTCTACGGGGGCGGCGACGTTGACGGTGGAGGAGAGGTCCGTGGTGACGATGCTGGGGATTTCAGGCCTGCTGCTGTCGGGCTGGGACATGGCGCGGTAGAAGTGCACAGGATGGGGATAGAGGAGGCAAGCGAAACGGAGAGACTCATAGAGACGGTCGGGCTGAAAAGGGATGCCACCTTGAGGCCGACGTGCTATTTCAACGAGTGCGACCTTTCTACTGGAAGTTTAACACCGCCTCACCCCATCGGGAACCAGATCTGCCAAGCCCTTCTCAGCGCCACCCTCGCCGTCGTCCCGGGATCCATGTCCGGCTCGACTCAGCTTGCCCCGTTCTGGCATCCTCCTCTTCCGCCTCCCTCTGCGGTGCATCCGACGCCGAATCCGCACACCGACGCACCGCCAGACACAGCGACGGCGGCCCTATCGGGACAGCCGCGGCGCCCCGCCGGCCACCGGCCGAGTGGCCTGCCAGGCGCCCCATCGGCGCGGCGCTCCCGGCAGCTGCGAGACTCATTCCTAAAAGGCGTAGGCACAGCGTTCAGATGCTTCCGCGTGCATGTTGCCCGTCGCTGTCGACCCTCTCCTTTGTTGCCCGCCACGCTCTGGCCACGGCTGCCTCACTTCCTTTGAACTTCGGGTGGCACGTTCCCAGGAGCTCCTGCCTCGACGCGTCCCGGTCCCAGTGTTCGGGGCGCTGCGCACGAGCCCGTCGCAGTGCACTGTATCATGTTCCCGAGCTGCACCGCTCTACATCGCTCATTTTCTCGGGCCTTAACTGACGGCATATACCGCAGTCCCTCTGCTTGCTTGATAGCTGTTCGTCGACGTCCTGTCGAATTTTGCCAGTGCCTGGCCAGTGCAACTTGCTCTTGAGATGGCGCGGCGCCCCACCGCAGCCCCTTTGTGCGGGACGCGCGTTTCCACTTTTCCTGTCACGGGCCGTGTTCTGACGTCCAACATTCGCCGTTTCAGAGACTGGGCTCCTAATAGGCTGCCCACAGACATCATCCACCCCCTGGTAAGTACACCGGTCCACAGTCGCGCCAATCGATGCCACCCGGGCACTTATCTACTATGAGGCCGTCCAGCAGGTACATCCGTTGATCCCAGAGAGTTCCGCTGCTGCTTCTCATGCATGTGTGGCCCGGGTGCCGAGGCTACATTGTCCGTGACTGAATACACCGCCTCGATCGTCTCCCCGCTGCATGGTTTGCGCCGTCCGCACATGTGGGATACGCGCCAGGGTCAATGACGCAGAAGCCTGGGGTAGAGACATGTGGCCTGGCATGCGCCGTGGCGGATAACGGATCTGCCTCGACTCACGAAGCTCGCGCTGGTCATGAGCCGATCGTCCCTCGAAGGCCAGGTTGTGCCCCGGAGGCTTTCTTCAAGTTCATCCAGCTCGTGTCCGGCGACGTCATCCATGCTCGCGGCTGCCGGACCACCGTATCCGGAGCTGCGGCGCTGCGAGGATACCCTGCCTCGCCCCGGTTGACGTGATACGCCCGTGCGTGGGTGTATAGTAGCATTCCGAAGACAGCCTCGTTGGTGGGTTGAGGCGATTCGAGATCGGAGGCACGGTGACGAAGGGCACGCTTCGAAGCGCCCGCGCGCAGCGCTGGAGATGATGCGCTCGCTGCACGATCGAGATACCGATCTTACCGTGCATCGTATGTGGCACACCGGATGCTTCCTGGCTGCCCACCCTCTGCTTGCCACGTCCTTCCGATCCCGCTATCCGACCCACCCCCCGACAGGATCGACATCCTGACGCGCTCGGATGCGTGGTCGCAGGTGCCAAGGCGCCCGCTACGATGCGTTGCCGCGTTGCCACCCGCGGAATGGAGATACCCGAAACGGCTCAGTCCGTAGCATCAGGCAAATCACGCAGAGAATGCGTTCCCACTTAAGTTACAGCGCCGCGGTATTCCTGTGTACTTATCTGCGGGCACGGGCCCCGATGGAACACGTATGTACGTACTTGCGCCGCTGCTTTCACCCACCGGCGTAGCTGAGACCACAGAATGCACTCACGCGCACACATCGTACCTTGGAACGAAGCCACCCGCCCTTCCGGATCCTGGAGCCTGCAGGCAGCATAGGAGGTTATGTCATGGATCCTGGACGGTCTGCCTCAAGTCTGCCCTGATTCTCCTGTAGAATGGCCGTCCTCGGGAACGCCACAACAGAGCTTGGCCTAGGTCACAAGCGTGTCATAAGGAGGAGCGGGAGTCGCCTGTGACCTACGCGAGATGTAGCACTGTCCTCCAGGTACAGCTGTCTACTTCTTGGCCTCTAGTTGGTATCGAGTTCTGATATGCATCCAAAGTCCAGTCTTCTAACGCGCCCGCGCTGGCGTGAAGGAAGACGCATTGAATGATATCATGATCATGATCGCTTCCAAGGACTGCATCGCCCATCGGAGGAGCGCCTCAATTCCACGGGGCCGGGCATCTGCGGAAGACTAATATCGAGGGCGGGTGTTGGAAGTGTGACAGGTACGTTGATGCTGTCCTTCGTCCACCACGGCTGATCGGCACCTCTGCGCAGATGACTTTCCACTCCTTGTCTGTCGGGTTACCGCGCGATGCTGGTGTGACGACCTGATTGTTGTCGGAGCTGCGAAGCTCGAGGCACAGCTTCGGTCAAGGACATGATTCTAATATATCTGTAGTACGGATGCGAACGCGGTATGTGTCGAATTCAAAGATCGGGCGGACTTGGGGATCCGGAAGAGTTCATTGCAGATACTACACCCTCTTATGTAGCATGGAGTCCACCGCGCACAATAGACAACGTGCCGTGGTGCGAAAGTATCGGCACCGTTCTGCAGAGAACATAGATTCGCAACCGCGATAGATCACGATCGACGAGGTACTTCGTCCGGCGGCCAGAATTCCACTTTTAGTATATAGACTTCCTGATTTAGGCCGTAACATGCATCCGTCATCAGCGCATCTCGTGTCGATGTCATATGGTCGGCCGTGGAGAAGCCTTCTTGTGTCTGGATCGCTCTCGTTGTGGTCGCGTCTCCAATTGAGTGCTGGCGCGATCGATGCCACAGCGCGGTACATGCCGCCCATGATCGGCGGGTTCGGGCGCGCCCGCCGGCGCTTACGTTGCTTCCATTTGATGGCGGGCTGCCCCGCCTTGACGTGTACATCCACACTGACCGCCACGGAGTGCGAGCGACTCGGACGGCCTAACGCTCCCACTGATACTCGTGGCTTATTCTGCAGACCTGGGATACACACATTCGGCCACGCCCGGGACGTCGGCCGCCTGTAGATTATTATGAGAGCGGTATGACTGATATCCGCGAAGCGTTGTTGCTTATGCTCTTCGTTCAGGTCGGGTATGACACGAACCTTCGGATATCGAAACCAACGGCCCGCACGTCATACACTGCATGTCACCGCAAGGGCTTGACATTAGACCGTTAGAAGGGACGGTGACGTGTCTTACATGTATGTTGCCCACTAAGTACCACGAGATACATTCCTGATGGGCCTCAGCCCAGTGAGGCCCAGCTCGAAGTCGCTCTCCAAGGCCTCAAAAGCCAGAGAGACAAAGCGTTGTCGCCCTGATGTTCGTCGGTGAATGCTTGGTAGGCTCAGTGTTCACCGCTCACCGCCCAGTATTGGCATTACTGACCGCCAAACCTTCTTAGCATCTGCCGAGGACGCCCCTAGCCCGCAGCCAGAAGCACAGCCGATGGATTCGGGACTACAGCCTCCGTAATGCCGCCTCTGACGCGTCGTGGGTTCCGCCTCCCAGTATGTGCTGCGCAGCAGTCACCCGCGCGAGGCTGTGCTCCAGGGGTAAGCAGTCGAAAATTGTCCAGTATTTTCAGGAAGCTGACATCGGCCCCGTGCGTGTTATGGTATGCATCTCCCTCCCGCGAAAGCTGAGCTCGTTGGTATACCTGCGACTCAATGGACAATCCCGTGGCTGCGAACGAGAGCTGAGTTTTCTCGGGTCCTTTTGGACCAGCGAGTACCAATAACGACCAAGCCGGCTGCCCGTTACGGGCGGACAATGCGCCGTGCTGCTTAGCCTCCGGAACTACCGACGTGGAGAAAAGCTCCAGGCTGTGAAAGTCTGAACGATCTGCTGTCATCGGCCCAAGCTGTGGATTTTTACCAGACGAACCCGTTCGCGGCTGCTCGATCCGTCCGCACACGCTGGTCTGCATGGCGTTGTCGCATAGCCCCGCTCCGAGTCCCTCAGCACGGCGCGCAAGGCAATTCGCTTACAGATACAGATGCACCCTCAGGGCGGTGGGTATGCCGTATACTTGGACCCGCAGCTGACCAGGGTACCGCATGTCTGCAGGTTGGCCTAGTCGTGGAGTTGTGCGCACCCTGGTGAGTGATATTCCCCTGCCTTGGCTTTCCGTGCCCCGGGCGTTGCTGCCGCATCGCCGACTCTTAGACCGGTTCGACTCGCCACCCCCCAGAATACGAACACAGCATTTCCGGATAGACTTCAGTGGATCTCGACGGGTGCATACAGGGTGCGTCGCATTGCGTTTTCACATGTCTTGGCTGACTGGAATGAGACCACGGCACAGCCTTCCTCTCTTGCCGATATCTTTGTCTCAGTGCCCAACACTCGGCAAACTTTTAGCAAACACAGGACATCGACATCAATTCGTTGTTTCTGTGTACCGTTTCATTATTATTGCCAAAATCTTCGAGGACTGAAGACCTGCTGGTGCGTGGCTTCAATGCCTCATTGTTGAGACGAGTGACTGACCCCGGCTGCAGATCAATCGTGGACTCGGACTCGGGCCGCTGCATTCCAAATGCAAATGTCCAGTTCAAACGGTGCTTTGATGCTCTCCTGCCATGCATCACCTGCGAGGTGTCTCAGTGTCCGGGGTTTCTGACGTAACCGTGGTAGTCCGAGGATACCCATCCAAATACTACTTGTTTGCTACCCGTGCCGGACCGGACTGTGGCCTGTGTGGTTCACGATCACCGTACCAGTCTGATGCGCGCTGAACGTCAACACAACACTCCAGCCGGCAGATCGACTTCCTGGGCCCGGGAGCAAGATAAGCAAGGCATGGATCGTCTTCATGAAGGTTGACTGATCCAGCGAATGCAGCTCACTCACAGCTGAGTCTACAGCGTTGGGCCTCGCACAGAAACTGCCTATAGGAGCGGAGGTCACCACACGTTGGTCCGCCGTAGCCAAGGTCGCGGCTGCCCCTCAGCCTGGCCGTCGAGGTCCGCTGCGTCCGGCGTGATCCATATCAAACCCGCTGGACTCCGCTATGTGTGTTTGGAAGGCGTGGGGCCCGGCGATATGGACCTGGCTGCAAGCATCCATATCGCACAGCCAACTCGAAGCTAACCCGGGAGGTAGATCAACCAACTAACTTTCCAGTCGGTCGGGACGTCTTCGATGCATGGCTCGTCGAGCCACGTCTACACGAGCTGCGATACGCGGCAGAAGCGAGGGCTTCCCAGGAACTTGTACTCAATTAGCGTACGCTTCTCCGCACAGCCTTGCGATATGGACAAACTGCGACTGAGCTGAGCCGCAAGAATCTGCAGCGACACCGACCGAGTTTCTGGCGAGGTTGATCGCGGTTCACTCGTATTTGGGATGTTGTGAGGCTGTTTGAAGGTATGTGGTTTTATATCCGATGTATCCACATACTGCAGTCATGAAGCCTAGGCTGAACAGCGTACACAGAAGTCGAAGGCGCGTCGCGCGGTTGCCCGCGAATTCTCCTTGCGAGTTTCCAGAGCTGGATGACAATTGGCGTACGTTGACCGTGCATGTGGATAGAACTACCTCGGCATACGGTCGATCGTTGCTCATAGGAGACTAATACGTATACACGGCTGACAAGTAAGGCCGACGATGGGCCCTTCAGCAGGCTAAGTGGACACCTTAAGGAGAGCCGGAAGTACGAGGTGAGAGATGATCCCACGCCGTACTAGGGTTATGTCTCCGCCATTGACGACGGCCCACGTACGTACAACACTCAGGGGCCTGAGTAACGGCCGCCTAACAACGATCTCACAGCTCTGACACAAATGACATACTCAGCAAGACCGAAGTGTGACCTCGGTATTGCATACGGCTCACCTGCCTGTGTGCACGGCCGTACAGCTCAACAGTTAGAGACGAATCTCTATGCTGACAGCGAATCAGTCTTCGATGCATGCACTCTGTCAAGCTCATCAGGAACCATTGACGGCGGTTCCGGCTCGGACATAATATAGCCAACCTCGTCTCGTTAGCGTCAGGTCCTTTTGCCATTCGAGTCACATACTTACGAAGCGGCTAACGTGTAGAATGGACAAGTCAAAAGCGCTCGGATCGATGGGCATCATGGGAAAGGCGTTTGTGCTAGCCTGTCAAGGGGTTCCTGAGTAGCCCAAGCCCACATACATGGCCGAGATGTGGACAAGACTGTCCTCGCACCGCGTATTCGTGGCTGGAAGCGCACGAGACCAGTGTCTAACGAACCACAGTAGGTTCTGCACTGAGTCGACCCAGTTCATAACCATAACAGATGCTTCATAAAGACGGCGTATACAAATACCCGCTCCCGAGGAGGCTGTAGCTTCACTTCACAAGGTTATGAGCTAATGGAGGAACGCACACTTGATTCATAGCCCAAGCCGAGTTGACCTCCAGACAGGGTGCGCCTCACACATGCTGACAGAGCATATTCGTAATAGACTGTGCTAAAAGTACAAGAGCGACATGAACGCAGTCCTACCGGTGACGCAAGTCAGAGCCATATAGCTTCGCAGTACGTCCAACACTCACCACTGTCCGTGCCGCATGCATTCATTACATCTCATCCAGCATTGGAGCTTCAATGTCGAGGTCCAACGGCGTACCAACCGCGCCAAGTTCGACTGGTGCCTTCTCAAGCTCCGGGGCAGCAGCCGGAGCATCGGCTGGCGCAGGAGGCAATGCAGTGGCCTTCCATCCGTTTCGCCAAGCTGCGAGGCCAGCTATCAGGCCGAACACGTTGATCCATGCCTGCAACAATTGAGTGAGCGAGACGAGCACAATGGTCAAACGAATAAGCCAGCGCCAGCAGTAACGGCGACGCGCCGTCTACTCTTCCAGAAGGTTGTATGCCGAGACCGCCATTCGTATGTGACGGGCATAAGAGAAAAAGGAAGTGGTACACGTACGTCGTTCTTGAACAAGCCCGCCTCCAACGACCTATGAAACCACGATTGATATTAGTTAAAGTTGTACTCAAAGCATTCCACAGTTCTAAACCCTGGAGAGAAGAGGTAGAACGAGTACCAGAAGACACAGAACATCGATATGGCCACGACAAGGTTTCCAGCGAGCTTAGGAGCCCGTTGGACTGGGACGATAACAGCAATCTCTGACACCGCAACCTTGTGCGTGTCCCATGATGATACTCGCCCCAGGTACGAAGGCCGAAAAGAGGGGAAAGAGGCGACATGACACGGCTTCTTGGTATTGTGTAGCGCGGGCTGGCGTCCCACTCTGGGTTCTGCACAACTAGAGCCGCCGATGTATGGCTCTGGCGTCCGGTAACATCCCAACGCTTGTACAAGAACAGTGCGACGGCAACGAGAGACACAGGTCAGACAGAGACCCAGCGAATGACTTCCCGTCGCGTTCGCAACCCTCGCAGACATACTGCGGAAGGATGACCAAACATTCTCATCGACTGCCCGAGTTCGACGAGACCTAGTCCACAAAAAGCGTGTTGCCGGCGCCGTTGCGTCGTGGGACGGACCGCGAAATGCATTCTAGATGATGGAAGTGCCTGTACAGCCTCGATAGAACGCCCGTGGGCACCAGCGAACCTTCAGAGCCGACCATATCCGCCTTGTCAATTAGCGCAGCCGGAGGAAAGAGGACAGCGAGCGAATGAGAAGTCGCTCAGCGCCATCACGTGTGCATACGGGACACAGCCTCGTCTATATCTAGAGAGGTTAGGCTCTAGAAAGGACATAGGATGTTCCCTACGGAAGGTTGTGATATGAGGAAGATCGCCACACCCCACCTTGACGCGGCCACTGACAAATGAACGCGAGAAACGGGCGCGCGATGGACAGTGATGCATAGCCCGATGCAAAGTCAGGGTGTGCGAGGCCGGTTCTATGGAGGAGCATGCCGCGAATGTGAGTAATGCGGAGGCTCCAGTGGGAGTACCATCAGCCGAATGGTACGACATGGTTGACGAACACGAGGTTCGCGGGCGTATGGAGACACACATCATGGATCCAGAAGGACAAGCTGCAGCAGCCAGTCAAGGGCAAGGGCCGGGCCCGATTAGACGATAATTCAGCAATACGTGCTGTGTCCTATCCGAACCTCCGGGTCGTACGGTAGTTCATAGCGGGTTCAAAGATGCAACATATGCAACGACCGGCGATAATGACCATGACGATCAGACAGCCGTCGTCGTCTACCAAACACAGAGCACGGTCTCAATAATGTTCTCCATTTGCCTGGCCCCTTCGGTGTCTGTGCCCTTCGGACGGGCGCCGGACATGCAAGATATGATGCGGGGCACGTATACACGGCGTGCGTATTTTGACTCGAGGGCACGCTCCGAAGGTAAGCGTGTACAGGGTCCAGCCAGATGCCTCCAAGTGGTAAGTTGAATGATAACTTAAGAGGCATCTAGCCCAAGGTCGAGACACCGTGCGCGTGCATGACTTTGCGTGACAGTGCGAACACCATTCAAGAACGAAGGACGACAGTAATTGACTGCGAGTGTCCAAGTTCGATACGCACCAATGAAGGGCCTGGGGCAGGTAGCCCGCGTTGACAACAACTTCTCCCCAGAACGCGTCCCACCTTTTTCGGAGCTCCTCCTTTTCAGCGGGGTAGGAGATAGCCTGCTGGACAGCAGTCTCAGATAGCCACACCGGGTCTAGCAAATCAGCGTCACGGACCTTGGACTTGCCCACAGCCTTCTCGCGCATCTTCAGCAGATTGAAGTCCTCCTTGAGGTGCACGAACTGCAGGAGGATGTACGCAGCCCAGAAGCGGCACGACCAGAGCGCGAACGCGCCCCTGTTGAGCGTGACGAGCTTCCCGCTAGGCTTCGACGCGACGAACGGGATGAGCGACGCGAGTGTCGGGAGGGCGAATGTAGCGGGGATGATGTCGTGCGCGAGCATGTAGTAGGTGTGCTCGAGCGGGTAGTACGCAAGCATCGCCCAACCTTGGAACCGCTCGATGGTGAGAAGCTTGCGAGTCGGCGGCGGGTTGCGCTCGATTGCGGTGAGCCATTGGACAATGGGTAGAAGACCTGTGAAATGCAAAGTGGTGAATGCTCAGTACTTCGGATGTCAATGACGTCGTGTGCGCAGCTCGGAGACCAAAAGTCGCGTCTGAATGCAACAAGGCCTATGGCCTCTTGCGCGCAAGCCCATGATGGATGGTAAGGTGAGTCCAGGACACGAACCCCACAACCGGAACAACATTCTTGCGTCGCCCGCAAGGCCCGCCAACTTGGTCATGCCTGTCGCCGCAGTGCTGACAGGGGCCGCTCTCATCCCTGCGCGATGTTGCATGCGAGCACGGAAGTGTAAGAATGGAACAGTCAGCTTCAGGGTATATTCAAGAAGCTGTATGAGACCCTCATCAGCAGAGGAATCGGACAATAACGCATGGAAATCGGGTAGTTGGAGGTGCACCGACCATGAACAGTTTGCTGGGAACCCAGACAACGTTAAACATGGTTTCTCGGTAACAAAATAATTCCGACTGACTCGCTTCCACTCCATGTACTCAGGTATCGCACGAGATGGCTCAAAGTTTCCGACGGAGGTACGAGCGCGAACGACCCGAAGGTCAGGTCTTCGATGCGAGCCAACGTGAGCGCTTTCGGCGGCCGCGACATTCTGAAAAAGCGGAAGTTAAGTGGGGAGACTGTGCAAGTAGTAGTTCTGCGTTCGAGACGCGTTAGCAGTGGGACGACAGCGAGAGAACGCGACGGTTGCAAGGAGAGGCTGATATACGGCCGTTCGCTCCGTGCGGGGCAGCGTCAAGAGCATCCGGGGTTCGATAACACGTGCCACTGCTTGAGCGCCGTCAACGAGGTGGGAAACGCTTACGTACGCGTCGCGCAGCCTTAAAACGCGCGTCTTCGCGTCGCAAAAACTTAATAGAACAAATCCTGGGGACACAAAAGTTCGGGCTCGGTGGTTGCTCTTCCGTCTCCTTGTCCGCGTTCCCGTCCCCTAGAACGAAATACGGCACCTCTCAGGAGGTGCTGGGGCCCTTCTCTGATGTCTGGGAGCTCGTCTGTTTGACTCGTCTGTCCGCTGTTTTGGAGGCATCGCTTCGGCTGGCGCTCATGACGATACGGCGGTGGATTGGGAGGATGGGTTTCTGTGTTGGAGAGGCCGACATCCTGTTGCAGTAGTTCAGAGTATGTCATGAATATAATCTGTTGGAGATGCCTCAGCAGTGCGATTTCCCTGGTGATGGGTCGATGAACGTCGATGTGTCTACGCCTTGGGTATGTGCGTGATATTGATTCACTGTATATCGAGGATTTGATGAACAAGATCACCTCCGAGCAGAACAATAATTGCGCGCCGACCATTCGCATCAGGATAACAGGAATGGGGCCTTGGTCGGGGATCTGCAATGGGTGCTGCGGTGGTCGATTGACTATGTATGACACGCTTGACACCGTATCAAGCGTGGACATGCGTCCTACGATTTTGCAACGCGTGTAGACGTCTTTGAACCCCTTCATTGGCGTGTTGGATCTGTGATACATAGGTGTTGACCGTCTCAGAAGCCACAACGTCCGCGCGGTGGCATGACAGGCCTCATGATAACTTGGTCTTGGCTCAATCCTGGTCTCGAGGAAGCTGATTCAAATTTCTCCTTGCGACGGCCCGCGTGATGTATGATCATCGGACAAAGTGTTGTATACACTGGCGCACACGGTTCCGAACAGTCCTGTCAAATGAAAGCATCGAGTTCTCCACGGCACGTTCAAGACGTTCTCCTTGACCCTCACCTCATACCCTTCGTGAGGCCTCAACGCCTCTCAGCCCACACTCCTTCGGCAGCCGACGTTCACTGACTAAAAAGAAACGATGTTCAAGAGATACCAGAGTGGTTTGAAGTGCGCAGCCGCGGCTGCTCTGCTAAGTGCGCCACTCGCCAACGCTGCCAATACGTTCACGGTCCCTACCAAGTCTTCGCTCGCGTATGTCTTCCGCTTGCATTTCCATAACCCCTGGCCTGCGTTGGTGACACGTGCACATTGAAGGCCTTTCTTGGCAGGCTTCTCGTCTTCAAACGGTATGTAGCCATTGTTGGCCGGTCGAATAGTAAGAATGTCTGACCGCCGTCGATGTGATTAGACCCTTCAGCGCCCGCAACCAACGCAGCCTTGAAGTTTGTTATCCCGGGTGAGTACGGTCGAGCAACCTTCATCGCGTGTTCACCCTCATCATAACGTGTGTACCTCCCAGTTCAAGCGGGTGAAAATCAAACGTTCAGTGAAGTGCTGGTAGATACGGGAAGTGCCATCCTCTGGGTCGGCGCCCTGGACCCGTACCAGCCCGGACTCAACAGCCAAGTGTGAGCATGTTACTTCTTCAACTTGGGACAGCAAGGTTATCCCCTGGCATGTCAGCATCAACGAGACCTTCAGCGTCGGGTGAGTCCAGTGCATCCTGTTCCCAAGGGCATCAATCTCATCCTTGGTAGCTACGGCGTCGGCGGCGTCAATGGGACCGCATACAAGGATCGCGTCACGATCGGCTCTGCCACGGTCGAATCCCAGATCATTGGCAGCGCAGAGTATATGTACGGGTTCACCCTTGAGAAGCCCATTGACGGTATTCGTGCGTACCTCGGTTCCTCCTCATGACCGCCATTGGGTTCTCATCTGTGTCTTCTTATGTATGAAGTCGGCCTTGGTCCCTCCGGTTCAAACGGCGGCGAGGTGAGCGGAAGCAACACGACGCCGACCTTCGTGGAGAACTTGGTCTCGGAGGGAACGATCGACGAGCCGGTCTTTGGGATCTACGTCGGCCCGTTGAGCGACAGCGTGGAGAGCGCTGGTGAAATCACATTCGGGGGTATCGACGAGAGCAAGATTAGCGGTGCGTACGCATGGTGTTAACTTGATGATGACACGTACTGACAGCCACTGGATGACAGGAGACCTCGTGTGGCTCAACCAGACGCCGCCTTACAACCTCCACTGGGAGTTCAACGTATGTGTCCGTTCACTCAGCAGTGCATTCACTAACCATTCCGGCTCTCGAAAGGCGACGAGTTTCAAGTGGGGCAACCTCACTGCAGATCCGAGTACGCCCTCTATGCCCGTACGGACACCGGCGTCCTCCCTATCGCGATTCCCTTGCGAGTGCTCTTTCCTCCGATCTGGACCCACTCGCACTGATGTTATACTCGTCTACCTAGCGATCAATTCTTCGACATGCTCGACATGATCCCCGGCACCACGCTCGACCAAGCATCCCTCCTATCAGGCTCCATCGTCTTCCCGGGCAACGTCACCGCAGACGACCTCCCACCGCTCGAGATCGGCATCGGCAGCCTCCTGTTCAACATCACCGCAGACCAGTACGTACCAGCCCCGGCGATCCCCACCGCGTCCTCGCGGCGTATGCGCCTTGCTGACGTGTGCGCCCATGCAGATATACCGTCCCGGCGAGCCTGTATCCGTCGCTGAACATCACGGATGACGGGTTGACGCACACGTGGATCGGGTCTGGTGGGCCCTCGGCTCTTGATCTTGGGCAGAAGTTCCTCGAGCATGCGTACTCGGCGTATGACAGTGCGTGCTTTTTCTGGTCCATGCGCTCTGCGTTTACTGACGGATGCCCGTCTGCGACTCCTCCGATGACTTACGGACATCCCGGGATACGGTGTGCAGTGGAGAACCACCGTGAGTCCTGTATAGAGCTAACACAACGTGGATTCGAGCTGACTACGGTGCAGTCATTGGTTTCGCGTACCTGGCGTGAAGAGGCTGTGCTTTCCTTCTCTGTTCGACCTGCGCATCAGACACTGTTTCGCTTGGACTTCTACCGCGACTATATGGACAATATGGACACTTAGGCATAATCGAGTATCTCTCGGGCTGTCTCATTGGCAGCCCGACGACCTTGAATGACTAGCACTGCGATATACCCACGTAGCCACACCGTACACGGCGATCTGTCCACGCGAGAGGTCCGTATTCTATGCTTCGAGAATAGCACATTCACGCCCATCGCAAGAGAATTTGAAGAGTAGGGGATTCTTGAGTGAGTGCACGCTTCCGATGTGATGAAGGCTCAGGCTCACGGTCGGGTCTCCCACCGCATAACGTTTGCAGCTAGTACAGCCGCATGCAAGTCGTTCTGCGGCCGTTGTATGCCACCTTGGGTACATATAGCTGTTTCTCCTCGTGCTCGCTCGCGAACGATCCGCCGTTGTGCGGACCTTCTCCTGGTTCGATGCGCAACAAGCGCGGAGGAGGCAGTTCGGACTGTCCCTGACTCCGAATAGTAGCCTTGACCGTACCTACATGCGACCCAGCTTGATCCAGGTGCAGCTCGCTGTTGGGTATATTATGCGAGAGCACTTGCCGAATATGCCCCTTGTGTACAGGTTGCCCACTAGAGATCGGCGACGACGGTTATGCTGAACGGTTACGACACTGTAATCAAGGTTGCCACGGCGTTTCTCTTGTTGGGGGCTGCCCATGTGAAAGCGCATACCGCATTCTCGGTCCCTTTCACGTCGACATTGCGGTACGTCCTCCGCATTGCGCATGCCAGGATCGACGTTGATGACTGCTTCAATGGCATTGCAGGTCCGGAACGATGGGACTTAGTAAGCTTAGCTTGCATTTCACACTTGATGCATGTAATGCTGATCAAGGGGACGTCATACTCAGACTACTCAGACAATTCCAGGGCTTCGACAAATACGAACGTGGATGTCCTCGTAGCTGGTATGTCTGCTACTTGACTTAGATGCAGTCTTTGACAATAGGTGTTTCTTGCCTTCAGTCCAAGCAGGAGACCATCAGACATTTGCAAACGTCTTGGTGGACACTGTACTGGCAGCGCGTACCTTGGGTAGGCGCACAGCAACCGTACAGTCCAGGCCCGAATACTCAGGCGTGAGAGAGCTCTGTACATCCTGAAAGTCCGCAGTACTGAGCTCACTGGACAGCATCAATGCGACTTTCACTGTTGTGGGTGCTTGTGCTCATATGAAGCCATCCGCGCATGATATCTTATCGACCATCGATGATCAGGTATGGCTCTGGCAAGTCAACGGAACTGCCTACATGGATACAGTTGCATTGGTTCAGCCACTGCGAGCGATCAAATTATCGGCAGCGCCAATCACACGGACGGTTTCGAGCTCTGGGAGCCTTCGACGGATACGTGAGTATGCACACCTCGAGGGCTCTAGCATGTCATTGACAACGGCATAGTGGGACTTGGTCCCCCTGGTTCAAACACCAACGAGACTTCAGGATATACCACTACTCCCACGTTCATGGAGAACCTGTATGGGCAGGGCAGCATCAATGAACCAGTGTTCGGTCTGTATATTTACCGTTCATCCCTGGTGAAGAGAACACCGGCGAGATCACCTTTGGAGGAGTCAACCCAAGCCGCTTCACCGGTGAGGCTTGTCCACTGCCTTGGTTTAGACGCCAGCCTAATCACGTGCCACAGGCGAGATTGAATGGATCGCCCAGAACGCACCGTACGATATACACTGGGGATTCAAGTAGGCAAACTCCAATATGCGCTTTTGAAGCGGGCTACTGACGTTCTGCTTAGGCGTCGAGTTTCGCCTGGGGCAATATCACCCTCGCGGGACCAATCTACGCCCGAACAGACTGCGGCGTGTTACCGATACTGTTACCCACGCAAGTATATCGACCCGACTACACTGAAACTGACTCACTGTGTCTTCAGAGACCAGTTTTCGACATCTTGGACGGCGTGCCAGGTACCATCTTGATTGAATAGCGATAGTCAGCTTCCCACTTGTCTTGTATTCGCGAGCAATATGACTGCGACAACCTCCCGCCGCTTGAGATCGGGCTCGGAGCTTGCTTGTGTCCATCCCAGCAGAAGAGTAGGTATCATGCTCAACAGTCTCGACCTTGACTTATTCGTTGTCAATCGTGTATAGCTACATCGTCCCGAATCGCCTACGAGACGCTAAATGTCACTAACGATGGCCAAACACATACGTATCTCTGCCCAGGTGGCCCCGATTATGTCAATCTCGGTCAGAAGGCCTCGAACACATATTCTGCCTACGAAGTGCGTCGTCTCTGATCTCCAACCCTTCACAAAGCTCACCAGGAACGGCTATGCTACAGTCGTGAATCATCGTGAGTGACGTACCGTATTCGCACTTCAGTCTAAGATTAACATCTATGTGAGTCGTTGGATTTGCACCAGCAGCGTCACTGCGCCCCATCCCGAGTAAGATAAGGGAATGTCACGGACACTATCGTGTTACTGCTGGTGACGAGTATGCCTAAGTACATCCTATTATTATGTATGACTAGTCATGACTCCCATTTAGCTTCTATTGACACCCGCCGTCGAGGTGTTTGCCGTACGCGTGCTTCCACTAAGGGCGTGCATTTCTGAGGCCCGGCGGACACAATATGTATGCACTGCTTATAGGATGTCCGGTAGCGACCTCCGTCATCCAGCAACAGAAACTCCCCTGGAGGCGTATTCAGCATCATTGACAGTGGGTACACCGAGATCTAGCTAGAAGTCTCGACAGTCCACCGACGCCAGCATACACCGTGAAAACCCGCAGGGACTCGCTGTACTACTATAGATACTGCTTATAGCGTGCGCATCTTTCGCTTGCCCAATGTAATGAGGTATGCTCCTGTTGAACCCGACCGTTGCCCAGTGGACATCGATTATAGGGCAACGACTCCGTCACCACATATGTAGCTCCCAATCGCTGTTCACTAGAACTGTTCAAATTCATCGCATACTCTCAGGCGTTCACCAAAATCGCATTAAATACGCCATTATGGCTGTTCATTGGATTCAATGATTGGTTACAGACGGATAGACTCGGACTTGCTCATCTACTGCTCTTACTGAACAATACAGCACTCATTGTCCAGTAGCTCAGCAGTTGTCGTGTGCGCAGGCTCCCTGTCAGAGAAATCATCAGCGCTGCATTACACCTTTTCCAAGCCAGAGTCAAGTCACGTACACTGATGAAGCGGTAGCTCTGGTCGCTCGGGTTGAGCGTCTTGCAGAACCCGGTGGCCGTGAAGTCGTAGCCGACGTTCTGGCACGAACAAGACCCATCGCCGGAAGTGATGACGAGACAGTACTGGTTGTCACCGGTAGTGCCGAGACCGTCATTGGGGATGTAGACGGAACCACGGCCTGCCTCGCCCAGGCAGCCAGGGTTGCGGATGTCGACACCGATACCGCCGTTCACGGAGCAGGCGGTGTCTAAGCAAATGGAAGGTATGTCAGCTGTTGGCCCGCAGACGAGGATAGGCGGACGTACCGTCGAAGAAGTTAGCGTAGAAGTCGGCCTTCACAGGAGCGAGAAGAGCCATGGCGATGGCGATGCCGGAGGTGACGGTGCTGGAGAACTTCATGGTCGTTGAGTGCGGATTGGTGCGGTTGTCTGGGACGGTGTGCTTGTGATGAAGAGCCATTGGCCGACTCGGGGGCTCTTATATAGCATTCTTGTGTGGCTTCAGGACAGGTCACTCGAGCGGCTGGATATCCTCAGTTACATGCTGTGACTATGCAGTGACCGGACTCACAACGCTTCCTCCGAGTCGGACAATAATCATTTACTGTTGACCATCACTATCCGTTGCATCGCTGTCAAGGTTTGTGGTTTCATGCCCGAAGGACGTCATCTAGCCACCCACCCGACGTCCCATCTGACATACACGGTGCCCCCACCTGCCCAGGCTGATCCACAGCATTGCAATACCACAGGTGGTGGGGCTCAATCGGACAGCTTGCGATTTGGGGCCAGTACTGGGCTAGCACACGCCCGACACGACTGAACAAAGCCGACTCCTTTGCGGGCCCAGATAGAACTCCATTCTCGACGCAAGGCCCACGCGGGAGAGTCTGCGCCTTACCTCGGGAAAATCGCGATTGGTGCGCCCAAGGTTGCAAGACCATCCGACGACAACCAGGATGAGTCGCCACTGGCAATACATCGTGTCAGTGGGTCATTGACGGGGCGCGGAAATCTTCCGGGGGGACGAGTCGGACATGTGCCAGTGAGGGCGCGCATGACGGCTTTGTCCAGTCAGGTGTAATGGTGATTCGAGCTGCATCGCGCAGCATTTGCGCTGCGTCAGGGTTCATCGCATCCACTTGGGCGGTCTGAATGTGATGTTGAGACTCGTCGGCGCCGTGGAGTTGGTGCAAAGGCATCAATGCTACTATTCCGAGACGCATGCGCAAGCCAAAAATACCGGGTGGAATGTACTCTTGCAGCGTAGGAGTCCATCGTTAATGCATCAGCGAGATGTTGAGTTGTCTGGATTACTGGGTTTGAGGGTCTAAGTAGACTGACAGGTCTGAAATGGCACTGACCGCATCTAGTGCGTCTGACACAGTTGAGCGTTTGGGAGAGTATTTGAGTCCAGCGGCGGCCTGAGCTTCTGGGGACCTGTCAGACTTGTGTCAGACCAGTCATTGGACGCGACCGTGATAGACACGACAAACCGGCGACAGACATGACAGACGCTCGAAATTACGCCGATATCGGAGTGTTGACAACAAGTCTATATCAGTGGCTGTGGACAACACTTATTTGGGGGACGAGACGGTCTTGTTTTGTAGCCACCTATGTTGAGAGCATATCTTCATTTACAGTAACTCTGACAATGCCTGCTTCGTGAACAGCAGCAGCAGCGTCATCGACACCCGCAGCCCTAACTAAGCCGGCCGTAGATCCGTCTACATCGCTAATGAAGGTCTCGTCACAACACCTCCGGCGACAGCGTTTACTCGCGCCAGGGCGCCAACCATGGCTTCACCGTCATTGGATTCTGCAAAACGTTCGACCCAAGCGACCAGAGCTCCCGTTTCGTTGGAGTAAGTTACTTCGCTTCTCCGTAGTTTTTCTCGGAAGCGATGGAATGCGATGCTGATTGTGGAGTCTGACAGGGATCCTGCGCAAGCAATAGCTGCTAAGCTACTGGAGAATGAGTGCTGAGACTGACCTATGGCGAAGGGGGTCTATGTGCCCTGATGGCCAGCGCCTTGCATAGAGATGAGCTCCCATTCGAGGCGTGCTCGGTTCTGCAGTAGATCGTTCAAATGTATCCTCCAATCTACGCAACCCAGTAAGCCGGTTGTGTCATCGTAGAGTAGGAAGGAGTTTGATACGTACGATCATTGCCAGGCTGCTTTGTAGACATATTGGGTATAGTTTCTCCCGAAGCTGAGAATGTCGAACAGTGACCGAGACAGCTCACAAAAAAGGTGTCGTTAAGGCAGCGCCAACAGAGCACCGGCTATGGTGTCCACGCTGAGTGTGACTAGCCGTCGCTATTGCCAATGTTTGTATGTTGAGGACGAAAGTTTGACAGGACAATTCTACGGCAGCGATTTCAGTTGTATTATGTACTATGGAGCTAGCAGTTGGAGGGCACGCAGTAGACGTAGCCTTCCACGGCGAAGGTTCCATGCCAGTATACAGTGTGGGCGGTACTAGTAGACACGAGACTTACGAAAGCGTAAAGCGAAGGCCAAGTCTGGGGTCGAACCAAACGATGGCCAGTCCTCATTGCCAGTATTTGCATTCACTGTCAATAGTCAGCTCAACTCGTCTACGTATGTTGGCCAGACTACGGCACCAAATGCGCGTTGCGCTTCGAACGACATGAGTTCCACTGTGACCGCCGCGCCGTCGCCGTCGTATTGAGGACGACGTCCGACCTCCTTGGACAGCCCATAGACAGAGACGAGACCAGCGTTCACAGAACGTCAGACAGCGATTGCGGTATGAAGCGAGAGGTGCGCTGGGTTGTGACGCAAGTAAGCAAGTAACTTACTTACTTACTGTAGGTCACCCGGGCCGCCACCACCACGACCGCTGTGGTGGCCAAGTGGTGGCTGACAAGAATGGTCGCCTCGGCAATCGGCGGACCGCAGACAGCACTCGGCTGAGCGCTTCCGCGATCATCCAGCACGTCGACGTCGTCGTCTGCCTGTGCAGCAAGACCAGCCATGGTCCGTCTACCCCCCGAGCTCACGGACCGTATCATCGACTATCTACACACTGACGTGCATTCTCTCTGTGCGTGTGCTCTGACGTGTCGGACCTGGTTGCCTGCGGCTCGCTACCACCGTTTTCGTTCGGTCAGCGTTGCGCACGAAGAAGGCATTGCAACGTTCGAAACCCTCGTAGCGTCTTCGCCGGCGATAGGCCACATCGTGGAAGACCTAGAGATATCTTTCTTTGGTTGCGAGCAACTCAGCTCTGTCTTGTCCTTGCTTTCGGCCGTCAGGGTGCTCAAGCTCCGTCACGGCGAGTGGGGCCGTGACTTCTGCATGGGTGACCTCGCAGCTGTCGGCGCTGAGCTTCCTGCCCTGCGTGAGCTGACCATGGTCTTCTGCGTCTTGCCTTTGGATGCGCTAGCAGAGCTAGTGTGCTCCTTCACTGGCCTCGAAAGCTTCTCACTAGTTGATAATAACGGTGTCCAGTCCGTCAACACTTCCGTCGTCGGATGTTTAAAAGCTCTGCACACTCTGGAGTTGGACTACACTGGCAGCGACCTGACAACTGACGAGGAGCCGGATCTCCTCGTCGGTTGGCTCACCAGCACACTTCAACCCCATCAGCTCCAGATGCTCCATATCAGTCTTACTTACGATCCGGGGCCCATTCAACCCCTGTTCGACACTTTCGGTCCGCATGGCCTGAAACACCTGAGACTCGATCTATACGATCTCCAAGGTATGTGTCGCTTAGCTTCTCGGAACACATACCTATCATAACTGAGGACCATACAGAGACTGCTAGGGACACTACGTTCACGCTCGAACCCTGCACCAACTTACGCACCGTGTTTATCGAGCTCGGCGCTGGCAGTCAGTCGCCGGAAGCATCGATGGGCCTAATGTGGCCCAGCGTGCTCATATCTCAACTCAGCTCACTATCCCTTGAGACGATCACTTTGTTGGTGTCTGCCCCGTCATTCTGGCCTTGGGACGTAGATATTGTCTGGCGATTCGATGATCTCCAGGCGTTGGATTGGAGAAGCATCAATCGCACGCTAGGACGACTGTTTTTCAACAATCTACGAGCTTTCAACATACATGGTCGAGGTCCCAGAGAGTCACTGGAGGCTTGTCTGCAGGAACGGTGTGGGACTGCGTACACACGAGGGTTGTTCCGATTGTTAGAGGAATAGTGTGAGCCTCAAGGAGCTGTGCGTCGTAATCTGCTGATGCCGCTTCGCAGTCGAGTTGTTACTTCGTGCTGCTCTGAAATCGGTTTGCTTGGTACGCGTCTTGTATTGTTTGAACACAGTTTAGTCGTTAACCTTCCTGTCTTACCAGAGTACGTTTTCTCTAGCCCTCGACCTCGTTTGTATGCTACGTCAAACCTTACGTTCTATTTTGGCTCCTGAACTTGTTCTATGGCCACCGGTCTGTCTCCATCCATCAGCCTCTTCTGTGAATATGTTGTCCGGGTCTTCAGCTGCCAGCGCCATACAGTGGGGGATCTCGGGAAACGTTCACGCCGAACGCAATCCGGTGTTTTGCTCATACATAAGTGGTAAGCATGCTATCTGCGAGGATCTAGAGGCGCGCTCACATTCCTGATACTACAGCACCGTCTATCAAAATCCGACGCGCGTTGCTGGTGCTCGTACATTACCGTGAAACCTCAAAGTTCGTATGGATCCACCATCTCTTCAGCATATCGTCTCAGAGCATTCCACGGCTTCCTACCTATCCCATGGCGCACGACGTTCCCAGCCGCTTCCGAGTCCGCGCATCGCGGGCCAGAATAATGTATGCTGACATCTGTGCCCGCCGTGACGCGTTTCAAAACTCCAGATCGACAACACATGCACCGTATTTGACAAAACTGTGAGTATCAATGCACACAATCGTGCATCCTGTCGACTTCTCTGACTTCTGCCGCCATGCCATCTTTCAAGACGCTGAAAGTGGTCTTCTCGTGGCCTATACGATGCAAATACCTGCTCGGCCGCCGTCGAACTCTAAGTGGCGTGCTTGCGGGGCACACGTTATAAAGCAAGGCCTTTGCTCTTCCGTCAAGCCATCCTCTGTAGGGCTTGAGACGTTCTACAACATGATCCCTTTGCTGCTCATACTCGCGTCGCTCACCTGCGTATTCTATGCCTTCCGACCCAGGAAAGACTCGCTGCGACAGAAGTTACCACCTGGACCAACTGGTGTCCCATTGCTGGGAAACCTATTGCAATTGCCTGCCTTACGACCGCATCCGAAGGTAGGGACATTGACTTCATAATTGTCCCTCCGGTTTCTGACACTTGACTTGTAGTTTCTAGAATGGGCCTCCCAATACGGGGAGATATTCTACCTCAAGCTGGGCGGGCAAGACGTAGTGGTCCTGAACACGGCAGAAGCGGCCGACGAGCTGTTGTCGCGTCGTAGTCATAACTATTCTAGTCGTGCCACTCCGCATGTCGCTCACGACGTCCTGCGCGGTGGGATGGGTCTTGCATTTTTAAAGTATGACACTCCATGGAAGGTCCGTCCGAACTCAAAATATGTTTCTTTTGATTGACGTTCGCGATAGGTGGCCAGGAAGGCGCTGCAAGGTGCCCTTGGGCCCGGGCCTTCGAAGAATATTCGCCCAAACCAGGAATGCGAATCCCGTGTTCTTCTCTACGACTTGATTTGTCACGGGAACAAGAGTGTGTCACAAGGTGTCTCCGAGGGTCTACATGGAGAAGTCTTGGATAATCACTGGTTTGCACCAGTGAGGCGGTATGTGAGTACGATGGTTTCGCTTAGCGTGTTCAGTCAGCATAATCCGCGCTGTGTAGGCGACGAGTGTTGCGCTGTATGCGATGTATGGCAAGCGAGTCCCTCGCTTCCTGAATAACCCTAATCTGTGAGAACACGTCCCCGCTTCGAGCGAACACCTTTTGACCTCTGACTCTTAGTCACAAGATATACGACATTGTCGACAACTTCTCGCAGATGTCGCAGCCAGGGAACTATCTGTGAGTTGGCTGACGGTTCGAAGAGGGTGTGAAATGCCGTGCTGATATAACGATGGCTATGTGCAGGGCGGATGTGTTCCCGCTGATACGACGTCTCCCAGACTTCTTGGCGCCATGGAGGGTGAAAGCTCACGGATTGCATCTATGGTCGGTACCTCTTCATTTTCAACCACAGTGACATGTTTTGATCTCGCGTGACAGGGAAATGGGCCTCTGGGGAGGACTTGTTGATGACTGCAAGGCGGCACTACGAAGCGGAGAGAACCGGCGCGGGTTTGTCTCTTCGTACCTGAATGCGCGTGCCGCCGCAGGTGAAGTCTCCGCAAATGAACGCTGTGACGAAGAGGATGTTCCCGGCAAAGGTCTGACGAAGGGCGGGTGGATACAAGATGACTTCCTCGCCTATGGTGCCGGATCTGCCCTAGAGGCGGGCTCCGATACCACGGCCAATACCATAGTAACATTCTTGCTCTACATGCTCAGCCACCCGCATGTGCTTCAGAAAGCGCGAGTGGAGATCGACGGTGTGGTAGGGACGGAACGTATGCCAGACTTCGACGACGAAGAACGACTACCATATCTTGTGGCTTGTATAAAGGAGACTCTGAGGCATCGGCCGGCCACTCCGCTGGGTACGTCCGCCTGCTCTCACACGCACACGTCCCTTGCTTATGAGCCATTGGAAGCGATCCCGCATGCGACAGTAGAAGACGACGTCTACAAGGATTATCATATCCCGAAAGGATGTACCGTGATCGGGAATGTGTGGGCCATACATCGGGACCCCGAACGTTTCTTCAATCCAGCAGCGTTCATCCCAGAGAGGTTCTATCAAGAAGGCAAGCCCACACGGTTCAACATCGGTCCAGTATCGAACGAGCGCGATATGTGATTGTCCACCCTTGTCTCGCTACCTGCCATGCTGATCTTCCGTCGGCAGCTATGCGTTTGGATGGGGCCGGCGGTTCTGTCAAGGCAGTCACATCGCAGAGGCGTCGCTCTTCATCACTCTCTCGCGCATTCTCTGGGGCGTCGACTTCTACGCGCCGCTCGATCCATCGACTAAGCGGCCAATCCTGCCTGACGTAGCGAACGAGGAGAAGACATGGAGCGAGGGCTTCCTCAGTGTGCCACACGCTTTCAACATCGGCTTTGCCCCACGATCAGCCAAACACGCAGAGCTCATCCGGAAGGCGTTCGACAATGTCCAGTCCGACTGGCAGACCATGGGGTTGGAAGGAGATGACCGGTGAAATCGAACGATTACCGTGGTAGCTGTGTATGCATGTCGCAATGGGTCGGCCTCGGCGTCCAGTACTCATAGATTCGCCGTGTGTTCTTAGAGTATACAGTATGCAGTAGTTTGGTCCTTGATAGCCATCAAGTTGAATGGCACATCTAGATTGAATGACAGACAGAAAGTTCCCCCTCGACTTGAGCTCGAGTTGCTGATATCTACTGAGTGGTCGTGGCGGCATGCAGGCGATATGTGTCTCCGTACGCACAAAAACGTTAAGGTACGGCACACATGACAACTGGCCCAGTAGCCGTGTTCATACAATTTCTCAGTCAGAGTGGTTATTGAGTACAACGGGGATGTGAAAATGGATCAGCAGCTCGAGTCGAACAGCGTAAGAATGACAGGATCGATGACCGTTGTCTACCCAAAGAGTCACAGACCCAGTTCGTCAGGAATATATTCTGCACGAATGCTGCTTCAAGCGTGTAGGTGTCGCTGCGCATGCATCATAATGAAAAGATGTGTTGACAGAGAGTCGTTGGAACACTGACTTCAATTAGCCTTGGGCCTGCGCAATAGCTTCATAGGCCTGCTTGGCGGCGGCCTCCTTTGCAGCGTTCTTGCTCATGCCCAAACCTCTTCCATACTCCGTATCGCCGACTGTCGATGTCCATGATGACCAGCATGGACTATTGTAGAGACACTGTACTGACCGTATGCGACGGCGGTCCATGGTCCTTGATGGCCTTGTCTACAGGTGAGTTCCCATTCAAGCGTGCCGAGTTGTGCGTTCGCCTGCAGCAGGTTGTTCAACTGCATCCTCCAGTCTACGCGGGTGAGTGAGCCATGTGCGACGCGATAGGGTAGTAAGGAATCCAATACGTACGGCCGTCAGTACCTTGGTTGGCCATTTCCGAGTCGTTGTCCACTGTGCACTCATTCTGCAGACTTTATACGTCGAGTGTAAGCTCGCGTCTACCGTTTCCAGACACCTTCTGGCAGTAGAACCTGTCGGAATGCGCATGAGTGCATACTCATTGAAAGGCCGGGACGGCGAACATGCATACCTGTCGTTCAAGCACGGCGTCCGAAAGACGGTCGGCTACGGACCTGACGAGGATTTGTTGTCGTGTTGTCGATAAGGGCGAGCGTAGAAGATGGCATTACGGCGAGAGGTTTGTACAACGGTGATGTTCAGTTGGGTCCTTACACATGAAGCAGCTGGTCTACTCACCATCCCACCACCGCGGCTACTGTGTAGATGCCTGTGGTGTGCGGAAGAAACCCGTCTCTCGATCCATGCCCTTGTACGTGAGTCCCATTCCAGGCATAATCTCAGCTGCAACTACAAGGAACACATACCATACAGTAGAGGGACTCTTCCTCCTCCTCGGGCAACACACGATGGGCCGTGTGGCACCCGGTGCGACTGGAATAGCCGGATCATGCTCCGAACTCACAAGACCCGCATATTCGCTGTCAGTGTCATGGTTGGGTACGCTATCGCTCCCGCGGTGTGAATGACATGAGTGGCCAGGATGGTGGCCTAACGCTCGAGGCCAGTGAACCATGTCCATTCAATGTTTGGCCCCGCTAGCCTATGGTCAGTAAGTCAGCAGTTGAAGCCTCTCATGGCGACATCTCCGTGCCAGTAAGGCGGTGTGGATAGTGAACCCGAGGCTTATGAACGTCGTGAAGTGGCAGGATGCGGAGACCAAGTAGGGGGCCGAACGAAGCGATGGCCAGTCGTCGCTGTACTTGCCATACACTAGTCAGCTCAACTCAATTTGTTGAGACTGCACCGTAACATTAGTCTCCTAGGGAAGCAAAAACACGATGTTGCTGAATGAGAAGGGCAGCCATGTATGACGCATGTTATTCGACCGTGTCACTTGCGATGAGATTGACACTGCGCCGTTGACGTCGTGCTAAGGGCCAAGTCCGGCTTCACAGAACCATGGCGCGAGTTTCATCAGCACAAGCACGTACGAAGAGAATATTTCTCACTGCGGATACACAGCGATTGCGGTACCAAGAGGTGCGGCTCGAACTTCGCGACGCACTGGCAGTGGCTGACGGTCACGGTGGCTGATGGGAACGACCGCAGACAGGATGAGCGCTTCCGTGATCATCCAGCACGTCGTCTGCCTGTGCAGCAAGATCAGTCGGGCGCCGTCATGATCCCTCTGCCCCCCGAGCTCACGGACCGTATCATCGACTATCTACACCTGGATGTCCATGCTCTCCGCGCGTGTGCTTTAACATGTCGCGCCTGGTTGCCTGGAGCTCGCTACCACCGTTTTCGTACTCTCAACGTCGCGAACGACACAGCCCTAACAGCGTTCGAAGTCCTCGTAGCTTCTTCGCCGGCGATAGGCCCCATCGTCGAAGACCTACGGATATATTACTGCACTTTTGAACAGCTCCGCTCTGCCTTACCCTTGCTTCCGACCGTCAGGCGGCTCGAGCTCCACCACGGCATGTTCAGGGACTTCAGCCTGGGCGACCCCGCAGCTATCGGCGTCAAGCTTCCTGCCCTGCGCGAGTTGACCATGGGATACTGCGTTTTGCCTTTGGCAGCGCTATCACAGCTGCTGTGCTCCTTCACTGGGCTCGAAAGCGTCTCACTATCCCAGATTTACGGTTTTGAGTCCGTTAACACCTCCGTCGTCGGGCGTGTAGACGCTTTGCACACTCTGCGGTTGAGGTATACTTACAGCGACCTGTCAACTGATGAGGAACACCTCGTCGGTTGGCTCATCGGCACACTCCAACCTAATCAACTTCAGGCGCTGCATATCAGTCGTGTTCGTGACCCAGGGCTTATTCAACCCCTGCTCGATGCCTTCGGTCCGCGCGGCTTGAAAGTTTGAGAGTTGATCTATACAATGTTCGAAGTACGTGTCACTTAGCTTCTCGGCACATATACCCTAACTCAATATCATACAGAGACTGCTAGGGATACTGCGTTCACGCTCGAGCCTTGCACCAACCTACGCCTTGTATCGATCGAGCTCGGCATTCACTGGCGAATGTCGGAACCATCGACGTATCTATTGTGGTTCAGCGTGCTCATATCTCAACTCAACTCACCCTTCCTCGAGACGATCACTCTGACGGTTATTGCCACGTCTTTGGTCGGCCCGGTTCTCTGGCGCTTCGATGATCTCCAAGCGTTGGATTGGAGAAGCATCAACCGCACGCTAGGAAGGGCGGTTTCCAAGGATCTACGGGTCTTCAACATACGTGGTCGAGGTCCCAGAGAGTCACTGGAGGCTTGTCTGGAGGAACAGTGTAGGACTGCATACACGCGAGGGTTGTTCCAATTCATAGAGCAATAGCGTGAGGCTAAACGTGTTGTGCGTCCTAATCCACTGATGCCGCTTCGCAGTCGAGCCATCTCTTCGTGCTGCTCTGAATTCGGTTTGCTTGGTACGCGTCCCGTATTTTTGGACTCAGTTGAGTCGTTAACTTTCCTGTCTTACCAGGATGTGATTTATTTAGCCCTCGAGTGTACTGATATACCGGGTCGAACCTTGTTCTCAACTCTTTCGGCTCCTGAACCTGCTTTATGGACATCTGTCTGCCCCATTCGTTCGCTCTCTTCTCCGAGTCTTCCGCTACCAGCGCCATGCAGCTCGGGGATCTCCGGATACGTTCATGACGGATGCAATGCGGTGTTGTGCTCATACATAAACGGTAAGCAAGCTGTCTGCGAGGATCTCCAGGTGCGCTCACATTGATATCGCCACCGTCTATCAGTATCCGACGCGCGTTGCTGGTGCTCTCATATCAACGTCAATCTCCAAGCTCGCATGGATCCACCATTTCTTCAGCATATGAGTACGGAAGTGTCCCGCTTTCAGGGCATTCCACAGCTTCCTTGCCAGCTCCCCGACAAAATCATCGATCATCTCCACGACGACGTCCCTAGCCTTGGCGGATGTGCTCTCATGTGCAGAGCGTGGTTGTCGGCCGCACGATGGCACCGATTTTGATCGTCACAGTGGACCTCGCACCGGTGTGGTCGATGGGGCTGGACTCAGACATTCCCGGTTCGCTGCCGTCCTCCGTCCTCCGTAGATGGCTCCCTACCGGCACTAGCCAAGCTCAAGCCTTCCCATGTGAAGGCCGTGATCGATCGGACGATTGCAACGCCAATGTGCCACTCAACCTGCGGACCGTGAAGTGTCCGGAGATCGAGTCGTGCTGGCTGTCGATCGAGACGATCGTCCGCGGGGTCTCTTCGCTGCAGCAGCTCGAGAGTGCACTCTCCGGGTATACGCACATGACATGTGTGGCGGTGGTTTCGCCCTCCTCAGTCAGACATCCCATCAATGCTGCGCGTGCTGGACTCAATGAGCTGTGGCCGCTCGCTGCGATGGGTCTGATGGGTTGGTTCCTCAGCAATCCAGATCTATGGCCTACTCCAGGCACCCGGAGGAGGGAATGCGGTCGTTGATTGATGTCTCCGGTGCTGCCGGCTTGTAGTGTCTCTCCCTTGACAGATCAACTTCGTGTCATTCGAGGGTGAGCTATTGCAGTCTCGCTGGTCACACTTGTCTCTGAACATCGCAGGGCCGGCCACTATCTCGCTGGGCTTATGCGAGCCTCTGCAGGATAGAGCGCTGCAAGTATGTCTCCCTTCGAAAGCCTCAGCGTGGTATGATTTTTGTAGGCGCGGATCATACCAGCGATTGGCAGATTGCTCTCGGGACTCCGAAGAGCGTCTCCATCACTCAGCACGCTCTCAATGGCGGTCTTGCAACGTAGAGACGCGACTCGACCAATTCTCCTCGATCGCTTGCGATAGGTGCCCTGGAGCCCCGTCGAGGAAGCCCCCCAGGATCCGGTCTTCGCGGAGCTCCGTGATGCTCAGATCAACGCTCGCGTGCCATCGTCTTCGCTGGACGATCTTCTGAAGGGAACGTGTCTGGCTATGTACGAACGCAATGCATCCAATATCTGCTCGTGGCTTGAGCCTGAACCGATCTATACTGGAATTACATCACAAGTATTGCCTGAATACGCTGGCATCGTTGACTGGGTTACAGTCGACGGCTAACCACCCCACTTTTGACTGGAGGGTCAAGCATGCGAAGGCGTGGATAATCGTCCAGTCGTTCTTTGTGAGCGAAGTCACCGCGGTGCTGGATCCTACTCTATGCAGAGCTGACCTACTCACACGGCGATTCGTCGACAGCGTATACTTCATCGATATGTGAGTGTATCTTGTTGAAATGTCTTAGAGGCGGCTGACGACTCGCAGCATCACTCCCCACAGTATGTCAAGCGGACTATCGTCGAAGGACGATCAATCATTGATCGTAGACGTATGCGCCCGGTGTCATGGCCGGTGTTACAGCCATAAAGCGTCAATATATGCACGACAAGACACAAGGCTCGCGTCCGACACAGTCATCACTTTCAGCGAGAGCCTGGTACAGTAAAGAGGTCGGTTTGTGTTGCGCTCAGTGAAGTTTCTCGACAAATGCCGCCAGGAGCACGGCCCGCCTCCGATGAGTCGTTGCAGAGCAGTGCCCCACGTACTTGCATCAACGCACCGTGTCTGGAAACGTACGTACCCATGTCAGCTTCGCGCCAAGTCAGATCGGAGCCGCATCTGTATGCTGCTGACTTCCAAGCACATTCTCAAAGGAGCGGCGAAGATCTGGCGCTGCTGGACACCGTGGTCTATAGAAGAAGGGGCGCCACGTCAACGGGAAATAGCTTATCACCGCAGGGGAATGGTAGGTCATGGTCATATCGCGGACGGGCCTCCGCTGGGGATCGCAGCATATGAGCGGTACGCAGTGCATACATAGTGTCTTCGGAGTTGCGTGGGCTTTGATTCGACTCAACCACACTGATTCGGGGATGATGTCAAGCTTAAGGGCCGCTCTGGCAAAGTGGACTCGGGTGCCTTACCCTCAGGCTGAACTGTACGTCTGCAGTACGTACAGTGTCGCACTTGCTGGGATGGGCTCGGATACAAGTCTACGCGTGACCGCTTACCGACTAGGTGTTTCGTACGCTTGTATGTAGCATCGCAGTGAGTCGGTATGACAAACGTCGCCCGGCCTCGGAAGCTGCTTCCGATTCTCGTTACTTCCATCTCGCGAAGTTGACAAACCGCCATGTAAAGCTACACCGCAGCTGTAAGTACCTTTGGGGTGGGTTCGACAAACCGCGCCAATCAACCCCAACACGACAATGTCATCCCGGCAAGGATGGTGCGAGATAACGGCGAAGACAGCGTCCATTTGTGCTCATAATTGAGACACTACTTAATGAGTCCGACAATCCGAGCGAGTACCAGTACCAGTTGGTAGGGAAGAGGGCATCGCGCAATCAGTGCATCTAGTCAGTCGCGGCGTCTCCAAGAATGGGGCGCAATGGCGCTCTATGACTCTGCGCGTCGTGCATTGGCGAGAGTATACTTATTGCCTTGCCGCGCCGTGTGCATGAGTTGTGGCTTGTCACGTAAGTGGGGAGTAAGTACTGAGACCCGTCTCAATTCGGTAATGCGCTTTCTATATTCGGACACTCTCAGCCACAGTCTCTGGTCCGTTGCGAATGATGACCATGTCATACCTATATATTCCGAGACTAGGGGCGCCTCGTCCTTTCTCCGAGCGAGGATCGTATCAACTACGGTGAAGCTCTGGTCGGGTCGCTCACTCTTGTCCGTATGGGGTTGTCCATAGCTGACTGACACCGGGACAAGTGCAGCAATCAGTATAGCCGGTATACGCAGGCACACAGACTGGCATATTTCAAAGTTCTGCATCAACGCCACAACAGATATCGTCGCGCCCAGCGTCGACGCTGATTGCTCCTGAGTACGGGGCGCTTGATGCAGGATACCGTATCCTCCCTGGGGCGCGGGCGCTACACCTTGATTAGGCGCGGGCAAACAGAAACGAGCGCCCATAGCATTCTTTGGGGCGCCAGGACTGGGGACACGTTGGGTTTTTCCAGTCCCTTCAAAAGTCGGCGCGGCGGACTACCACTTCATCCCTGTCTCGCCTCTACAGGACATCCTACACGATGTCCCCGGCAACTGGCTCGTGCACAAGCACGACCCGCCCTATTCTCATCCAGTCGGGTTCCATTAGAGTGAGTCTTCGAATTCGTCGCTTTTGCGCATCCATACCACACACGGCATGGTATGCGGGTCGTTGTCCCGGAAGGAGCTGCGCTTGAAGAGGACTCCTATGACGGTATCTGGCAGGCCGTGCAAGTGCCATGTCACGCCCGCGACGCGTCCTTGCTGCCATACCGCACCGTAAGCACAAGAATGCATTGCTAACTGCTCGCGCTCCCAGGTGTCTATCCCTATCTCCACGGAAACCAACGAGTGGACTGCCGCCGAAGTCCTTCGCGATGAATTTACCCACGACGACACACTCCATACCCCCACGCAATCCGAGGATGTGAAGCAGGCGACCATAGAGCTCTTCGCCCGCTTCCTGCGATTCGTCGTGCAAAACGTAGACGCCGACTGTCACCGTACCCCCGTGCTCTGCAAGGCGGTCAACCACTTCACTTCGTCCTACTTGTCGCAGCAGGACGTGTATACTGTTGCGGGGGCTCTTGACGTAGACGTGCGCAAGACTGTGCTTGCGAGCTACTTCCAGGCTCTGGGAGCCTTAGAGGAAAGGAATGTCGCTGGTATCTCCTATGCGCCAGCACCCGCGCTTTTCACAGCGTCTGACGCGTCAATCTACGCGTTGTTTGGTGGACAGGGTACGAACGAGGTCTATTTCGACGAGCTGCAATCGCTTTACGACACGCACACGCCTTACGTCTCGTCTTTCCTGGCTGAGATGACACAAGTACTTCGCCCTCTCGTCGACGGTCTCGCGTCGTCAACCTATTACACGCATGGCCTGGACGTCATCTCCTGGTTGACTGGTGCTACGCCGCGCCCCCCTATTGCGTACCTCGCGTCCGTCCCCGTATCCCTGCCCCTCATCGGGCTCACGCAACTCACCCAATACCTGGTTACTTGCCGTGTTGCGCGTATCGGCCCCGGCGAGATGCGCAAGAAACTACAGGGCGCGACCGGTCACTCCCAAGGTGTCGTCTCCGCCGTGGTCGTCGCGGCCTCGACGAGCATCGAGTCATACTTCGAGAACAGCAAGAAGGGAATGAAGTGGCTGTTCTACTGCGGCTACCGCGGCCAGCAGGCATTCCCGGTGCTCGCGCTCGAGCCGAGCATCGTGGAAGACGCAATCGAGGGCGGCGAGGGCGCGCCGAGCCCCATGTTGCTCGTGGCAGGGCTCGCCCTCAAGGATCTCGAGAAGCACGTTCAGAGCACGAATAAGCATCTCCCGGCGAACTCGCAGCTGCGCGTGTCGCTCCACAACGCGCCGAAGGCGTTCGTCGTCACGGGCCCTGCGCGCGCCCTGTACGGCCTCGTCACCCACCTGCGCAAGGTCCGCGCCCCGAACGGCCTTGATCAGAGCAAGATACCGTTCTCGCAGCGGAAGCCCGTGTTCTCTGTGCGCTTCTTGGTGGTCGGCGTGCCCTACCACAGCGAGTACCTCAAGGGGATGACGGAGAAGCTGTTCGAGGAGGACTTGGATGGTGAGGAGCTGTGGACGAAGGAGGACCTGGGTATGGCTGTTTATCATACCGAGACCGGTGAGTGCCGCATCCCCTCACAGAAGGCTCCTCGGGCTGATCATACGCTGTCAGGTAATGATCTGCGCGAGCTTACGACGTCCCTGACGTGCTCCCTGGGTGACCAGATTTTCACTTCTCCGCTGCACTGGGCGAAGGCTACGAACTTCCCCGAGACCGCTACGCACGCTATTGACTTCGGTCCGGGTGGCCTCAGCGGCGTCGGTCCTATGACGGCGCGAAACCTCAACGGTCGCGGTGTCCGCGTCATCGTCGCGGGAGACAAGTCGAGGGGCGTCGTTGAGTTGTACGACGCGCAGACGGTGAAGAGGGAGGAATGGTGGAGCAAGAAGTTCATGCCCAGTCTCGTCAAGACGAGGTACGTTTGCTACAGTCGCCAATTGTGCATTGCTAACTCTTTGACAGCGATGGCAAAATCCACCTCGACACGCCGTTCTCCCGTCTCCTGGGCAAGCCGCCAATCATGGTGGCTGGTATGACACCTACGACCGTCAAGGCTGGTTTCGTCAGCGCTGTCCTGGCGGCTGGGTACCACGTCGAGCTTGCTGGTGGCGGTCACTACAACGCTGCTGCGCTCCGCGCGAAGGTCGCCGAGATCCAGAGCAAGATCCCCGCTGGTGTCGGTATCACTCTCAACTCGCTTTACATCAACCCGCGCCAGTTCGGCTTCCAATTCCCCCTATGGCAGGAAATGCGTCGCGAGGGCTTGCCCATTGAGGGCTTCTGTGTCGCTGCCGGTATCCCCAGCACGGAGAAAGCAGCCGAGATCATCGGTGGTCTCGAGGCGGCGGGCATCCGTCACGTTTCGTTCAAGCCCGGATCCGTCGACGGCATCCGTCAGGTCGTCAACATCGCCGCTGCTAACCCAGACTTCCCTATCATCCTGCAGTGGACGGGTGGCCGTGCGGGTGGTCATCACTCGTGCGAGGACTTCCACCAGCCGATTCTGTCTACATATCATTCGATCCGCCAGCACAGCAACATCTCGCTCGTCGCCGGCTCTGGATTCGGTGGTGCGGACGATGTCTGGCCGTACCTTACTGGTGACTGGTCCGTCGAGAAGTTCGGGATGCAGCCCATGCCGTTCGACGGTTTCCTCTTCGCGTCTCGCGTCATGGTCGCCAAGGAGGCGCACACGAGCTCTTCGGTCAAGGACCTCATCGTCGCCGCGAAGGGTGTCGATGATGCGCAATGGGAAGGCACGTACGCGAAGGAGACCGGCGGCATCGTGACCGTCAAGTCCGAGCTCGGCGAGCCCATCCACAAGGTCGCCACGCGCGCCGTGAAACTGTGGAAGGAGTTCGACGAGACCGTGTTCAAGATGCCGAAGGAGAAGCGCGCTGCGTGGATCAACGAGAGGCGTGCGGAGATCATCGCGAAGCTGAACAAGGACTTCGCGAAGCCGTGGTTCGGGTGGAAGAAGGACGGCAGCGTCGTCGAGGACATCGCCGACATGACCTACGAGGAGGTCGTCCTCCGCATGGTCCGTCTCATGTATGTCGAGCACGAGGAGCGTTGGGTCGACCTGTCGCTCAGGAACCTGACGGGTGATTGGCTCCGCCGCGTGGAGGAGCGCTTCGCGGGCATTGACCGAGGATCGAAGGCGTCAATTCTACAGTCGTATTCTTCTTTGGACAAGCCCATCGACTTCGTCAAGCTGTTCTTCGCGACGTATCCGGCTGCGACCGAGCAGCTCCTGGCGTCGGAGGACAAAGCGTTCTTCCTCGCTATCTCGCAGCGCCCAGGCCAGAAGCCGGTGCCGTTCATCCCCGTCCTCGACGCGAACTTCGAGGTTTGGTTCAAGAAGGTACGTCAAAATTGCCCAATAAGGAAGTAAGACTCACATTTTGGGCAGGACTCACTGTGGGCAGCCGAGGACATCGAGGCTGTCTTCGACCAGGACCCGCAGCGAGTGTGCATCCTCCAGGGGCCTGTCGCGGTGAAGCATGCTATCAAGAAGGACGAGCCGATCAAGGAGATGCTCGACAATATCACCGCTATCCTCGTCGACAAGTTGGTGCAGCGCCTCTACGGCGGCGACCTCAGTCGCATCCCGACCGCTGACTATCTCAGTGTCAGGGCTTCTCCTCTCCCGGAGAGCATCGCTGCCTCGCTTGGCGCTGAGCGCTCTGTCGAGGCCGACAAGATCACGTATTCTGTTGGGAGCACCTGGCCCGAGGCGTCGACCTGGCTTGAGATGCTCGCCGGCCCTCGTCAAAGTTGGCTCAGGGCCCTCCTTACGTCGACGACTATCGTGCAGGGTACCTCGCACATCGACAACCCCATCCGCCGCCTCTTCGCTCCTCGTCGGAATCAGAAGGTCGTCCTGACCTTGGACGGCGAGACGCCTGTGTCCGTCGCTCTCTACGGCGCCGCTCGTTCGTACGGCCAGCACAAGTCCGACTTCAAGGCCGTCGAGGTCAAGTATCATTCGGCGTCTCAGTCGATCGACATAACGCTGTTCGAGGACCGTCGCGACGTCTCGGTGCCTCTTCACTTCAAGTTCCTCTACAAGCCGAGCATGGGCTTCGCTCCCATCCATGAGGTTGCTGAGGGCCGTAACACGCGTATCAAGGACTTCTACTGGAGGCTGTGGTTCGGCGACAATGAGGTGCTCCCCGAGATCAACCTCCGCGACACGTTTACGGGTCCTGAGGTCACGATTGAGGCGAATGACGTCGAGACCTTCTGCGCAGTGGTAGGCAATGAAGGCGAGGCGTTCAAGACAGCGCGGACGGACCGCGTCCAGGCTCCGATGGACTTCGCGATCGTTACTGGCTGGCAGGTAAGCAATGCTGAATCACTACGTTGTTCGTGATGTCCTAATTTCGTGGCAGGCCATCATGAAGGCAATCTTCCCGGCTGCCATCGACGGCGATTTGCTCAAGTTGGTTCACCTTTCGAACGGGTTCCGCGTCGTCGAGGGTACGGAGCCACTCAAGGCCGGCGACGTCTGCAAGTCGGAGGCTCGTATCGTCTCTGTGGCCAACAGCGACGCTGGGAAGATCGTCAAGGTCAAGGGCTTCGTCAAGCGTGATGACGCGCCCGTTATCGAAGTCGTGTCCTCGTTCTTGTACCGTGGTCGCTACTCCGACTACGAGAACACATTCGAGGTCGTCGAGGAGCCTGAGTATCTCGTCGAGGTTGCGACAGAGGCGGAGGTTGGCGTGCTGCAGTCGAAGGAGTGGTTCGAATGGGACGATGAGTCCAAGCCTCTCCACGCAGGCACTGGCCTTGTGTTCCGCGTTAGGTCTGAGGTCACGTACCGCAACAAGACGTACTTCAAGACGGTCTCTGTATCTGGCGACATCTTCGTCCGCGACCAGCTCAAGCGCCTCGTCAAGGTCGGCTCGATCGACTTCCTGCAGGACGACAGCCGTGGCAACCCCGTAATCGCATACCTCCAACGTCATGGTACCCAGCAGGGCTCGCCTAGCCCGCTGACCAGCGAGGGCTACACGATGAGCAAGTCGGGTACTACGACCTTTGCTTCCCCCGCAACGAACGAGCCTTACTCCAGGATCTCCGGCGACTTCAACCCTATCCACATCAATCCCTACTTCGCAGACTTCGCCGCACTTCCGGGAACGATCACGCACGGCATGTGGTCGAGCGCTGCTACAAGGCGCTATGTCGAGACCGTTGTTGCACAGGGCAGGCCAGATCGCGTCAGGGCGTACGTAGCGTGTAATACACCATCTGTGGGAGTTAGGTATACTGATGACACTTTCGCAGATACGACGTGACCTTCGTTGGCATGATTCTACCCCAAGACGAATTGACGGTTAAGGTTAAGCACATCGGCATGCGAGACGGTAACATCGTCGTCCGCGTTGAGACCACGAACTCTCAAGGCGAGAAGGTCCTCGAAGGCACTGCTGAGGTTGCCCAGCCGAAGACCGTCTATGTCTTCACCGGCCAGGGTTCTCAAGAGGCGGGTATGGGCATGGACCTTTACAACAACTCGCCTGCAGCGCGCTCGGTTTGGGAGGCCGCTGACGCCCATCTGACTGCTGTCTATGGCTTCTCGATCGTCGAAATTGTCAAGGACAACCCGAAGGAGAAGACGATTCACTTCGGTGGTATCAAGGGTCAGGCTATTCGCCAACGATACATGGACATGACCTACGATACGATGGACAAGGACGGCAACGTCAAGACCCTCCCTCTCTTCGGCGACATCAATGCTCGCACTCAGCGCTACACGTTCAGTCACCCCACGGGCTTGCTCTTCGCTACGCAATTCGCTCAGATCGCTCTCGTCGTCACTGAGCGCGCGGCGTTCGAGGACATGCGCTCGAAGGGTCTGGTTCAAAGCGGCGCACCCTTCGCCGGACACTCTCTCGGCGAGTACTCCGCTCTCGCATCCATCGCGGATGTTCTGGCCATCTCGTCTCTCGTCGACATTGTCTTCTATCGTGGCATCACCATGCAGCGTGCTGTCGAGCGTGACGCACAGAACCGCTCGAACTATGCGATGTGCGCAGTTAACCCCAGCCGTGTGTCGAAGACGTTCACGGACGCCGCCTTGCGTGAGGTTGTCGATGACATTGCGCAGAAGACCAACTGTCTTCTAGAGATCGTGAACTACAACGTCGAGGTATATTAAGATCGACCGGTTGCATCTGTTCCTTCACTGACAGACCGTCTAGGGTCAACAATATGTCTGCGCTGGCGAACTCTTGGCTCTGCAGACGATGACCAACGTCCTCAACTACCTCAAGATTGAGAAGATCGACATACTGAAGGTAAGGAGTCACGTGTTCTTGTTGTTCACATCCTGACAGCGTTTGCAGTTGACGGAGAAGTTTACCATTGATCAAGTGAAGGAGATGCTCGGCGAGATCATCAGCTCGTGCTTCGCGAAGGCCAAACAGCTGCAAGAAACCGAGGGCTACATCAAGCTGGAGCGTGGGTTCGCAACTATCCCTCTTCCTGGCATCGACGTGCCTTTCCACTCCCGCTACCTCTGGGCCGGCGTCATGCCCTTCAGAACGTGTACGTGGTACTTTTCTTCATGGCTGCGCTGTGCTGATTACTCTCCAAGACCTCTCGAAGAAGATTAATGCCGCACATCTCAATCCCGACACGCTCGTAGGCAAGTACGTGCCGAACCTCGTCGCACAGCCCTTCGATGTTTCGAAGGATTACGTCCAGCTCGTGTACGATCGCACCCTGTCTGCCCGTCTCGACAAAGTCCTCCGCAAGTGGGACTCAGAAGATTGGGCGTTGCCTGAGCAGCGTCAGAAGCTCGCGTATATCATCCTCGTCGAGTTGCTTGCGTATCAGTTCGCGTCGCCGGTGCGATGGATCGAGACTCAGGATATTCTGTTCACTCGTTATGACTTCGAACGCCTCATCGAGATCGGGCCGTCGCCAACACTCACCGGCATGGCCACCAGGACTTTGAAGGCAAAGTACGAGGTGCAAGACGACTCTGTCAGTCACATGCGTGTCATCCTTTGCCATGCCAAGAACGTCAAGGAGGTCTACTACCAGTTCGAGGATGAACCCGAGGCCGCCGAAGCTGAAGCATCAGCGACGGAAGCTACACCTTCGCCTGCAGTCCCGGTCGCATCTGTCGCCGCGGCCGCCCCGGCTCCCGCTGCGGCCGCAGCTGCCAGCGTCGAGGATGTGCCTCTGAAGGCCATCGAGGTATTGAGCGTTATTGTTGCTCAGAAACTCAAGAAGCGGGTCGACGAGGTGCCGCTCTCGAAGTCCATCAAGGACCTGTCTGGCGGAAGTCCACGCTACAGAATGAAATCTCGGGGACCTCAGTTGGAGTTCTCCTCTGCACCTGAGAAAGGGGAGGAACTTCCCTTGGAGGAACTCGGCTCGGCGCTCGGGGTCGGTTTCTCTGGCAACCAGGGCAAGTACACGTCGGGACTCATTGGACGACTCGTCGGTGGTAAGATGCCGGGAGGTTTCAACATGTCTGCCATCAAGGCGTACCTCTCTAAGAGCTGGGGTCTCGGACCCTCTCGTGCTGACGGCGTGCTACTCCTGGGAACACAATGGAACCCGCAAAGCGGCTTGGATCTGAGGCGGAAGCGAAGGCCTGGTTAGACTCTGTCGTCTCCGTGTACGCCCAGCGTTCCGGCATCAGCCTCTCGGCAGGTACTGCGGCAGGCGGCGGTGGTGGCGGAGCATCTGGTCCTACCATCAACAGCGAGGAATTCTTGAAATTCCAGGCGGGGCAGGAATGGTTTGCCTCCCAACAAGTTGAACTGTACATGCGATACCTCAAACGCGACTCGCGCTCCGGAGAGCATAAGTACGAGAACGAGAAGGTCAATGTTGCGGCCCTCCAGTCTCGCCTAGACGCCATCACTCGCGAGCACGGAGACACTTATCTCGACGGCATCCAGCCTGTCTTCGACGCGCTGAAGGCCAGACATTTCGACTCCTCGTGGAACTGGGTCCGTCAAGACGCATTGCTGATGTTCTACGACATCATCTTCGGTCGCCTCACCACCGTCGACCGCGAGATCACCGCTCGCTGTATACAGATCATGAACCGCGCTGACCCGGAACTCGTCACGTACATGCAGTACTACATCGACAAGTGCGACCCGAGTCGCGGCGAGACGTACAAGCTTGCGAAACAGTTCGGCAGCAATTGATCGACAACTGTCGGGAAGTCGTCAGCCTGCCCCCTCTTTACAAGGATGGTGAGTACTGCACAGACATGACGCTATGAGATTGTGCTAACTGTTCTAGTCACGTTCCCGACTGCTCCGCACACTGAGATCTCCGCAAGGGGGATATTGTTTACTCCGAGGTCGTCAGAGAAAATGTGCGCAAGCTGGAAGCTTACGTCGAGGAGATGGCTAGCGGCGATACGATCTCGGCCCCGTCAAAATCCAGAAGATCCAGGACGACGTCTTGAAGTTATGGAACGTCGTCAAGTCTCAGCCGGAGATCAGCGAGGAGCAGAAGAATCGCATCAAGGCGCTGTACGAAGGTGTCGTCCGTTCTTTGCGCAAGCGTCCGGAGTCGCGCCCTCGTCCGGGTGCTCCCAGAACGCGTCGGTCGTCCTCGCATTCCTTCGCCCTCAGGTATCCGGTATTGCGCCGTCTCCGCAGACAAGATCCCGTTGTTGCATTTGAAGCGTAAGGTCGGCACAACCTGGGAATACAGCAGCAACCTCACAGGCGTGTACCTTGATATCTTGCACGAAATCGCCACCTCTGGTACGAGCTTCAAAGACAAGAATGCGCTCCTCACCGGCGTCGGGAAGGGTCCATTGGCGTGAAGTCCTCAAGGGTCTCTTGTCAGGTGGTGCCCACGTGTTATCACACATCCCGTTACAGCCGCTTGACTGTCGAGTACTACCAAGGCATTTTCCAGCGCTACGGGAGCAAGGGGTCTGCCTTGACCGTCGTTCCATTCAACCAGGGATCCAAGCAGGACGTCGAGGCGTTGGTCGACTACATCTACTCCACTCTTGGCCTCGATCTCGACTACATCATGCCGTTTGCTGCTGTGCCCGAAAATGGCCGCGAGATTGACGGTCTCGACGACAAGTCCGAGCTCGCCCATCGCATCATGTTGGTCAATTATTACGACTACTCGGCACTGTCAAGGTCAAGAAGGCGTCTCGCCATATCCTGACGCGCCCACACAAGTGATACTTCCGCTCTCTCCCAACCACGGACTGTTTGGCAACGATGGCTTGTACTCTGATCAAAGATCGGTTTGGAGACCTTGTTCAACCGCTGGAACTCGAGAGCTGGGGAGAGTACCTCTGCTGGCTGGTGCTGTGATCGGGTGCGTACTGCGTACTCATGCTGAGCTTCATAATGACTGTTCCACAGGTGGACTCGTGGTACTGGTCTCATGGACAGTACGAACACCGTCGCGCAAGAGGTCGAGAGTCACGGTGTCCGCACCTTCTCTGCGAAGGAGATGGCATTCAATATTCTCGGTCTCATGCACCCGCTCTTGTTCAGCATTACTCAGTTGAGCCCATTTGGGCAGATCTTAACGGCGGCATGGATCGACTCCCTGACCTTGCTGAAATCACCACGCGCATCAGATTGAGCCTCAACAAGAAGAGCGACCTTCGCCGTGCGATCGCCCGCGACAACGCTGCAGATTTCAAGGTGATCAACGGAGTCGAGGCGGAACGAGTCCTGCAAACGGTCAACGTGACGCCACGCGCAACTTCAAGTTCGACTTCCCTCAATCGAGCCTCTCGAATCTCTCTCTGACGTGTCGCAGTTGCGCGGCATGTTGGACCTCGACCAGACGATCGTCATCACTGGCTTCGCTGAGGTTGGGCCATGGGGTAGCTCTCGCACGCGTTGGGAAATGGAGGCTCGTGGAGAATTTACCATCGAAGGTTGCATCGAGATGGCCTGGATGATGGGTTGTATCAAGCACTTCGACGGTCGCCTCAAGGACGGCTCTCTGTACGTTGGGTGGGTAGATGCGAAATCCGGTGAGCCGTGGACGACAAAGACGTGAGGAGCTCTACGAGAAGGATTCTGAGCCACGCCGGCATCCGTCTATTGGTTTGTTGCTGTTTATACGATGACATGCTAGCGCTGATTACTTCAGAGCCCGAGCTGTTCCGCGGTTACGACCCCAAGAGAAATCTTTCAACCAGGAGATCCAGCTGTCTCATGACCTCGAGCCCTTCGAAGCTAGTCAAGTCGAGGCGGACAATTCAAGTACGAGCACGGCGACAGCTGCGACATCTGGGAGATCGAGGGCGGACATGGTATGTCAAGCTCAAGCGTGGTGCACGTCTCTTCGTGCCGAAGGCCTTCAAGTTCAACCGCTTGGTGCTGGCCAGATCCCCACCGGTTGGGACGCCGGACGCTTCGGCATTCCAGCGGATATCATCGCTCAGACTGACCGCACTGCTCTCTGGACTCTCGTCGCTGCTGCGGACGCCCTCAACATGTCCGGTGTCACTGACCCATACGAGCTCTATGAGCATATGCACCCGTCCGAGGTTGGCACCAGTATCGGCAGTGGTATGGGTGGCATGGAAAGCTTGGGCAGGATGTTCAAAGATCGTCGCGACGAGAAGGAGGTACAGAATGACATCCTCCAGGAGACGTGAGTTTCTCCTATGACTGTCGACCTTCCGTGAGCTCAATGACGTCTTCTAGCTTCATCAACACGACTGCGGGATGGGTCAACCTCTTGCTTTTGTCGTCTTGTGGACCGGTGAAGATCCCTGTCGGTGCATGGTAAGCGTTTGAGTGCATGCGTGCCGATATTATGCTAACGAACATTTAGTGCAACCGCGCTGCAATCCCTAGAGATAGCGTGCGACACGTTGCTGTCCGGCAAGGCCAAGGTCATGCTCGCGGGTGGTTACGATGACTTCAGCGAAGAGGGTTCGTATGAGTTCGCAAACATGAAGGCTACTAGCAACTCGGAGACCGAGTTCGCGATGGGCCGTGAGCCAACCGAGATGTCGAGACCAGCTACGACAACTCGCGCAGGGGTAAGTTGTCAACTCGTTTGATGATTTTGATGTCTAACGCGGTACTGTACAGTTTATGGAGGCACAGGGATCTGGAGTGCACGTCCTCATGAGTGCCAAGACAGCGCTTGAACTCGGCTGCCCCATCCGCGGTATTGTCGCGTTCACGTCGACGTCGACGTAAGTGGTTTCAACGTATCTGAACCCTCGCATAGACTGACCCGCAATGAAGTGACAAGGCCGGCCGATCGGTTCCTGCGCCAGGTCGTGGTGCGCTGACCATCGGCCGCGAGATCCAATCCAAGCATCCCGCGCCAATACTCGACGTTGCTTATCGCTCCCGCCAGCTCGCCTTCCGCCGCAAACAAATCTCGCAATGGCTTGAGAACGAGCGTCAACTGCTGCAGGACGAGATCGAATTCCGCAAGAGCCAAGATGCCGCTGTCGACGAGGAGTACGTCGCTCACCGTGTCGCAGACTTGGAGCAAGAAGCTGCTCGCCAGGAGAAGGATGCACTGTCGACGTACGGCATGCTGCACGGCACGGACCCGCGGGTCTCCCCTCTCCGGCGTGCGCTCGCCGTCTGGGGCCTGACTGCTGACGACATCGATGTCCTCTCCATCCACGGTACCGGTACTGGCGCGAACGTACGTGTTTTCCTTACGCTTGTAGCGTGTCCTGACCATTGCATTGTAGGAGAGCAACGAGACTCACGTCTGGAATGACATCTTCTCGACATCCACCGGACACCGGAATGCTGTCCCTGTCATGGCACAGAAGAGCATCTGGGCCATTCCAAGGGTGGTCGGCTGCATGGCAGCTCGCTGGCCTCTTGCAGAGTGTGGGCAGCGGTATTGTCGCTGGCAACCGTAACGCGGAGTAAGTGATTCGAGCCGTTCGTGGCGGTTTTGTCTGACAGTATTATGTGCAGCAATGTCGACTCGCACTTCAAGGACTACACTTACCTCATGTTCCCTTCAAAGTCCATCCACACTGACGGCATCCGTGCGGGTGTCATGGTGAGTCACAGAACTGCGATTCGTTCCTATTGGTGTCTAATCCCACGAAACACAGTCCTCCTTCGGCTTCGGTCAAGTCGGCGGCACCTGCCTGATCGTCAACCCGCGCTACCTGCTCGGCGCCCTCGAGCCGTCTGTCTACACGAGCTACAAGGCGAGGCACCTGCGCCGCGCACGGCTGGCGTACAAGGCGATGAGCGAGATGATGATTAGCAACACGCTCGTGCGCGTGAAGGACGGCCCGCCGTTCACGAAGGAGGTCGAGGCGAGCGTGATGCTGAACCCGCTCGCGCGCACGTCGTACAACCCCAAGACGGGCAGCTACGCGTTCTCGAAGCTCGTGACGGAGGCCCCGGCGGACAGGCGAACGTCAAGGCGTGGCGGAACATTGCGCTGTCGAGTGCTACGGCTGGTGTCGGGTCGACCAAGGTACGCTCTCTGCTCCTCTCTAGCCTCCAGCTGACGTTACGTGCAGAGCTGATCTCATCCGTGCCCTCGTGGAACCCGACGTTCGTGGAGCGCAACTTCACGGACGCGGAGATCGCGTACTGCCGCAGCCAGCCGGCGCCCGAGGCGTCGTTCGCGGCGCGGTGGACCGGCAAGGAGGCAGTGTTCAAGTCGCTCGGGGTCGCGTCGCGCGGCGCGGGCGCGCCGATGAAGGACATTGAGATCCTGCCGGACGAGGCGGGCGTCCCGACGGTCGCGCTCCACGGCGAGGCGAAGTCGGCTGCGGAGGCGAAGGGCGTGAAGAAGGTGCACTTGTCGCTGAGTCACTCGGAGGTGCGTTGTGTCGTTTGCATTTCTTGGGTTTGGACTGACGAGTGATTGTTCGATAGACTGTCGCCATTGCGTTTGCGCAGGCTGCGTCCTCGTGAACGTGATGCTCTGCTCGCCGCGCTTGCTTGTTCGTCTTAGAGATCCTCCGTCGTCGTTCTTGGTCTAGATGCTCGCTGCTCTGATGGTACTCGCTCACACTCGCATACACATACTGATATCATACTGTTCTTACGTCGCACACGATTGCATGTAGTCGCATCCGGAATGGTTTCTTTCACGAATCTAATGCATTTCTTGTTTACTCTCACTCCATGGTCTGCGTCGGCCTGAGTTGGATATTCTACAGATATATTCAAGCACTAGCAAGTAAGATGGCAACTGAAGTGCTGAAAGCTAAACATGGTAGAGACGATGCGTCTCAATGTACTCCGCAACTGCCGGAGTGACCATCTCCCTCCACTGCTCGTGTCCACCATTCGCGCCCTGTCGAATCAGCGTACTGCTCACTGACCTCAGTTCCTCCGGGATGTCCACCAGCAGTACCCTCCCCTCCTCCGCGAACTCGCGTATCGCCGCGCGGAGCTTCGCCTCCTCGCCTTGCGCCTCCGGGGAGAGGAGGGCACGGCGGGCGCAGACGACGCGGGCGTCGTCGCCGGCGGGGTGGGCGGAGAGGAAGCGGTGGAGGGCAGAGGCCATGGCGGAGGGGGAGGGGTAGTAGCGCGGGGCGAAGAGCCGCTCGAGGGTGTCAGTGCCGACGAGGAAGGTGAGCTGGGGCCGTGGGGGCGGCGCGGATGAGGAACTCGTCAGTGGGACATCTGGGGGAAAGGAAGCAGGGGTGGAGGCGGGAGGGGCGGACAGGCGCTGCCGTAAGTAGGAGAGGAGGACGGAGGACTTGCCCACGAACGTGGGTTCATCGATGATCGCGACGGCGACGTTGTCGTGGGGAGGCGCGGTGGCAGGTGACCCGTCTCCGTGTGCGGGGGAGGCGGAGGCGGAGGCGGAGGCGGGGACGCGGAGGACGTCGCGCGCGAGGAGGAGCATCATCTCGAGGCGCTGCGCGTGGGCGGCGTCGCCGGGCGCGAGCTGCTTGTCCGCGTTGCGCACGGAGAGGAGGAGGAGCTTCGCGTCGTAGTCGGCGGCGTCGGACGCGTCGTCGTCGGCGAACGCGGGGCGCGGCGCGTTGGCGAGGGCGAGGTGCGCGCGGGAGGGCGGGTTGAAGGACGAGTCGAGCACGGCGACGCGGAGGGTGCCGCGCGGGGCGAGGGGCCGGCGGGGGTGGGCCAGGCGGGGTGGGTGGCGTAGACGAGCTCGAGGGGCGAGTGGCCGGCGCGGACGCGGTCAATGAGGGACGCGAAGGATGCCATGCAGCCTGGGGAGAGGTTCAGTGCGCGTGCGGGGAAGGAGAGTGGCCATGGCGGGGACGAACGTGCCAGTGCGCGTCTCCGAGGAAGGCCGGGCTGGGAGGTGGCCGAGGCGAGCAGCGGCGGGGATGGTGGCAACGATGGCAAGGAGGGGAAGACGGCGTGCGGAGGCGAGCAGACGGCGCGAGGAGAGTCTGAGGATGATGTCCGGCCGCTTCTGGCAGTCGGCGCTTCTTCGCGCGAGCCAGATCGCGATCAGCCGGGCGTCTGTGTGTCTCTGCGGTTGTGCACCGACTCGCGTCTCTGCAGCATCGATTCTCTCTCTCTTACAGCCATGGAGAAGGACGCGGATGGATTCTACTCCCCAGCAGCACCAGGTATGTGCTGCATCTCTGCGCTGACCACACACTGACCCGCGAAACAGCAGCGGACAAAAGGAACAGCCTGCAGAGGAAGCCGACGGTACGTCCTCCTTCTCTCGCCTCCGCGCGGTTCGATCGGTCCTCGGTGTTCACCCGCACACTCCCCCTCCAGACGCGACGGATCTCATCAAGTCCTCCTTCGAGGTCTCGGTCAGTGCCACCGCTTTCCTCCCTGTCAACTCTGTTCGTGATGACCGGACCCCCAGGTCACATTAGCCGACCAGCAAGCCGACCCGAACTCGCCGCTCTACAGCGCAAAGACATTTGAGCAGCTTGGCCTGTACGTCTCCCCGCCCCTCCATTCCTCCGCAGACGCGTCTGACCCCATCGCCGCCCAGTCATGCTGACCTCCTCAAGGGGATTTACGACATGGGCTTCTCCAAGCCGTCCAAGATCCAAGAACGCGCCCTGCCCCTCCTCTTGTCAAATCCGTGTGTGCCACGCCCCGCCCCCATCGACGCGCGGATGCTGACTTATTGCGCGGTCCAGACCGACCAACATGATCGGCCAGTCGCAGTCGGGCACGGGCAAGACGGCGGCGTTCGTGTTGACGATGCTTAGTCGGGTGGACTTCACGAAGAACAAGACGCAGGTGGGTTCTTCTTGCCGGGTGCACTTGCAGGGCAGGCTCTTTATCGCGTGGCGCCGAATGAGCTCGGTCGCGCGCATGTCTTGTTTTCCATTCATGCACGCGGCGCTGCGGGACACGGAATGACGCCATTACGTGACCCTGCGATGCATGCACGGGCTTGTTGCAGGCGATCTAGGAAGTGGGCTGGCACGGAATGGGCTGAGAGGCATCTGGGCAACACCTCGTCCCTGCTTCCGTGCACGCTCGGGTCGCAACAAGCATTCCGGTCTGTCGGCTACCAAGCGAGGGCGCGCTGAGGTTCTCGGGGATCGTAGGGTGTCCCCGCAGACCCGTTGATCCCCTCTCGGTGTCTCCGTGCGGGCTCTATGGGTTGGCCGTCGTTCTGCTCGGTGAGCGTCGGGCATCACGATGGTCGGGCATCATACCTCTGTGCCCGGACGCGCGTGGATGCCGACGTACGGGCCCAGAGCGCAGGCTACCCGCAAGCCCGAGAAGAAAAATCCTAGGTCACCGCTGTTGCAGACTCTATCATTCGCGAGGCCCCGCCCCTCCCCGCCTTCCTATACACCTTTCGCACCCTCACACCCTGCTAACCCTCCTTCCCCAGGCCCTCTGCCTCGCCCCCTCGCGCGAACTCGCGCGGCAAATCATGTCCGTCGTCGTCGCAATGGGCAAGTTCACGCCCGTGCAGACGGAGTACGCGATCAAGGACAGCCTGCCCAAGGGCGCGTCACGCGTCTCGGCGCAGGTCGTCGTCGGGACGCCCGGGACGATGACGGACCTGATACGCCGGAAGGTGATCGACGTGTCGGAGGTGAAGGTGTTCGTGCTCGACGAGGCGGATAACATGCTCGACCAGGACGGCCTGGGCGACCAGACGCTCCGGGTCAAAAAGTGAGTGACGCGCGCGCCTAGTGCGGTAATCTCTGGGCCGCGCTTCCTCCCACTGCGCGCTGGAAGGGCTGGCTGACCTTCCCTTTGCCTCCTCCGCGCAGCATGCTCCCGCGCACGGGCGTGCAGATCATCCTGTTCTCGGCGACGTTCCCGGATCATGTGCGGACGTTTGCGGCGAAGTTTGCGCCGAGCGCGAACAAGATCGAGCTGCAGAAGAACGACCTGACGGTGGACAACATCCACCAGTTCTATCTCGACTGCAAGAACGAGGAGCACAAGTACGACGTGCTCGTGTCGCTGTATGAGCTCCTCACTATAGGGCAGAGCATCATCTTCTGCCAGGTACGTTTGCTTTGCGAAAGTGTAGATCGTGACAAGACGAAAGCTAATGATCGGGTGGGCAGCACCGACACACGGCGGACCGGATCGCGCAGCGGATGACGCTGGAGGGACACAAGGTCGCGTCGCTGCACGGCGCGAAGGACGCGTCGGAGCGCGACTCGATCATCGACTCGTTCCGCGAGGGCCGCGAGAAGGTGCTGATCACGACGAACGTGATCGCGCGGGGGATCGACATCCTGCAGGTGAACATGGTCGTCAACTACGACCTCCCGCTGCTCAACGAGCGCGACAACTGGGGGAACAAGTCCGACGCCCGCCCCGACATCGAGACGTACATCCACCGCATCGGTGAGTCGCGCGTGCCCCGGATTCGCGCGTCCCTTTCCTGTGCCTGTCCCTATTCCTGGTCGCGGGGCTGCGCTGCGCGGGGCTGCTCCGGTGTGCGTTACGTATCCGATCGTGGTCACCTTCCCCTCGGGGGCTGTCAATTCAGTCCCGCAGGGGCGGCCCTGGCTCCGGCGCGCGAACCCTCTCATGCGCGGGGTCAGTCATGGAAGGCGGGCATGCGTTCCTATGGATCTAAACACAGAGCGCTCGTCGTTCCTGCGTGCGGGGCGGCGACGATCGTTGGAGATTGCGCCCGGCGCAGATCCTGGGGCCGCCCGGTGGGGGGCCTGCCAAACCGGGCAGGGTCGTGGAACGCGCACGCGCGGTAATTGCTGCCTTGTTGAACTCTACGCCGCCTCGCGTCTTGTCAGCCTGCGCGACCGTGCGGACGGTCTGCGCAGTCAGGTGTCGAGCTTGACTGCGTACACCGCCCTTCTGCGTGGAACGTCGCTGCCCCGCAGGCAGATTAATGCCCTCGCTGCAGACATGGCGTGAAAGTAGGATGCCCACGCGGCCGATCCCACACGCACATGACGCTCTTCCTTCGCCGTTTCTCTGGCGAGACTGGTGGGTAAAGGTCGGGTCGGTGCGGCCCCGACCTGGGCTTCGCCGAGGACGATTATCGTGCAAGCTGTGTGTGGAGGCGCGCAGCCAAGCGGGCTGATCACCCCGCGCCTGGAGCAGTCCCAGAGGCACGAATCGGCGACGAGCCAATCTGCTTCTGGAAGAGCCTGTCTGAGACGGTGGGCGGGCCACGAATGAGCAGTGCTTTTCCCCGGCGATGCACGCGCGGCCCGCGGGCAGTTTGGGTCTGGTTCGCAGCGCGCTTCGACTTCTATGTGTCGTCTCGTCGCGGTGGTGTGCCGTATGCTTACGAGAAACTCCCGCGCGTGTGCAGGTCGGACGGGTCGGTTCGGGCGCAAGGGCATCTCAATAAACTTCGTGCACGACAAGGGGACCTGGGCGCACATGGAGCAGATCGAGAGCGCGACCGGGAAGCACATCCAGCGGATAGGGACGAACGACCTGGACGAGATGGAGAGGTGAGTGGGCTTGCGCGTGTTCCTTCGCGCTCGGCGGGGCGCTGACCCGTCTGGACCTTTCATTTTGCAGCAAATGAAGAAGGCCCTGAAGTGAACTTTGTACCCCGACCCGACCCACCACGCCTGTACCCTGTAGCTCTCTGTTCGTAATGCGCCCCCTCGCAACGGATACCAACCAATATCGCTGTATACTCGCTCCCTCACGGAATCCTTTGTATGTAACCGCTATGGTAATCTGTCACGCCCTGGGCGATCAGCGGTGGCACCAGGCATGAGGTGTGTATCGGTCTTCGAGTTGCCCCGAGACTGAGGTAAACTCATAGTGTGCTGTATATTTGCCTTTTGATTGACGTCCGCGGATATGACGCCAAGCTGCATCTGATCGCGCAGTCCGCGCTGGTCGCGGTCTCATGTTGCATGGGCGTGTCGTTTGTCAATTATCGCGCGACATGAAGTGCTCTAACTACGTCTCCGCTGTGCCTCGTGCTGACAGATGAGAAGAAGCGCGTGTGTATGCACAGCGGGGCCGCTCTCGTGCGGTCGTTCCATTGCTGGTGTGCCGTTCGTGCTGTAGTGGGAACGGTGATGTGAGGATGCTGTCGCCTTCGCAAGACGGGAGTGTATTCGGGCGCGTCCTGCTTAGTGCGGTATAGCGTCGCACCGTGGCATTATATTCGAGGGGGTGGGGACGAGGCTCGGCAATGTCCAGCGTGCCTTGTGTTCAGCCTCCGTGGGTTCTTCCGGTGTGCAGCTCGTGGATCCAGCAGCCATGGATCTCGCTGCTGGCGGGCAGGCCTCCGGCCGCGCTGGAAAAGTCTATATTTCATGCGTGTGAAGCGATGACCGCGCTGACACCCGCACGAGCATGGCCTATCTGGGACGACGGCCTGTGCACAGGAGACGTGCGTGCCCTCGGTGAATCGCGATGGTTCGAGGGCCGTAATCATTAGATTCTATCACGCCGGATGGCCGCGGGCAATGAGCAGTCTGACGCGTTGAGAGCCAGGTGTCAGCGCTGCCCTCACGCTCCGTAAGTGGTCCAGGCAAGTCGGTGTGCACCGTGGTGCATCCCAGGCAGTCAATACGACGAAGCACGACAACACCGAGTGGGAGTGTGTCGGCGCATATTCCTCGTGGAGGCGTGTAAGGTTGATCAACGACCCCGTTCGAGAACGCGCATTGAGTGCTTGCGCTTGCAAATTCTGGTGGCTATCTTCCTCCAGGGTTCGCCGTCATTACTTCCATGTCGCTCGATGTGGCCAACGTCAGTTTTCATCTCAACTGGCGCACTGCCGCCCATTACGCCTCCAAGGAGCCGAGCAAATGACAGGGATCATACGCGGCCACTTATGTGCGCCACCATTGACCGGTCCCTGAGTGCACCTTACCATCTGCCCGTCGCGCACGAACAACCTCCATCCCGAACCCTGCGCGTACTCCTCCCACTGACGTACTGGCCGAAGCCGCTCCCGATTGCGGATCATTAAGAACCTGGATAGAGATTCTCGAACCAATGTCAAGTTCATGAGGGGTGAGAAGCTAGAGCAGATTCGCGAACCCTGTCATGCACACCACGTTCCTTTCCGCTCATCCTGTGCAAATGAGATCTCACGGGAAGCCGAGAGCAGTCAAATATTGTGCTTATGGGCGCACACGGACGTGCTGTCCCTTGGTGACCTGTTTAAAGAGCGGAGGATGCATAAAAGCCGTCTAAACATAGGGATCGTGAACTTACTACCCTCCGCACTCGTCCCCGATCACACCCTGCCCAATAATCTCATTCTTCCTTCCAAGAACACGGCCATGGCGATCCTCCCCACGTTCTATGCATGGTCCAGAGAACACATCCAGCGTGTTTTCGAGGCCAAGACATCAGCAGATTGCCTTCGAGCTCTCGACGACACGTTTGCGCAGAACATCGAGCTGACGCTCAACGGCTCCCCAATACCACGCACGTATCTCCAATCCGCCATCATGGGAATGGTGGAGAGTTCTGGATTTCGTCTGTCGGTGGAGTGGTTAAACGCGGTCGAAGCGCCACGCGACGAGTCCTACAGAGTAAGCACGACCGCGTTGCTGAGGTACTTGAACATCCCTGACCACGCTCTTCACTTAGAGTGGCGCACTGGGAGGATACTACGTCATTCGCAATCTCCGCAGACAGTCGCCCGACTCAACGACACACATGCTATATGAACGACACAAGTCTATCAATGTCATGTGAGCTTCTTCATCGTACGAACAGAGGATAAGCTCACTGATTCTACCTTTTCAGCATCGAGTCCGAGTCGTCAGATCCCTACGTCGACAGTCGGCGCATCGTAAAATTGGCTCTTGTAGCCACGGACAAGCCTATGCACACATAGTTAGACATAGAAGCCATCGCTGCTAGGGCGTCAGGCCGTAACTTATTCCACGCACATCCTAAACACTGTATAATCAGCTGTAGTTGTACTTTTCGCCTTTACCATGTACCGTCACCTACGTCGTCAGGTTATTACTCACGGACGAGTCTGAGGCTTCCCTGTAGGCTCGTTCCGTAACACTCGATTTTACGGTAAATCATTCGCCCAATCAATTCCCGGGCATTGGCGACGCGGGCTTCGTTCTATTTGGTGTACACGGTCCGAAGTCGGGGGAATGAGACCGTGCTATTTTCTCGACCACGCACGTCTCTGTGTGCTCGCAATGATCGCGCGCGAAGTCCAGCTCACTTGTGAGCACGTGGGCGAATTGGGCTTGAGATGCAGGTTGTGCCGTCGAGGATCACTCTTCCGGAAGAAATTAGACTCGAGATTAGCACTTCGGTGCCAGGCCACGAGCCTGGGCGGGTTGCTCATCTATATTTGGACAGTGCGTCACAAATATGCTGTGTGGAGACTAGCACTGCGGAGGCTCCTAAGCATATGCAACTCGAGGCCACTTGGGTACATGAGCAATCGTACTCACCATAAGATGTGTCCGCTGCCGTAGCTTACTCGAAAACGATAGGCACGAGGAGCGGAGCTTTGACTGGCAGCTTCTGCTGATAAGCTTCTCCTTCGTGGCGGCCTGATTATGCGGAAGACTTACGGCAGATCCGTGCCCTGATCGAGAAGTGTGAGACTCATCCGGGCTGGTAGGCCGAACTTACCCCAAGCGACTGAAGGCAGTCAGTGAGAAAGGCATCTGGCTATTGAGACAGTGGAAAGAAGTGCCGACTGTGAAATATTCGCTTGCGAGATGCTGTACTTGTCGTAAAGACGCGGAATGCCGCGACTTGACCGTCTTTGGCGCGGACAATTCGTGTTCTCCGTATCCACCTCAACAGCGTGCGGTGTGCCTCTGGACTACTGTTGCGGAGAGGCAGCAGAAGCATATACCTTCTGTTATTCCGAATCAGCGTCGTCTGGGGGTAGGTCTGGAGCACATCCTCCTGGTGGCTTCTTTTTACCTCCGTTGTATTCACTATAAAGAGGGTGGGCTGGAACAAGCCGAGCCAAGACTCACGCTACCGCTCGACTTCATACATGGCAGAAGAGAACGACATGCACGGTCGCGTTAGGAACCACTTTTGCCGTTCTGCTTGTGCGTCGAGAAGTTATTCTGATAGTAGTGCTGTCGGGTGCCCCATTCAGTGGCCTTCAGTGACATATACGTGTGCAGACGCACCGAAGACAAGGCAGCACCGCCAGGGATGTGGTATGCTTCTGCTCCTCTCGACTGAATTGATAGTAGAGGATTGACATCCTGGGAATTGCCTACGTGGCAAACTGTCCGTAAAACTACCGATGCTTCCGACGCTGAGTGCAATTTCAACGTTAACGGCGCTCCGCAGACACTCCCAACGACCCCAATTTCATACGACTGTGGGTCTGCAGACTATCCATTCGATCATGAGTCGGAGGGTGTCGTCGGTTCGTGCTGGTTTGAAATTGTTCCATGCATTGCGGTGGTCTTCATAACGAGCTTGAAAGCAGTTGGCGAATTCTCTCAGAGTGCTGTATCCGGGTTTTCCCATCAATCACGATCTGACGTTCTGTGCATAAGCCTGTGATATTCAGAAACCTGAGATATTGACTGACAGTGACTACTGGCGCGCGTATAATCAGTCAAATATCACGACGAATCGATTGTGCACTACGCACCCAGAGTCTAAATATAATTTTAAGTGATACTGGTTCACCGAGGCTGTTAACAGTATAGGCGTCGTTCGTGAAGCAGGAGACGCGCGAGATGTCCCTTCAACCTATGTCCACGATAGATCCTTAGTCAGAGCAGCTTATGTACGAGTTGAACCCACGATGATGGATACTCATCATATCGGGTTGGGCATTCGCGGCAGAACACTGAACACCGCGCGTCGCTCAGACTTCTTCACTAAGCGATGGGTTCAGGAGCTTCATGCCGTTGGCGCTCGTCAATTGCAAAGTTCACCTGGAAGCGGGTAATCATACCATTTTGCCGTCCATCGTAGGACACACAGTTCCTGTGATCCGGCAGACCAACCTGGAGCTTCATTGTATCTTCGAGTTCATCAGACTTCTGACATGGGCATTCAAACAAGGCGGCCGGATGCACAATATGTATGACGGCAGTCAGCATGAGAAGTATCTCCAAGACAAATGACTTGCCTGCACACGTTCGGAATTCGATGGCGATGTCAAGCTCGCCACTAGCGCACCGAAAGGGGATAAACTGACTTAAATGACCAGAGATGATGCAGGTAAGCGAATCGCCAAATTTTTGAACAGTCATATTGTGTCCGGTCACAACGATGATATCGAAAGAGAACGCACGAACTGACTGGGTGACGGCCACTGACCAGAATGTACAGGACACGGCGCATGACAATAGTCAATTAAGTTTCTGCGATATCAGTAAGTCAGTATCACGTCTTTACCTGTCTTGAAATATACCATTGAAGTAACGGGGTACAAGCGATGTACCTACAATACATTTCGGTGCCGTATCTGGCTGCGTTCATGTTGGAGCGGCACTGCACAGGGTTGAATGCAAGGAAGCAGGAGAGCACCTATACAGATTAGCTAGATGCGTCCGTGCCAATGCCATAAATAACTTCAAACCTTGTGCGAAACGCCGAGCACGGCCATCTTCTGGACTCGATGCTGGGTCATGCGCGATGGCAGTTATCATAAAGCGTGGTGGCCGCATGTGAAAGGGAGGAACACTATGCGCACCGAGTTTTTCTATCACATCAAAGGCTGTCTCCTGTTGCCCGTCCGTCGCAATCGAGGTGCACACTACGTGTATACTCACTGAGGTCGATTCTTGGGGGTGACAATCACAATTCGTTTTGTCCATGACATGAGGCAAGAGGAGCGAAAGCGTCAAGCTGTAGGACCGGAACGCCGCGCCGAACAGACGGTGACACTACCTACGATTGAGTTTGCGCAGTACTATTGACACCAAAAGTTCGACGAAGATCAAGCATGCTGTTAAAGGCCCTGCGACAGCCGGAGCCTCGGGCTCGTATTGGAGCGGCTGCACAGATTAGAGTGAGATGGTCCGCCGAAAACATACTCCAAAAGTGCATGGGTTGACCTACAGGTCCTCACGCTAGAAGCTACGTGATCTATCAAACCTCATTCCAAGTTTTATGCACGCGCAACATGGTCGCACTGATGACCTGGAACATGAGTTGCCAGATAACTAGTGAAATCACGTTGCTGACCTGAATAAACGACCACTTCCGGTTCTCTGACTCCGCGCTTGTAGTAGTCCTGCGTTTGCAAGCATAACAAGCATGAGACAATTTCTGATCCACGATAACTTGACGCTGCGCCGAAGCGGAGACGGAGACCTTGTCAGTCATTCAGTTATCTGCAATGACCACTCTCCGTGGAACGGAACCCAGCCTGCTGGCAACCCGATGACGAACAACAAGAGTTTATCAAGCATGGCCAATTTGTCGGTCTTAAAACGTATCATACTGCCGGCGCTCCTACCAGTAATTCTCCTACCTCCTTCCGATAGTGACGGAGGACAGATGCGGCAGGCGCTTCATCTTGGCGTTGACGCTCCTTGCAGCTTGATTCTGGAGAACTCATGTCCGCTTGTCATGACAGCACACGAGGCAAGGTATGCGTCTTGGCGCGGGCGAGCGTCCGGAAATCACCTGCAGTGCAGAAGGTGATTTCAGAAGTATTGAAACGTCAACAAAGCTAGAGTAATTACGAAGTCTTGTGTCCAGACGTAACTCACCTTGTTGAAAGGTCGGGTGCGAGCGCGCATCTGTATGATCTTCCATAAAGCTCGACACAGTTTCAAATGAAAGCCTAAAGGGACTCACGAACTCCCTCGGGCATCGATAACGCTAAGCTGCTCCATCCCTACATTCATCGCATTCAGGTCGGGCGTATGGCCGACTCGTGGTTGCATGAGAGGGACTGAAGTCGGTCGTTTAAGTTTGGTTAGCTATGCAACAGGCTCAGCGGATAGGCATAGTGATGGAAGTGGTTTGTTACAATAGCAGAATAGCGACGGACAACGAATATGAGATCGACAAGAAGAAAACGGACAAGAACGAAGCAAGACGCTCCTGGACGTTGGTCAGGCAGATGGACGCAAAAAGGCCAATAGAGACAGTCCCGGGACGTCTACGTTCTGTCTTTGTCTGGAATGTAGTCAGTTCCTTGGCGTCATAGACCGAAGATGATGGGACGTACAGCTCCCGCACTGAATACATGAGCCGGAGACGAGTTAATGTCGAATCATAACAGGCATATTCGACGCGGTGAAGAGACGCACCCCTGATGACAAAATTCGCGAGCACGGCCACGAAGAGCAATACGCTGATTATGACAGGGCCAAGGATTTGGTCTGCAGGACACATTTGACGGTGAGAACTAAACCAATCTGCTTGTACAAAGCGAAGATAATTTACCGAAAGACCCTGGATCCCGCTTCTGGATTAAGGTGATCCTATGCTGATATATGGCATAACCGTACACCTGGGTTCACCACCGTTGAACGGCGCATACTGGGAGTCTGACAGCTTTTCAAATCTTACCAAGATACCGATACTCATGCCAGCGTACGCGTACGCAAAGTATCGTGACACATCGTCCTTCGAGGCGTTGAAGAGCGCAAGAGCCAGGGTTCCGATGAGAACAGACATGTTCAAATATGCAATCCACGCTATATATCATTAATTCCAAGTTGTCCAGACGCATATAACATGGCCTAGGCACTCACTCCTCTCATTCGCAAACCAGACCTTTCCTTCGACCTTGATAGGTGTAGCGATTTTCTTGGGGACCCTCACTTGGGGTGGTACGCTATTGATAGCATGGTAGTCCCGCACCGTGGGCATTTGCCCATGCTCATCGCTCTCCGCCTCCGGAACATTGTCGTTACGAGTGTAGCGCGGTCTCCTGCGTAGCGTTTTCTTCGGAAGCGAGGCTAGAGCCGAGGGTGAGAACGGCGAGAGTATGTCCGACATTGCGTGCCATGACCGCCTCAGTAGGGAGCCCCGATGCTCGCTGTTGCCGTTGAGGTTTCGCGCGGCTGCTCCAGAGTCCATGATGTTTGGCAGTGAGTCGAAGAAGGTTGCACAAGCCTGAGCTTGAAGGCCTAAAGCCTCGAGTTGGCCTCGAGTGTGGGCGAGCCAAGGCGTCCTCGGTGTGACAGTGGCGTAGGGCTTATGCACGTGCGTTTCCGGCGCTAGTTCGTCGACGCTTCGAGCTGAGGGTGTATGAGGCATCTCGTACGTGTGTGTGAGTTATGTACAGGAAAGATTCAATTGCTCAAAGCTTCGCAATGCGCTATATATTTTGTCGGGTCGACCGGTATGCAGCAAGTGTGATCCATCATTGCCAGTGGGCGGTAAAGCTGTAGTTTTTGGTGACCACGACGACTTGTGCAGTGGCGCCGAGTACTATTTTTACTCGCAAGGATTAGGGGGTCGTTAAACGTTTCGGAACGTTTGAACGTTTGAACGTCGAGTCTCAGTTACCTGTTGCGGCAGAAGGATACTAGGCACCACGCAATTCTGACGGTCTCTATGAGCATAAACGTAGAAGACGTGGCTCCGAATAGCGATGTTAACACAACGAGCATGGAATCACGAACAAGCACGCTACGCCGGAACGGCGCTTGGGTCGGAGGGAAAACCTATTTCATTTGAGTGTTAGTTTATGCACACGAGTGTATGAAAAAATCGAACCTTAACAATCATACTCTCCACGCCTGGGATATATTCAACTACACGGGTGCGCCTCACTTCCTCCCTCTGAACACCGAAGTAACGCGGCGTGTCAAAGCTCCATTCGCAGTTGCCTACCACCCAGCTCTCCATGGCCATCACAAACTTCGCGACGATTGCATCCCTCTGAGGGCCCCAGGACGGCAGGCGAAGCTTATCGGCTTCAAAGCTGTCCACGAGCTGTTTGAAACGCAGGCCGACATGATCTGCTGCGGTTTGGAGGTCGCAGTGCTGGGATTCCATCACGACAGTGACGACATTGTTCCCGTGTGCCCCATTGCTTGCTCCATGTTGTAGGAGTAGAGATCCTGTCGTTGAACCAGTCTCAGCGGGCAGGTCGCCTTCAGCCTAAAAATTCACTCACATTCGATAGCCACACCATGTCGACCGCAGCGAGGTGTAGGCGTATCATAACAGGGTGTTCGAAGATCTCGTCAGGGAGATCAAGACCGAAGATGAACCCGAACAATCCGAAACAAACTCGAACGGCGCTGTTCTCTCTGCGAGCGTTGATATACGCCTCTGGATCAAGGACTTTGTTATGCTCGCGAAGTCCCGCCTCGGCAGTTACCGCGTTCACGTAGTCTTCACAGTGCCTGAGCAATCGACCGTAACATGCAGGTACGTCCGATTGAACCAGCTTCTCGCGGAGCCTGTGATAGGCTTGTCGGTGAGAAATTAGACACAGGATAACACTGTCCTTACTGCTTTGTCATCTGAGCGAGAGCTGACCCATCTTGCCAATCAGGGTCACGAAGGGCGTCCAGAAAGGCGTGTCCAGTCTTGTCCGCATCCTTTCCGTTTTGATCATCGCTGACTTCGTCAATGACAAACAAGATATTGATCATGTCCATCGCGATGCGCAGCTCTTCATAGCCGGCGTAGGGGAAGGCATGAGCACTGAGGAGTTCGTTACCTCCTTGCTGGAAGAAGGCGCGCTTGCGCTCGGGTACAACCCAATAGCTGTTGACCCAGGCCGAGGATGCCTTAGCCGCACGCTCGTAGTGGGGATTGAAGGAATGTTTGAACGGTAAAACGAACATGAGGTCAGGTAGGATGAAGGAATCTGGGATGGTAGCCATGTTGTAGCGGAGATACCGTGCCACCTGGGACCGCGGATGAGTCAGGAGCAACGGGGCGAGGAGTGCTGCGAGACCACATACTCATTATATAGTATCGTGCAGCGCATTTCTTGTTTTTGGAAATCTGTGTCATCTCATTTTCCAGCCAGATACGACGGTCCTAACCTTCTTGGTATCATACCCCGATTATGGATGGACATCATGCTACGTGCGTGCCTGGCACTAGTCAAACCGCTAACGGGACGTACTGTAAAGTAGCACTGCATACCTTGGTCAGTGCTGTGGCGGTCTGCATTGCGTGCTTTGTGAGGGGGTGGAGTGCATTTCTCAGCGACAGCCAATCCGGCCCTAGGGAGCCTGGAGATATGGAGAGATGAACGAGTAATACAGTCAGTGAAAATAGAGAACCGACGGGGTGCTGGATATACACAGTACCAGCAACGACAGTGTCCGAAACCACGGCTTGTAGGTCTCGCAATTGGTATGCTGCCCCGGACGGTGGTTGCGAACTTGAAGATCGGATTCAGCGATAATCTGAAACTGAATGAGTACGAGAGTCATAACGTTATCGTTGAGCTGTCCCACAGAGTAAGCAATGAGAGACATCATATGCAGATGCCAGCCGGAGGAGCCAATTGGTTGTGCTTATTCGACACGGGGTTCGTGTAGCTACCGACTATGCGTGCATGATGTCCCGGTCTTCGGCCGTGTGCGTTAGTTGTGCCAAGGAGCATAAGAATGAACCTCGGAGTCATTAGTTAGTTGCAGCGCTTGGATCACGACCGGACTCGGAGGGCATACCTTGAAATGACGGTGTGATAGATCTGTAACGGAGCCCTCGCATGCGCCTGAGTGGCATGCACTGGCAGCGCTGCAACGCGTGATAGAATGTTAATGCACGATACCAGGGAATTCTAGGATAAGACCAACAGTGATACATCATGCTCCACATCAACACTGACCTTGCGTTTTGACGGCAGTACATTGCTTCGAAGCTGGTAGTGGGACATGTGCTCACAGACTCCGTCGGTCGTTCAACCTAGGACCATTGAGAGACGCGCACCGGATTCACACTTACTTATATCCGACACTGTGCTTGTGGTCTGTGTCACGTTCTGGATTGGACGGTGGCAAGGGAAAGCATCATCGGCGTTCCATGCCCGATCCTATCGGTCCGCAACAACTTCACTTCATAGGCGGAGTCAAGTTTGTCTCCATCGTGAACTACAAAAGCAGGAGAACGTCTGTGTCAGGGCACGCTGGCATTACCCCTCGAGACTTACTGACAAGGTGCCCCTATGGCTAAGACACAATCTTGTGCTCTCGTCACTCGTGAAACACCCGAAAAAGCTGCCTATCTTAACGATGGTATGGATTGCAATTGGCACTGAACGCAGATGCACAGCTCGAAGCCCGTACAATCAGCCATGTGCGCAACTAAAATGCTTAGCCAGACGTGTGCTGCGCGTCCGATACCGCCGAGGAATGCAGAGAGATCGTTGGCAGGTCTCCCAGGTCAGAAGTTTTGATCAGAGATGTTCAATATATTGTACCGACCTGCGTCTTGACTCCGCGAGACTCTAGCGTGGAGTGTGAACTGTTGGGCTGTTGCCTTCGCCCCGTAGACATCGACAGCGTCCACGTCGCACACCGACTGCTAGAAGCCATCAGCTTGAGTCCATATCGGAGTAGATGAACGGCACCAGTCCCCGGGAGGGAAAACAGCGATGTGAGGAGCGAAGTACAGTGAACTGGAATGGTCTGGCGAACGCGTGAGAGTAGGTAATTGAGCTACGTACTAGTACATTGCGGCGACACAATTGCAAATTCTCACGGTACCACTCCGTATAATCACGTACCTTCCCTCCACACTGTCACATCCACGCGCACGATCATATCCCGCTCTGGATTGAGCTCCTGCAGGTAACTTATTGCAAGCAACGGGTTACATGACTGTAGCAAAATCCCAGCGTCGTCTCCTGTACGTACCATCGCAACTCGTACGTCGCATGACACATGCACAGGTCCGTGTCGTGACGCCGTACTAGAGGCTCATGTACATGATGTGGGCCACCGCTGGCGCCAAACCCTTCCGAGTAGGGCGCTCGGATCGGCACAGTCACTCACTGCCCCAGACGACGTACTTTACGTCTTGGTGGGGTATGACAGTGATGGACACGGATGGGTACGAGGTACTGTAAGTCCGTCTCCCCAAACGATTGTCGCGCACAGCCACTGATATACAGTCAGTTAGACGAGTTGGCGACACTCCGATGAGGAGTCGGCGTAATTTCAAGGATCTGTCGTGTCTGTCGGCGTGGTTGTCACCGCCGTGTCCGATGACTGCTGTGGCAGGGCCCCAGAAGCTGCCGATGCTTAATGACTCTGTCAAGCGCTCAACTGCGTGGGCCAGACGCAGGGCCAGACGTGGTCAGTGCCATCTCAGACCTGTCAGTCTTCTCAGACCCTCAAATCCAGTTCTCAGGCGACTCGGAAGTTTGCTGACTAGACTCTAACACCGCAAGCGTACATCCCGGTCAGACATGTAGCGTTCACCATGTGGCTTGCGCGTGCGTCTTGGGATTTGTACTACTGATACTTCCGCCTCAGGTTCTGACAAGTCCACGTCGCCTACAGATCTCAACATTAATATACGTTCATGCAGCGCAAATGGGGGCGTTGGGCGCTGCCGCAGCTCGAGAAACCATCACACCTGACAAGAACAAACGTCATGCGCGTCCACACCAGCACTCACATGCATGTCCATCTCGTCCGCACAAGAGATTGCCGCCCTGTCAATGACATAGCTACTGATGCAATTGGGTCGACGACTCATCCTGATTGTCGTCGGATGGTCTTGCAGACCTTGCGTGGAGGGACTTGCGTTGAGAATGCAATTCTCCTTGGGCCCGCAGAGGGATTGCCTTCGTGCAATAGTCATGTCGGGCGCGTGCAAGCCTAATACTGGCCCCAAATTGCAAGCTGTCCGATCGGCCGCGAGTACCTGCGGCGTAGCGATGCTGTGGATCAGCTTCTGGAGGCGTGTGCACCGTGTGTTTGCCAGATTCCCGGGAAGTAAGGTGGGTGGGTGACGTCCGAGCATGGAGCCTGTCTAGCTTGAAACTTGAAACTTTGACAGGGATGCCTGGGGCAGCCGCGGTCAGTAGAGAACAATTGGTATCAGACTCGGAGGAAGCCAGGGATATACGTTGTGAGTTCAGTCACTGCGTAGTCACAGCACGTAACTGAGGAGATCCAGCCTCTCCTAAAGTCACACAAGAATGCTATATAAGAGCCCACGAGTTGGTCAATGGCTCTTCATCACAAGCACACCGTCTCAGACAACCGCACCAATTCACATTCAACGACCATGAAGTTCTCCAGCACTGTCACCTCCGGCTTCGCCATTGCCATGGCTCTTCTCGCTCCAGTGAAGGCCGACTTCTACGCCAACTTCTTCGATGGTACGTTCACCTATCCTCTTATACGGATTCTGAACTGACATACCCTCCATTCGCTCAGACTCCGCCTGCTCTGTGAACGGCGGCGAAGGCGTCGACATCCGCAACACTGGCTGCCTGGGCGAGGCCGGCCGTGGCTCCGTCTACATCCCCAATGATGGTCTCGGCACCAGCGGCGACAACCAGTACTGCCTCGTCATCACCTCCGGCGACGGGACGTGCACCTGCCAGAACGTCGGCTACGACTTCACCGCTACCGGGTTCTGCAAGACGCTCAACCCGAGCGACCAGAGCTACCGTTTCGTCGGAGTACGTGATTCTATTTTGCTTGGAATGCAGTGCTGATGATGGATTTTCTGACAGGGAGCCTGCGGACACAACAACTGCTAAGCTGCTGGCGAACGAGCCCTGTGCTATTTGTTGAGAAGAGGATATGCGCGAGTCTAGTCTCTGTTAGCCAAGTAACTTATGGGAAGTGTGTGTTGAATGTAACCTGATCTGTTGAACGCTCGCAAGCACTGGGCACTCGTATCAAACAGATTCACTAGTGAACAGCGAGGCAGTCGCTGGCAGACGTGACGGAGTCGACTGACCGCGTTGGCCCATGCTGTCGGCTGAGCCACCGCTCGAATAATTTGACAATCACTTGGTGAGGAAGTATGGCGCAGGTCTTCGTCGGACGTCCTTGACTCCTTCGACGCGAGTCTCCTGGCGCGGTGATTCTCTGGGATTTCCGTCAGGTATAGCCCGGGCGATGGCGA